ACGAAACCGCGGTACATTAGAGCAAAAATTTTAGAACTCAATGCCGGCCTACAGTTAATACTTTTGATATGTTTCTTATTTATTCATAGTCAAACGGACAGAATTATTGTAAATTGTTACTCATGGATAAAATTTACGCATTCGTAAACGAAACTAGTAAAGTTCAAATGATATACCGCCCTCCGTTTTTGAATCCATACAATTACTTTTTGTAATTGTTCGAGATAGCATAAGTTAAGATTAGCCAAGATGTGAGTGTTTATAGATGGCTTCATTAGTAAATTATTAAGCCCTTCTGAAGTTAGGCGAGATAGCCATATTGTATGAAATTCTTACTTTACACCCCGACAGAAACGGAAAGGATTCAACTTACGGTAAATATTATATGCCTAATGCTTTTTCAAATATCAACATGAATTTTCATGTTGCATCCATGCATTGAGCCGAATATATAGGAAAATTGACGTAGCGAACTTGTAGGAATTCGTTTCAATAAGCTGAAGGTGTAAAGTTTTTTTAGAATAATTCAGAGATATGGCATCATAACAAATTAATACATTGATAAAGGAAAAGGTATTGGAAGTTTCGTATGTTTTTTAGTGGTCCTTAAATGAATTGTTATGCAGTCTAGCCAATAAGGTAGCGTCGCTCGTGGATGATTTCCTTTGTAACTGAATTAACAAAAATTTGTATCACTTTCAATCGCGTACCCAAGTTGCTACGAGAATGCGCGCTGTTTTGTTTTTCTAAGTTTAGGCAACAATCACAAAATTCCTTTGGTTTCCCGCGCTTTTGTTAAGCTATTATGACAATTTGTACAGATTCATTGCAGGTATTATGACATATGATCTTTGTCCAATAAAGCATAGCACATATCAATATACACAAAGCTGGATTGTGTACCAGACAAAACCGGGACAAATTTGGTAGTAAACGGTGGATGCAGGGGCGTTTATCTATAGTATTTATGTTTTGTTCAGTCTAACATAAGAAAATGCGGAACTGTGGCGAGGAATTCACGAAAAATTTGTTGGGGATTTTCCTGGTATCTTCGTTGGTTGTCTTTTGTGGTAAATCGGAATTTACAATAGTTAGACCGACAGTCACCATTGTGGAACTTCGGCAGAAATTCTATTGCGTCATACATTTCAGGTTTTTTGTATGTTTTCTCGTCCACTCCATTTGATTAAATGAGTTATGAAGCGGCCTGGTACACGGTTAATAGTTAAATATATAGTCTATAGACTCGCTGCGAATATTTGGTTAAATATTAGGTCAATAGAGCGAATGAAAATATTGTCATCGAATTTGGGCTATTGTTGTTTGATCCAGTCGTAACGAGACTGTTTATCCAATGCCAGCGTTTCATAAAGAACTATTTCCAAAGTTAGTTTTTCGCCCTGGAATACAATTATTTATTACAATGGTTTCTGAGGATCTACAAATCTTGAACAAACAAATGGATTTGATTTCAATAATATATTACCCGTTCGAAGTAGGAATGACTTGCAGGCGACTATTTTAATTTTCAAAAATCCATGTGAGCAAACATAAAGAAGACAAGGTGCGATGTTTGTCGTCGCATTATATCGCTAGCTGGTGACATTTTTTTTATTGGTAGCATTGCACATCGAATTGATTCCTTGGACATAGCACGTATCTGTAATACAGTGGGATGTGTACCCACTATTATATATTTTTTCTTGTGATGCTGCAGTGTTGTAGCGTGCAACATGCTTCGACTTTAAGCTATGAGACGCTTGCTACGGAAATTGTATGATTCGGTGGCGCACGTGCGCGATTCCGGTTAATGCTGTGTAGTAAAGGTTGTCTGGAAATCTCCTGGCTGCCTTCGTTTCCGTTTATTACGTTAGCAGAGATATACTGTAGTTGAAATATAAGATATATATATACTCGCAGTTGCGTTTCCCCGATTCATTAGTCATTATTTTTAAATTGTTCATATAGAAATATAGTTCAAAGTTCAAATCTTCGATACTATGAGTGTAAAAAGGAATGCGTTCGCATTGAATGACCTCAAAAATTATATTTTTAAACGGTTGTTACTCTTGTAAAATCGTTTTTTACGTGTTTCAGCTTAGACATAGCTAGTCAATTCCAGGTTTTAGATATTCATTATGATGGTTTTTAAATCAATTTGTCACTGTCGTCAGATCTCGTTACCATGGGTCAAATATATATGGAATCGACGAAAAACTGAAAATTTTGTTTATTCTCGAAATGGTAGTATATGAAGTAGAAAACGTTAATTACACGATGACGACACAATTTGTATACAATTGATAATAGGATTTTTCAAATTCTGTTCTATGTGGTACTAATGAACTCGACAGTGTCCGTAAGTATTCTGATTAGATTTATTTTGCTATTGAGGACATCGCATGTAAGTCTTTGTTTTATAAATACACATTATCGTCGTTTGTTTACTGCATTTTTTACGTGTATCAGCATGTTATTCCAAACGACATATTTATAATCCGATGATTATCGCATTTTTCATATCCCACTTCCATATTTACATGGTTTATTTTGAGAATCGTGGCGTTTTGTGAATTTGCCAAACAAGTTCTCGTCACAAACATGTTATTTATCCATCCTAAAAAAAAGTACACTACGAATATAATGTTTAAAAAAAAGGTTTCTGTCGATATACTTTGAAAGCTGCTTAGTTGTCAGTAATCCTACATAGTATCTATTTCTTGTATATATATTTTGTCTGCCTTTTTTAACTGTTCACATTCGCTGTAGAACTCGGGCGCAGACTAGATATCACATTTCGGAAATGTTGGTCAATGACGATTTTCCTTTTTCGTTGTTTATTATTTTCCATGTTACTGAGCTGTACACCAAATTACAGGAATTTTGCTCGTTATAGCTGTTTGAAAAGTTAAAAAGTAATTATTGATGACAGAACGGGTTTCATATTATAGTAACTGCGACTTTCCGGCTTATTCTTGTATGTCTGTTTAATGAGCTAATGTAAATATAAATGTAAGTAGACATGACTATTTATTTAATAGGTTAATAATTGGTTTGTTAGCATTTAATGTTTACATGTCTGAATTGTATGACTTTCTATCTAAATGGCAAATGTGAGAATCATAATTTGTCTACGTTTATGTATTGATGTTTTTCTTCAAACTACTTTTTCGCGAATACTTTGAATATATAACTAAATTATTTCTTCGGACCTCATTAGCTATCGCCCTCACGCATCCGTTTTAATTTAGTTTGTTCTCAAAATTTGTCAACTTTTTGTTTGAGGTTACAGGAACAATCAATTAATGTCGCAAACTTAGATTTCTCGCGAAATTGGCGCATAATATTTATCACAAGCGCTGTTCAATTCAACGTAGCATGACGTGTTTATATTATCATTTATCAGAAAATCAACGTTTTAATTTTTATTTTCGATCTTCTTTCCTTGTCTCGTAGTTTATAATTATCATTACATACGTAGCCTGAAGCAAGAATTGGTCATTTCTCGATGCATTTTATGAAGAGATTTTCCGTTACTTATATTGCTCGCTACAGTGCGTAGCATGCCTAGTGCACAATTGTTACTGACCGTTCTATACTTGATACCCGCCGTAGCTATCATTTGGCACACTCTGAGCGAAAGACTGCCGACCTATCATAACGCAAAAAGGATTCATAATCTGTGCAACTCGATAGCCGATTTTGATTTTGAATACAAAGAAGCTATCTGCGAAGGCAAAAGCTCGTATTTGGACTTTACCCATAGTGGTGCCTTTTTGACTTCTCGCACCCTTTTTGGATTTATTGTTTCTCATATTCTTTGGACTATCAAAACACCTATTTTAGCCATGAGTACCAGGTATTGGGACGAAATTGACTGGTATATCCAGGTAAATTTTTTTTTTTAATATGAGCTCCGGCCTCCGGACACAAATAAACAGACTGTTCATTGCTGAAGATTGTTTTAATAAAATAGTTAGTTTGAAAGATTTTCTACAGTATGTGATAAACCAATCCCACATACTAAATAGTTTTTAAATATAAAATTTTCTATATCCCTATTGGGTTAGGTATCAATTAGTAATATACCTAATAGGTTATGTCTATGCAATTTGGATATATAGAACTATTGTGGAACATTATGTGTGGGAATAAAGCCACTTCATTCCACTCCTGTTGTATATTCACATCTATGAGACCAATGGTGCTTTTGAATATAGATGGAGCTATGCATATTCCCCAAAACCCCTGGATACTAAATTCTAATGCCCCAATAAAGCAGAATAACTATATTGAGATTTAGACAATGAAACAATACTGCTCTAAATGTAATTATCTACTATTTGCTTTTCAATCCAGTTTTGCTTAATAAGTGTCATGAATTGATTGTGACAATGGTTTTCTTTTATATTTGGCATTTATAATAGTTAGCACTTGATTAATTAGAAGCAATGTAGTTATTTTCAATGGCTTCTGAACATTTAATAGTCGATCATTTTTACTTTATCAGAGAAGCGTCAAATTTGACCTGTTACATATTCGTTTGGACATTCGTTGCATTAAATAAAACTGGGACTTGTATTTATATAATCAATTCGCTATTGATCTTGATTCATCTTGTTATTGAACTTTCCTTAGTATTGACAAACTGTAATTTGCATTGATCTTCCTTTTATAGTATAATTAGAGCCCCATTTGATTTTTTTGAGTTTATTAAAAACTAAGTCCTTATGTGAGAGATTTAATCAATGCAATAGTTGATCCATTTGATTCCCAAACAAATACTAAATGATCTTATGTTTTATGCAAATTGATCAATCTGATTGATTTTTACCTGAAGACCTTACTATTGTATTAATTTCACTGTTGAAAATACTGGTGTATTGGTCTTTTGTGATATATTTCTGACTAATTCACAAGTGGCCTGTTTTTTTTGGTTTCATTTGAGATCTATTCACAGTTTGTAATCAATTCAAACTATTTTTTTAATTTTTCTACAGGAGGGAACCCAAAAACTATGTGAGATGTTAAATAAAGAAAACGAAGATGCCTCTTCTTCAAAATGGTCAACAGGAGAAGGTATGGATTATAATAGCCTATGCTACACAATTATCTTTGACCAGAAAAAAAGTCAATATGATGACCAAATCACTATGGGAAATATTATAGTAATAGGGTGGGGCATGTTAGGTACATAAACATGGGTTGGTGAAAAAATATATTATACTAGTGGTTATGCGGAAGGTTTTGGCAGTCCTTTCACACATGATCACTCATGATTTGGATATCCTTATATTTAAAACTGAGCTTAGAACAATAATGAGAATAAATTTACTGTGTTTAATTACAAAAAATATTGTATTTATTTAGTGTATGATGAAATTGTTTTGAATTAAAATATATTCTAATAACCATCACTGTATATTTTCTGTCTGTATATTTTCTGTCAAAATGAATTACAATCATATTATATTATCATTACGTTTTCATGAACTCAGGAATTTATGGAAAATATTAAAAATGTTGTCATGACTAAATACTTTTGGCATTTACTGCGTATGTGCCCCAGGCTTAATTTTTTTGCAATCATACAATGCTTTCTGTGTCAATTCCAAATAAATTGAAGGCCGTAAGACTCATAATACAAAAAAGCATTCCTCAGTCAACAGTAAATGATTGGTTCTGGATTGTAATCGCGGGTCATTTAATTGCCTGAAAACATAAATTGTGATTTTTTTCTGAAGTGGTCATTTTTAAGCCACAGTAATTATAGTAAAATGTCAATTTTTGAAATTATTTATTTTTTTAGAAGAAGATAAACTCACAAAACGAAATATGGCCGAAGAAACATTGAAAAATAAAGATGAAAACGAGATTATTAATAAATTTGATAGCATGTGAGTACCATGTAATTATGGGGGATTTTTCACATATTTGCTACCGGTATCACTAATTAATTTGGTATTTGATCATTTTGGGCAATTGTACTGAACCCAACATTTCTGTGCTTGACATGTGATCTTTGGCAATATGTAATATATTAGTATCATGTATGTTATTGTAGCAAAAAGTATGTCCATGTACTTGGTTTTGATATTTGGAATATATCATAATATTCAGATTTTGAAGAAAGATAACCAACCCTTATTTTAAAAAAAATTTCACTTTTTAGATCAATCAAAGAAGAAACGTCGGATGTTGATTCAGTAAAAGATGATGAAGAATATATGGAACGATCAACTTCTGTTGAAGATAATTCAGGTATTTTGCCTTGATATCAGCAGTGAATAGTGTTTTATCAGCTACCATCCATATCCTGTAGTGAATCTTTGCATGGTTTTGCATATAAGATAGGATTTGCATATTTATCTCTAAGGGGTTTGGAGAAAAGCCGAAAAGACGACACAATCATATGCCACACCACAGCCTCTCGTCCAGTTTCCGCAGAAATGATTTTCTTACTCTCAAACACAGAAAAAGTATAGGGTCGAAATAAGAGTATTTAAGAATCAGAAACCCTAATTCTTATCAAACTCGAAATTCACACTGCCAATTATCTTAGTAGATTTTTTTTCGTGTGTATATTTTTGTGACTAAATAATCTAATTATTCATATTTTCAACAGTCGTGAAGAAACAGACCAAAGTGGATGAACTAATTTCAATGTGTACGAAGTGTAGCATGCTTCCGCCTATCTACACATACTTCACCACCGGCGATGTAAGTTAACTTATTATAGCATGAGGCCTATACAGTTATGAACCTTTTTGATCAGTTCAATCTGACTTGGTTTTTCCAGTGCCCATTCTTGATACATGACAACTTGCCTAAATAGTTTTTCTTTTACTGACTGATCAATATTTACTAAATTTGTCTAAAGTTGACACGAACGTACAACTCATCACATGATTTCGTGAACGAAAGTCAGACTGGAGGTCTGTTGATACATTGACTGATAAACTCGTTTTGAAATGTATTGATGAATAAACACCCGTGATATTAATATTTCAGTTGTGAATGTATTTTCTTTGACCTGTATCTGATATATGTCATAGTTTGTGTATAATTTATCACCATGACATATGACAGGCATCATGACAACAAAATTTATTATTTTTTATTGCATCGTGGGCTCTAAAACTTGTTATCCCTACTAAATTTCGTTTTTTTAAATATGCATGGTGAACTAATGTGTATTTATCTTTATTCTATGCCATGTATTGGGATCATTCATTGATATATGTCACTGATGTTTTTTGACAACAAAGGTTTGACTTTACCTAACTAAGTGAATATTTGTACTTTAGCCCTGAGATGTGCTTTTAGTCATATATGTACCATCACAAATTTCATGAGTTTGCACAAATGGCTCAGTCATCAAAACAAAAATATTGCTTTCCATAGGTTTATTTCCTTTTTTGTTTCCTTTTTTGTTTGTTCTGTGCAACATTTACTATTGCACCATTATATAAAACGGAAGTGACACATTGTCATATGATCTGTGTGGATAGGCAACCTGGTATTGTTTTGATAATGACAAAAAATGACATCATATTCATGAAAGCGATGCAATATGCTTATTTCATGTTAACAATCGATTTGCCCGAGTTTGTATCAAAGAAATAACTGTAATATTTGCAAAATTAATCAAATTATAACCAAACTCGAAACTTAACCAAAATATAATATTCGTCTAATGTTATAGACCATTTGTGTATGAAATCAATTGAATTTTTTATGTGGTAATTGATTCTTATAAGAAAGCATATGTCAAAATGTATGCTGATTTCACATACTTTTGGGAAGGAAATTATAAATTTCTTGTTTCGATTCATTCTTCATTTCTCAACATATTATAAATCTATCATTGTTGTATGCCTAAAGAGGTTTTTATTTAGAGTTGGAAAGTTTCCTAGTCTTTAGTAGTCGAGTTTATTTTTTTCCTGTCAGTGAAAAATAGCATACGAAATTGAAAGAAATAATAATAGAAGACACGATTTTACTGAGAAAGGGCCGTCACAAGGAACCGATGCCGGTTATCGAGCAGCGACACCCGTTCTGATGGGGTTTGCATTATTATCCACGCTGTAATTACCAAACATGGTTTTACCAAGATTCTGTTTTAATCTTTCATTGTTTAGATGATTCATATTCATTGTACGTTTGTTCTACATCCTGTTGTTACATCAATACGTACTATTACCAGACATTCTTCCTCGGGAAGTAATAACTGAGTACATTGTAAACACATTTCCTGCTTTTGTATGTAGATTAAATTAACATTTTGGGCCCAACAGTGAGAATTATAGATGTTTAATCAAATGTTCCTTGTGTAAGTAACTGCTCTACTACTTGAAATTTGAGTAGTATATACACATACAAATGAAGTAATGTTGCTGTCAAGTCACAGTACACTGACCATTTTAGGAAAACACAGTAGTTTTGGGAAGACACTTATGTAAATAAATATTGTTATTGTATACAGCACATCAGTTTGCATAGTACAATATCTGACTGCTGTTAAAATATATTATTTGCAAAATTGATCATGTCACTGTTCGTCTGTTTGAACTGGCCTGAAGCAGTATATATAACTAATAACAGCTGATATTGGGGAGTGTTCTCTACCATTCATAGTGAACACAAAAGTTGGAAAGAGCAAATAATATGATTCAGCCTATATCGTTGGCTTTTTACCAGTTGTGCATGTATTGCTGAAACGGCTACTGGTATTCTATTTGGACATGGCCAACCTTTAAATACAATTACTAATGGCCCATTTCACTACTGTTTGTTATCATTATTTAGTGAACATTCCTTATTGTTGGCAATCTGTGCTTTTATCGCATCTTGCAATGCCTACAAAAACTTCAGATGTCATCACTATCTCAATAAGAATTTAATGACCTAGTATGATGTAAAACAGGAAACTGTCATCCAGCTTTTTTTTACTTGTTGACTGCTTTGTCTGTTTTTATTTTGTATCAAAAAAATTTAATTTTGCTCATTGAAATTGGTATGATCAAAGGTGATTTTGCTAAAAATCAAATCCTTGACTTTTGCATTGTCCTTCATTAACCATGAAACTGAATTGAAGTAAATATAGTTAGAGATAGACTTGTGACGCATGACCGTTTTTTATTGTTTGTGCTTCTTTTGAATAGATTGACCTTGTGATGTGACGTACCATCAGTGTTTTCTTTCAAGACCTAGAATTTTCTTTTGGCCTAGTTTTATCATGTTAACATGATGTACCGGTAATCACACTTCCATATTTGTTTAGATAAATACGTAATATGATGATATTTTATTGTATTTTGTTTGAGTGGTTAAGGCGTAACAAGCTGTCTTTATACTTTTTGCATATATGCATGATGAAGAATATCACAATATGGGATTTCCATATTCAATTGATATCGGTGATTTGAAAATATTATTGTTTATGTTTTGACATTATTGGGCTGATATCTGTGGAAAAAATGAGTCATGTCGCCACAGATTATATTTGAGGTTTTTTTGGTATTAATGCTATGAAATTTGTTTACAGGAACAAGTTGTATCTACAGTTCAACTTTGGAATGGAGTAAGATTCAGTTCTCATGCACAACTTACGAGAGATAAAGCAATGGAAGAAGCAGCAGGACAAGCTATTGGATATTTGGTAAGTTTTTGTGTATTTAACCAAGTGCAGTCTTATTGATTAAGGTGAACATTGTTACCTAGGTCTTATGTAATACAATCTGCAACTATGTTTAAATGATGCTAAAAATGTTATTAGTTCATGTGAATTTCTATTTATATTTGTATAACTTTGTTTTTTCTTTAAGAAAAATGAACAAAGAGACAAACGACCTGTGAGCACAAGTCCACCATCAACAGTTCCATATTATCTACCGGTACAAAATCTTCTTCCTCCACAGTACTATCAGACGCATGCTGCATATGGTAAGTGATATATATATTGCTACTTAATGGCAATCATTTTAATTCAATTCATGTTGTTAAATGAGCAATAATTGACGTTCTCATTTAGGCTACATGTGAGATTAATTAATTTTCTTTTGCCTTTTCATATGTGCCAGATCTAGATGGTATAAAAATTTTAGAATAGAAAATTTAATGCTCAATTGAAAAACTATGTCAAAGCTGTGTTTCCTGTAGGAGAAAACGTCCATCGATTTGATTATTTTTAATCATTAATGCTAATCAACTGTATTCTGCCTGTTTTTCTTTCTTATTATTTACAAGTGTTTGTCTTTGTTAATTTGCATTTATTCATGTTGCAGGAACACCGGTATCTTATGCCACTACTGCACCTCAAACGTTTTTTCTTCCTTCCGTTCCATACACGATGATTCAACAACCACCCGTGGTTACTATACCCCCTGAGTATCAACATGCTGCCTACTTGCAACAATACAGGTTTGATCAAGCAGCTCAATACAGTCCATACCATCAGCACTATCCAACTGTCCGAGTACAGATCAGCCCCAGTCACCAACAAAGGTATCACCATCATTCACCTGGAGCAAAACCTGTTTTATGGACCGGTTTACAACATGACCCTTATCAGGTTCAAGAAAAATTGTCTTCGCAAAGGAAAACAACGGAATATAAACTTCTAGATAAACCACCAAGTCCAGTTGACTCAAATCAGGTGAGATATTCTATGTTGTTAAATTGAGGAAAATAATTTTATTAGTTGACATGAGGTTGTATAATACAGATTTTAGCAGTTGAAAATGTGTTGTCTAGTGTCTTGGGAGTAAAGTGTCATAAATTTACTGCACATTTTGTTATTGTAAAACAATTTGGTGCTTCTTTAAAGAAGTTTGTTGAACTATCATTGAACAGACATCTCACATTAACACAGAAGCGAATTCATTTCATATTTCCCTTTGTTCTCTCGCAAAATTTGATTTCGTCCATATGTGCTTTTTGTGGAGAACAAACAGCATACATTAACTCATGGTAAAAGTGGACTAGTGATACTGTAATCCATGTCCATTTATTTTTCTGTTGGTCAGTTATAATCCAAACTATAAAACCCATTGGATATAAAACGAAAACTATCCATTGTCACTCATGAGTCATGAACACTTAGTTTGACACTTTCAATTTATTATTCTTTTTCAAATAACTTTATCTCTTCATCTTTTAGACAAAGGAGTCCATATCAGAGCAAGAGACATTGGAAAAGACACCAGAAACATCATCAGAATCTGAAAAGACAACGCCGAACAAATCGCGTCCTGGATCTGCAATGAAAAAGCAAACTGCAGCCAAACCAAAACTGGCGATTTCTTTCAATAAAAATCAAAGCTCATAATTAAATTGTGTTTTTTTCTACCAAAAACATACGGTTTTGTAATATTAATTTATTCTCAGTTGTAAATATTATTTACTCAATGTATTAACTATACGGGGACTTATTTATTATGTATTAATCAGAAAAAAACTACTCTCTTTAAACTGTACAAATTTTACATAACAGTTGTACTTGAGAACATATATTCATGCTACATATATATCCTAAAAATCTCATGAGTTAATCTAACATCCGGCCAAGCAACTGTGCATCATATTCCACTTGCATGTCAACAGTACTCCAGTATTATCCAGGTTGTGAATCCTTTTTTAAATTGTTTTGAGGCATCTTTTCGTGATTGGTAACTCACTTCCAGTATTGGTGTGAATATTTCAGGCAAGGTGTATGCATTTTAATGTGAATCAAAGTGTTTACTTTTTTAACTCACTATATGAATCTTCCTTTCTGCTGGAATTATATAAACGACTCCATGTCTGAATTAACTATACTTATCTCCCACTTATTGAAACTTATTGATTCTCATCTGCCTTCTGTACAATTGAGATTAAGTTGATATGTTTCCACAAATAGAGTACGGTTTGGTATGGTGAAGTAAATTCGCTTCTATATGATAACTTTGTAAATAGTTTTATTTGGGTAAGCTTGTATAGTTGTATTATGTATTTTGGTGTAGTGTGTGTATCCTGTATTTTACTAACTCTTATTTAATTCCATTTTATATCCAAGAATTATAAGCTTGCAACTGTAATCGTTCTCGCGTAGCATAGTCGGTGAAATCTTTCTACTTCCTTTGAAATAAATTTGTAGATCTGCGACCTCTGGTGTCGGTTTGTTTCATTCGATGATTCAAGGTCATCCATGGGTTATAAGAACGTCGTGTAGGAGTAGATGGAGAATATTGTATATGGTTAAGCTATTTTCAGATCTTTTTTCAAATTCGTGCTGTCTCTTTGTAATTCTTCTTTTTAACTTGAACGAACTCCCATCCCTTTTCACCGCAAAATAAACTGGAGATTCTTTTATGTTTATTGTGTTTGTAGTTGGGGTATATGTGGGTTAATGACACTGCTATTCAGGACTGTAAAGCCTTTTGATCATGATTTCCACATATCAAGTTCTCGTAATATTTCCTTCCGTAATAGGATTACAAGGCTCTTATTTTGTTTCCCAACGTTAGGCTATATCGTCGCGGTAGAACCACATTAGCTGTCACATGTTAAAGCTCTGAGAAATTTTGTGATCTGTACAGCCAAACCTCGAAATTGGCATAATCACTGCGTTATAATGTTCAGCTTTGAAACCCCAGACTAGAAGATGGCCCCTTATCCGTAAATGAATCCGTTTCTGGGGAATGTGGCATAAGCTATTTCGGCATATAAATTTCGAAGTAAAACCTATATTTGGCAAAAAGTACGAGGCGTACGGTTGTAATACTACTTGGATTCCATAAAGGGTATAGTTTTATTTTGCAACAAAACCGTACATGGATGTCATATGTATTGCAAATGGGATTATATATAATTTCGATCTGCGGTAAGTGTCGAATTAGTTCTGGTTGGTCAATAGGATGAACTATGAATGCTCCCCTGTGGTATGCCGCATTTCATATATTTTGTGCGCAAGTAACTCTACCATTTGACAATTTTTCATTCATTTTCTCGTTCAATTTCATTACTGTGAGTTAGGTCATTTTGAAAATCATGATATATATATTTAATTTATTGATTATAAATGAACATCATGATCTAATTTGGAAACTAAAAAAAGGTTGCTATAGATAAAAGACGATTTTATTATCATTGTTCTATCGTCTTTTGCTAATAATAAGCAAAGTATTTGAATCACTCGTCAATACAGTAATTACGGACCACCTAGAATCACATGGTCTTTTAATTGACAGATAACAGACAGGGTTTTCGTCGTAAACGTTCTACCGCCGCCGATTTGTTAACAGGTATAATCAGTAGTGGGATTCAGCCGGTTCGCACCGGTTCTATAGAACAGTCTCACGGAACTTCATGAGGTCAGCGAACCGGTTGGCATTACTGAAAAAACACGACTTTTTGTAACAGAACCGGCTGAAAAATATGACATTTGTGTGATGAAACCGGCTGACAAAAAATTTGAATCCCACCACTGGCTATAACTGAAAGAATAAAATAGACTGAAATCACATGGTTTTTTAATTGACCGAAAACAGATAGGGTTTCCGTCGTAAACGTTTTACTGTCGATTTGTTAACAGATATAACTAAAAGAATAAAATGCGCATTGGATCGAGTTGGTGAAGCAAAAGGATTTGTCTTGGATATTTTAAAAGACTATCGCCTGACCACCAGATAGCAACCAACACAAACTCGGAACCGCCACAAGGTGTCCAATTTCCAATTGTGATGACGTCATCGTAGACAAACAAACAAATTAAGTAAAAATTTGCCTACGGATATTTTTGAAATAAATAATACTATGACCTTATATATCATGACTGCATTTGAATATTATTGCAACAGAGTTAGTATTACTATTGATCCAAGTAAACAATCAGTTTTCAATTTTGTTTAACATAACACAGGACAACAGCTTGGTGTGTTTTTTAAATTGCCTCCGAATAATAGTGTGTCACATTCATTTTTTCCCAATGAATATTATGCAGCTGTTATCAATTTCCTAAGACAGTACAATATCACTGAATCAAATTTATCTCAAGGAAAACATAGACTTTTCTTTATATGATATAATTGTGAATAACCTAATGGATGGGGAGGAATTGTGTTTCTCAGAGATGGTAATTTGGATGGAGCTTGCTCAAATATACATTCTAAAATTTTGGCCAATAATATCAAAACTTTTAATTACAAATTGATGTGGAACATACTCCCACTTGAAGTAATACCAAGAATAAGACTTATCTCTGGGGATGATGTATGTATACTGTGTAAACAAGAACCTGAGATTGTATCTCACCTGTTTTGGTACTGTATTTTTACACAAAGTGTATTTGATTATGTTTATTCTGTTTCATTAAAAATAAATAACTGTGTGTTGAAAAATAATTATAAAACTTGTATCTTAATGGACTTGAATGATCACTGCTATTCACATTTATACAATGTTGAACGGAATGTCATTATATTATTATTGTGTACAGCAAGGTATAAAATTTGGCTGGAACGGAATGCCACAATTTTTTAAAATCATAACCCAAGTGTAAATAATGTAATTATGAAAATTAGGAGCTCAATTTTAGCAAGAAGAAATATTGATAAATATAGAAAAAGAATCTTGTTATGTAAAAGAACTTGACTTAATATGTGATAGCTTATGACTAATTATATTTTTGTTTTTTATGCTCTTTAATTATAACTATATATACTACATAACTGAAATGACTTGTATTGAAAACAACAAACAAATTAATCGAACTATGGATTATATGAAAATTATGTGCCTGATGGAACTATCACGATATTGATATATATATATGTTTGTTTACTTTATGTCTTTATTTATTAATATTTTATTTATTTAATGGATAATCCACTTTGTGAAACCATAAAAAAAATTAAAATAAATAAATAAAAGTAATAGCTAGCGACAGATACAACCACCCAAACGTTTAAAGCAGTTAGTCCAGTACTTTTTCACAAGAAAAAAAGGAGAATGCCTAACATATGAATAAACATATGAATAAAACAGCAACAGCTTGATAACGAAACGATCCATAGTAGAGATGTACCGATACCACTTTTGTCGCCGATACCGATCCGATACCAGCTAAAAACGCCGATACCGATACGCCGATACTACAAAAAGGCCGATATTACCGATATTCCAATACCGATTCTATGTAATTATTACTTTATTAGGTGTGCTGTGTAGGGCTGACGGGTTAAAACAATGGTCTCTGAGCGTTGTTCATAGTACACATTATTTCAGATAAAAAAAAAAGATATATCACATAATATGAAATAAATGTTTGGTGTTTGCTTCAACTGATTAAAATATATTGTACAGTAACGCTAGTAATCTCAGTGTTTGGTTCCAGTACATTTGAACCCACGTACATTTGAACCCATGACAATTGCACCTGCATGCTATTGCACATATGGAATTTTTTTTTGTTTTACGGATAGTTGAACCCATACTAACCCTAACCCATGGGTTTTAGCACCCGAATATAGATTGAACCCGCGGATATACACGTGGGTTCAAATGTACATGGGTTCAAATGTACGGTCACCTCGGTGTTCAATTAGAAAACTCATAAGCCCAATGTCCAATTTGAACTTAATATGAATATCGCGACTTTCGAATATCGTTATTTGTGTTTAAAAGAATATCGAATATCACCCACACATTCTAGCGCCGCCGTCCTACGTTCAAATTAAAAGCATTTTACAAATATTTTATTTTGTGGCTAATCGTAATCGTCGACGCAATAAGTCAAAGCCAAAATGAAAGAGTATCAATCAGCACCGACAAAAAGAAGGCCTACCTATAACCGTCGATGATGTTTTTTTACTTTACTATTTTATAATATAAAATATTTTACAATTGCTATCATATATTTTGAATTTCGGAATTTAGTTCATTGATGTCGACGGATTAAATGACACTCGTACTTGACGACAAACAGTCAGAATTTATACCCGTGACAAAAGTCCATGTGCCGTTAATAATGACCCCAATTCCACTGTATGATTTGAAACTGGGCGCCTAGTTGCTTTTTGTTATGTGCTGTGTTGATATATTTCTTCATAATTAACATGTAATATTAAAAATGTCAATATTAAAATTTGACAGAAAAAATAGCCAAATTAGTTGAGCTAGTTTGGCTGATGAATAGCTTAAAACACGTGAATCCTATTCTCTCGCGGGGGTGGGGACATGTATGTCTCATAGCTCACGATCTCTCCAGACAAAAAATAAATTAAAAAGTAGTATTCCAATTTATCTTTTAAAACATTCTGGACCATATCAAAAAGATAAATATATCGGAAATATCGGCCTTAATTTAACCGATACCGATACATGGCCGATACCGGGAAAATGACCGATATTGCCGATACCGATACCCGATACCGATACATCGGTACATCTCTAATCCATAGGCCCACTTTGTGTCAAAAATAGAATGAACGGGTACTGTAGAAACGGGTTTTTGATCAGCGTGTAGTCAAGTGCAACGCACTACTATGCTTGAAGAAACGTAAAAATTGATTTGAAATTTATTTGGACTGTTTGATCCCCAAATAGATTGAACAAAAACGGATTTAAATTGCGGATTTAACCTGAAACTTTCATATTCGAAGTACATGTGCTCGCAACTTACAAGTTAAGACTGAATTCCCCGAAGAATTCAAGCACAACTGAGTGACGTGTTACAGTGCACAAACGAACAGACATTACAATAGCCCATTTCTTTGTAAAGTTGAGTAACTGCATTGTTTATTATCAGCAACGTGGTAATGTTTTTTATTAGTAAAATTTGCTCTAAACTTTTTTCTCGCGGCTTTTTGCATCGCAAATACTTAATTTCATTTCGATATCTGATCTGGCCGTCGTTGGTTGCGGACGTGATATTGGAGTTAGACGATGAAACACTTCTTTGGACTAAAACGTGGATAAACCGGACAAACATAGATCCTCCAGCGAATCTAATTTCGGGACTGTAATTGGATGAAGCCCAAAAGAGTTGGAACGATATTGGACAAAAATAGGAATGTTGAACTTTCGTATAAACCATTGGATCTTTCTAAATAGACTACAAAAGTTTGAGTTTTCGGGATAAGTGGCCAATACAATGAAGGCCTGTGATGTGTGACAGTAGTATATCAACGCTTTTATTTTTTGCACAGAGTGACCTCTGGCTAGCCTAAATCTTATATGTAACAATAGGAATGCCTTCAAATTTTGGTATCTGTACGTAGCAACTACAGCCATTGTTAGTTTATTGTGTTTATTTTGCATCTCTCTAGTCACATGTAATCATTGCGTGGTTGAAACGCGTTTGTGCCCGTCTTATTATCAATTTTATCGTCGTTTTTAAACTTGTATTTGTGTCTCACTTTTATGCCACACGAAACGCCCGATGAGCTTCTCCCTGCTACATATCTAGTTTTTTTTATAATATGATTATGTACGTTATATTCGGTGAACGAGCTCGTACATTACAAGCTACGGACCTTTTTCTCAAGTTTTGCTTGTTTTTCAGGAATTCATATTCAAATATTTTGTTCGTTTTATTGAGTGTTGTGTTTTCAGAATACCGAAATATATAGTATTGTATAGTATTTATTTTTGATTGTATTGATATAAAAAGTGATTTTTTCCGTTTTAAACAAAAAACGAAACAAAAAATCAAGAAAGTGCTAACCATGGAACACAAGGTGGCGTAGCTCCAACCAAAGCCCATATATACTATACATCCAACGAGCTACCGTTTCGGAAAATTTAGAAATTTGCCGGCACAGTACGGCAGTACCGGTACGGTACCGATATGGCGCGCTTTTTTTGTTTGTTTTATGTTTTAATGCAGGCGTAAATGTTGTAATGAGCTAATTCAATAAATAACATAGCATAAATTTTATAATTTTCGTTTTATAATGGCAAATACTAAACTGATTTGCCGTCGACAGATTGCAGAAGGCTGACTGCTCAGTCAGTCAGTGGTTTTCTGTAAGATCTGCAGCTCCGCTATGTCAGTGTCAGCATGTAACATCACGGCCTGTTACGGTACCGTCACCAGTAACCTGAAAAGTCAATATGTTATTCTGTTATTGGCGGTTGCTTCTATATGGACAAATAACAAAATCAGTACCGCAGACCAATGTATTGGTGTCAGACAGACAGTCACAGTTCTGTATTCGGTGTAACAAAAATAGATTTTGTGATTACTGATTTCAGGGTTATAAATTTCTTACATAGATAGTCTGAATCGGGGATGGCAAACCACTGCAGCACTGACCCGCGGGCCAGACTGGATTCCATCGCAGGTGCACGCCCGAGGACGCTAGCGCTCCGCAAAAATGCACGCGAGCGAATTCAATTTTGCATGCCGAAAATTTGCAATTGCTCACCAATGTAAATCGGTTTAAATATCGTGTTGAATGATAGGAATCTCGTGAGAATAGTTCTGTAGTTATGTACGAAAAGATCGACTCTGGCCAAGTACGGCCCAGATTTAGCAGCTTTTTCGTACAATAATTTTACACGAATGTACTGAACAGTACCGGTATCTAAAGTCGCACAAACACTCTCAAAATTAGTGACGAAGTATAAAAATAATGTTTGGGGTTAAAAGGTCAAACGTCCATTCTGCTCTGATCTGACGTATTTTTTATCCATTAATTCTACGTAAAAACACTCCCAAAATTATTGACAAAGTATGTCCATTTTGCTCTGGTTCAACGTATTTTTTATCCAATAATTGTACGCGGATGTACTGAACAGTACCGGTATGCAAAGTCGCACAAACACTCTCAAAATTAGCGACAAACTGTATGAAATAATGTTTGGGGTCAAAGGTCAAACGTCCATTTTTGCTCTGTTAGTCGTTGGATTCAACGTATTTTTTATCCGATACCGATAATTTGTATTGAGAGGTATCTAATGTCAAAGTCAGTTGCACGCGGGCGCAGTTGTTTTGCACGCTGCGAGCTATAATTGCACGCCAGGAATTCTTATTTGCACGCGGGAAGTTCTGAACCCCCCTATTATTCCCCCTCCTTTAAATGTAGAAACGTGAAACTTTAAAGATGGTTAAAAGAAACACAACTCTACCCACCTGCCAAGTTTCATTTTTTTATCTCTTATATTTGTATGAATTTTCAAGCTTTTTGAAAGAGACAATGGGTAGTTGGCGACATGAAAAAATGGTCTGTTTTTTTTTCTTCGGTCAGGTTTTTGGTCGTAACTTTTTCGTTTGTGGCCGCATTTTAGTGTAATTTCGCAGGGCTAAGAGGAATAAGTGGACGATAACGCGTAATAAATATCGTTGCGGTTCGTTAATTTTTTCGGCATCAATTTAATCGATGAAGTTGATGACTGCAAATAGGTCGTGGCCGCCAAGTGGCTAAGCCACCCTACTAACATTTTGGTGATAAGACTGTAAGAATTGATAATGGTACCGGTAATGGAGCCAACACCCAAATTCAGAAATTCAATCTAACAATACAGCAATGAGTGAACTACTGCAGCTGTACAGTGTAATAATATGCAGCTACTGTTAACGAAACTCTCGCAACATTTATGACACACCGGTAACACTCTGACACTGCAACAACTGAACAATGCAACCGATTGGTTCATTTTTTATAACTTGTTATGTTAGAACAGTTCACTTTCGGAAATGCCTGAATTAAAGGGGACAGGCAGTAAAATGTTTGATATTCCAGATTATTGGAGGCGCTACTTTGCAGCTCGTTCTTATCTCGCATACAATTCCGTATGGAAATTTTGAATCTACAACTACAGAAATCTGAAATAGCAATTTAGCAGGATGGTAGTGACTTTTAATGTAGTTGAAAGACGATTGAAAAATATAATTCTCTCAATGTGTGGTGAATGTGTATGCCTGCCTTCACGAATCTCTTGAAATCGAGTACTAGAAATCGCATCAGCCCTAATATGAGTTCTACGTGTCTAAAGTTCAAAACTACACAATACTAACCAAGAGTTAAGAGACTTGCAGAAAAGATATGAAAGCAGACACTGAGACATGACATGACGCAGACAATGATTAAATATCTGTGACCTACGGTGTTCCTTACTGTAACCTGAAGATTTACTTAACAGTGATACAGGGCAGGAATACCAAATTTTTATCTACTAATTCTTTAGTACTTCCGTTTTTGGCATCCTATAGTCACACTGTATTTCTTCACATCTACATGTTGACAGATACCTTATATAAATTTAAGTTATCATGGCTGCTGTTGCCAGTGATAGAAATCTTCGGCATAAATCATTGAAAGTATATGACGATGAAGATGTTGAAGATGAAATCGATGGAAAACGGACATTTGATGTCATGGAAAAAATTAAATCTGACAAGTAGGCTTTTCTAAATTTTCATTTGTGAAGTGCTGTCTAATGCAGCGTTTCCCAAACTGTGTTCCGCGGAACACTAGCGTCTTCGAAGTGTTCCGTGGAAAAAGAATTAAAAATACGTCTAAAATGGTCGCCATGACGATCTATGGGACGTGAACTGGTCGCCCAACTGACCTTTCGATATCGCGGTAGCCGTCACCTAAAGTGAACTAATTAGGGTGGGGTAGTGGAATTTTCAATAATCGTGGCTGTTCCTCCTCCACCTTTGCCTGGTTTTACCTTGAAATGCTGAAAAAATTTCTCATTTTTGCTAAACTCTATTAAGTAGATAAATAAACTGCTGCAAGTACTTCTATCTTCATTAGACGTTACATTAGAGGCAAACACTAAGTTAGGGAAAGTAAACGACATAGAATGGTAAAATGAATGAATTGATTTATATACACAGCATTTAGATTAATGAACAATAAAACATTTATATCAAATGCAATATGCAAATTATTCAATCATTTTTTAGTTATGGTGATTGCATTTGGCAACTCGCCACGAGATTGGGAACCGCTACATTATACCATTTTTCTTTATCAATTTTATTCTTTCAATTTTTGGTGTTCCGCGAGGCGAGATAAAAAGTGCAAGTGTTCCGTGACCGAAAAAGTTTGGGAAACGCTGGTCTAATGTATCAAAATCTCCATAGAAATGATGCAGCTAAATAGCTCAAGGAATGTAAATTCCTGTCAAATAGTGGAATTGTTACCAATGCAGCTAATATGGTTGGAAATTACAATCCAATTGGTTCTGCTTGATCCGATGATCATAGTTTTTGGCAGTATTGTTATGCAAATAGTTGGTGTTGAGTTGATCCCAAAATTTTTGCCAGATATTTGAGGTAGACTCTAGGAGATTTAGCGTTATTGTCCTATCTATCTTTTAGTTTTATTGCGTGTCATTTGTGGAAGTTTGGCTACACAATACATAAAATCTGATTTACCTGTTAAATAAGTTTACAAATGGATTGTCCCTTAAATTTTGCCAAATTTTGTCTAATTTTGTCATACTTTGCCTTTTTCACGAATACTTAATTTAGAAAATTAGGATCTAGATATATTTTTTGATGATCTGTTTCATTTATTTTTAGATATAATGCGGAGTGTGTGCTTGAGCTTGGATCAGACACATTCAATTTCAAATATATACAAAAGAATGGATTTTATAGTCCAGTCAGATTTAAAGAAAAAGACCAGCTAGGTTTGTCAATTAGAAATGTCAAAATTTGTGCATTCTGCTTCATTTATTTGTGGCATCACCATTTTAGAAAATAATAAGATGTGTATTTATTACATGTTTATTTGAACATTAAAATTAGAATATTTTTGAAGGAATGATATTCACTAATCATCACTATTAAAAATATATAGAAAGCTAACTAAACTGATAATACTTACCGTATATTTTGGCTATGGATACGAATGATGGGTGCATATCACTGCAATTATGCATACATATATCTGTGTTGACCCGTTAGTTGTTCATTGTTGTTTTTAAATTCTCTATGCACACATAATTGCTAGGCTTTCTAGATGTGTGAAACGTGACACAATTATATATTATTCATTTGCACTATTGTTTTGTGCTACTCACGTGCATGCTATATATACAGTTTTCATAAATGTTAAATTGTATTTGTGTTTTTAGTAATGCATTAATCTTTCTCTATATGAATACAACAAATTTTTATGTAACATTATGTTTCTCCATTAAAAAAATATTGCACGTATGATAACCGCTGCCACAAAATTTTTGTAGTTTGTAAAAAAGTTGCCCTGTTCGTCTTTTTATCAGTGTTTTCACATCTTAAATTATTGTCCGATTTTGTATCATGTGTGGTTATTTTGTTGTGTGCTTCAATTGTTTTGGTGGACAGGCACGTACTCTTATGTTTTTAACTCTTTCTCCAGTTATGCTCGTCTTACAGGTCCTCTGCATTTCGTTTGTACGTTTAGTGTTGTCTTGTTCTATATCAGAGCGACCAAAATAAAATTGATTGATTGATTTATGTAGCCTCTTGTAATGACATGCTAGTCAAGATAAATTACTGTAAGTATTATGCCATGAATACATCAAAATAATACTCAAAAATATTGTTTCAGGAATGACATTGCCAGATCCAGATAATTTCACAATAACGGATATCAAAGGATATGTCGGAGGGCGTAGAATGTTGGATGTGATGGAATGTGTAACACAGAGAGCAATGGAAATGTCCATGAAAGATTTTGCACAATATTTTGAAGTAGGTCACCGATGTGCTATATGTTGAGAATTTTTCATTTGAAAAATGTCAATGACAATTTTACTACACTTGTTTGCGTTCATAATAAGTAAAATAATAATTTCAATAATTTGAATTAATTGATAAATAATATTTTTTTTGATAATTTTATGTTTAGTCTTTAAGAAACAACAGCTTCTTTAAAAGTTGTCATATAGTTTGATTAGATTTTGTTGCAGTTCGTTACTTACTGCAATTCAATTCATGCAAAAGGAATTGTTGTAAATTTTTTATTTGGAAACACTTGAACATAATGTTTTGTTTGTATATATATATATAAATATATATGCTTTTCTTCTTTTGATTACAGGGTACTGAGCGTAAAAGAATTTACAATGTTATTTCTTTGGAGTTCTCACAAACTAGGCTCGGCCCACTTGTTAAAAGACCGGCTGTTGTTGATAAGATTGATTGGATTGACTTGGCGTGGCCTCCTCATTTAAAATATGAACAAAGTGAGCAAACAAACAAAATGGCTCAAATGAAATATCCCAAGGTAGTGTATGCTGTTTTTAATAATATAGATGAAGATTCATTTAAATGTAAGTTTCAAATCTTCTACTGTTTGAGTGACGTCATCTCACTTGGCGGTGCGCTCGGTTGTTCGAGAACTGAATTTCTGTTTGAGTACCCCAGCTTTTTTGACTAGAATATTTTGGTCGACTACGGATTGTTCGATTATCGAACCGTTCGACTACCCAGTTCCAGCTCTTGTGACATGATCTTATGACGAGATCTTATGACATGATCAAATTACGAAAGAAATCCTGTAAACATGCATAATATTGATATGTAAATAGGTGACTCATGTACATATAATAATTTTAACAGTCTTCCCATTTTTTAACACATTTAAATAGTAAGATTTTTAGGAGTAATTTATAAACATGTTGAACTTTACAATTGCAAATTCGATTACTGCTATTTGTAGTAGATTCGTCAAGTCCTTTTCACAAATAATAATTTGTTGATCGATATTTTCAGGTCCAGAAATACTGTCTAATGTCAGTAAATGGTTGTTACACAGATTTTCATGTGGATTTTGGTGGTACATCAGTATGGTATCATGTTTTGAAGGTAAGTTGTCAAAGACTAGTACTATATTTCATTGAAGAAGCCGCTAAGCTCGCAGAAGTAAATGTTTTTTGACCTTGTTTTTCATTTTAATCTCATTTATTCTATTTAAGGCTGTGAAGCAGTGAAAAATTCATTATGAACTTCACTGTTGCACGGCGTTTGTTTTGTGGTGACTAGCCTAACGTGCAGTGCCCACTGTTGGTTGTAGTTCAGAAATAGAAGTTGCAAATGCATCATAATCTGAAGTTCAATATGCCGATTGTTTATGGGCGAAAATAGTGCGACCCGCGTCCTTCTGGAACAGTGTATATTTGGCCCAGTAGTAAATAAAGTTTGCCAACCACTGAACTACATGATACATCTAACTTGGTGTTTGCATTCGAGTATTGCACGATTGCATCATAATTAGGTGTTTTCAATTATTGTGAAATTCCAAACCAATGTGCAGAATAAAATTAAAAGCAGATTTTAGATTATGATCTGATTTTACAGTAACATTAAATTTTTGAAAAAAATTCAGGGTGAAAAGCTGTTCTGGTTGATTCCACCCACGAACAAAAATCTTGAGACATATGAACGCTGGACGAAGTCAGGAAAGCAGGGAGATTTATTCTTTGGTGATCTTGTCGACAAATGTCAGAGAGTTCATCTCCACACTGGAGATTCACTGATGATTCCAAGCGGGTGGATTCATGCTGTTTATACTCCAGCTGACTCCATTGTGTTTGGTGGCAATTTCCTCCATTCCTTCAATATTCCGATGCAACTTCGAGTTGCACAGTTAGAAGAAAGACTACATGTTCCCCCAAGATTCAGGTTTCCTTATTTTCAGGAGGTAATTTTTTTATTGCCCTTTTCTTATGTTTTTTCGATAAAACTTCTGAATCAAGAATAGTTTTTCTTGCCTGTTTGAGAATATAAATAAATTTTCACTTCGATTGTTCTTGTTTTTTTTTTTTGTGTGCTTTTGCTCTGAATAATGCTCTGCACTATAGATTGAAAGGACTTGAATTTTTCCGATTTGGCATTGTTTACACAGTCTATTTAACCCTGAGTGGGATGGTGGTCACAAGATTTGAACCCTAGATATACACCTGCGATGCCATCAGAGTTTAGTCTAACACTTAACCACTATGCAACCGTGCCTAGTATTTTTTTCACGCTTTCAAATATCAATGCAGCACCCAATTAATTCAGCTTTAGAATAAACAGCTAGTTTAAAAATGAACACAAACTAATAAATTAGGCACCTATTTAAAAAGTGGTTTGTTAAGCTTTGGTCAGTGTTTCTTATAACTTAGTCCAGAAATAATTTCATTCTATGTTTAACTCATTCAGGCATTATGGTATACAGTTGAAAGATATGTTTGTAACTTGACTGGGCAATCTTTTCTGACTGACGAATATAAAACTAAATCAATGTTGGTGAAAAAACAACAAGAGGATGAAGAGGAAGGAATTAAGGAAGAAACTTCAATCAAACAGGAAGAGGTATTATAGATTTTAAACATTTCTTCGTCGTGGACATTGCCGTTGCTGTATTGGCTTGAAGAGTGTTGATAGGAAGAAAAACCATATTTTTATGAATGTTTGCTCAAAGCAAAGTCTGGAGCCCTCAACTGTAAATACAGTTATCGATGAAAGATTTGCATGTTACTATACTATTCACAATGATTAACAGGACTCTTAAATCATTTATGTCAACACCGTAGATAAAACGATATTTAGGCTTCGCCCCATGGGTGTTTTACCCCAAATATTCTCTCCACAGCATTCCCCAACCGCAAGACTGTTCCAGTTATGATTTTGATTGTCTGTTGCCCTAGGAGTTGAAATAATAATATACAAATAATGTGTGTATTTATAGGACATTTGTGGGCATAGTTAGGGTTAGGATTGTGCTGGTGCTGTAAGATTACCAGTATTCGTCGCTTCTGTTGTGATTAAATATTCGTAAATAAATCTACAAGTCCACATGTGTGTGTGTATATTATTATTCTTAAACAACCCCCACTGTGACTGATAATAAAAATGATAACTCAATCCTGTCTGCCAAACTGTCTTGTTGTCGGGGAAAATCTGTGTGGCAAAAAGTCTTGAGATGGAAAGTATAGAAGTACAGAATATAAGGAATTTTTTTAGAGATGTGGTTTCCCATATGTTGTTAACCCCAATACTTAACATAGCATATATAAACCTCCTAATCCAACTTGTCAGTTTGAGTAAATTTATACATTTTGCATTAAACTTTGACAGAAAAAAGATCATGTTCACCTAACTCCATACGAATACAAGGGCTTGGTTCAACTTATCGAATCTCTGGAGCATTTACCAAAAAGCAAGAAGTTTGTTCCAGCAGGAATAGAAAATTGGCAAGGACTCTTGACTGCTGCAAAACAAATGTTGTTCGCACATTCTGCAGATGATCCTGAACTTGCCTTAACTGGAGAAGCTATTCCATGTTGGCCAAAACCAAGCAAAAGAACAATTAAAAGGTGTGGCTTTCAGAGTTCAGTCATTGTCATTCATTGTCTCATTGCAAGTACTGGTATCAGGAAATGTTAGGTCCCTGCATGTACCATGATAATTCAAATTATGTTTATACTCGTGTCATAGTAAAAATATATGTTCAAAACTCTCTGAGATAACGAACAAACATAGATTGAGATAATTATTGAATATGACCCAAACTTGATCATTGCATGTTAGTATCACTTTCGTCATTGTAAGTTTTACTTCTTGTACTTGTACAGAGGAACCCAAATATTTCTAAATTACTTCTACGAAAGCAAAGATAATATATTATTCTCTTGAACTTCTGTTTTGTATGATTGTACCCCAAAGTTTCAGAAATCCAGGAAGCTTTGCACAAAAGTTATGTTTTCTATAAAATATTTTCAAGTGATTTTGGATCCGTTTTTTTGGTACATTGTAAGCACAGGATGGCATAGTCAACCTTTTCAACAATAAAGTGAAGGCTTTGATCTGCGATTGTTACACTTACACCATAGTTACAACATCCACAATATTTCGTATTAATATTATATAGCCATGTTTATATTGTCATAGCAATTTGTTTTCTTCATATTCCAGATCTAGGTCTGATGATGGTAGGCCAGTCAGGAGAACTCCATCAGCAGGTAACAGAGTTCGACGTGTTAGATGTAAACAATGTGAAGCTTGTTTGAGAGGTGATTGTGGAGATTGTGTTTATTGCAAAGACATGAAAAAATATGGCGGACCTGGTACTATGAAGCAATCATGTATGCTCAGAAGGTTGGTATCAAGTTTTTCATTCAATTCAATTATATCATATTTTTTTTTTCTATTTTGCTTTTAAACAACTGCGATATTCTGCTGTGGATTATTGTGCATTTCATTTCGACTTGTTTGGGCTTGGCATTTATTTTTGCCAGGCTGTCAAAACTCTTCACTACAGATGTTGAGTTAATGAACCAATCAAGAATCATGAAATGCAATCAGTTTCAGTTATTTTTAGTCATTGTCAGTATGCTGCAATATAGAAGAATATTCCGAGATATCGGATCCACTGTTCTATTTAATTTAATAATTCTCTATTGATATCACATAATTTTAAAATAAATTTTTTTTTTTCAAATTTATGATATGCATATAACTTATAAGCTTGCCATTTTGCAATTATTTTTGTTATTGTCTACTATGTTTCAAGCAAACATCTTGAAAAATACTAGACTCTGATTTTTTTTTTTTTAACACTAGTTTTTTGCTTTATTAGTTACAACAGTTTCTTGTCTGTATTAGATTTTTGTGACAGACACTTTATTTTGATCTATTTATTTTTAACGTTGCAGATGTACAAATCCTCTCATGCCATCTACACATCGTAGTGATAGTGTGGGTGCTCCTGATACTCCGACACCAATTCAAGATGTGGTTGAGAATGATCCAGAACCTGAAGAAGAAGAAGACGGATCACCTCCACCTAAAAAAGGAAAAATATCTCGTTACAGACAACATGAAAATGGAACACCCAGAACACCAAGACTAGAAAAAGTAAAAATAAGCAAGGTGCTGTATAAATTCCAATTTTTATGTAAAATAAACATTTATTCGTGGGTATGTTGTATAATATATTCAAGTTCCATCGTACAATGTGGTATAAAATTTAAGCAAGAAGTTGTATTTAAATTATACTTGATTCGACAATCTCAACAGCTATATGTCAATGAAAATTTAGGGTATTCGGTTTAGGCCTTTTCCTTCACCTTTTCACTGAAATGGAACCGAAACTTATGACATTCTAAGGTTTTGTGAAAATCACATATTTGTTAATAGTTTAGTTTTAACAGCCAAACCTAAAAATGGACGTGTTAACTAAAATCAAAACTAAAACAGGTACAGCTTTGAGACTCAGCCCAAAAGATGGCCCCAGTACATAATAACAGGAGAACTAAAAAAATCCATTTTCTAAAAACGTGACATGAGAGACTGCTGTACTGCTGCAATATATACTTACTAGCCTGCTGCACTGTTGTCCAACATTCAATTATGTTGGAATTTCGAAATCTGTTTTGCAGGATCAATCACCGCTTGTACCTCGAGTTACCATCCCTAGGATGGAGAAAAAAGATCTTCTTCGGCATGTGATCAGGCCAGTGTCAGTGTCATTGGAAAGCAGTGAAGAATATGAAAAATTAGAAAAAACAAGCGAAGAGCAAATAGAAAATGATCCAACTGTGGACAGACAAGCATGGATGCAGGTATTTTTGTGGGGATAGACTGAATTTTGTTTTCTGCCCTCATTTCCTCTATGAACGTTTTAGATTGTTCTACTAGATTAGAGGCTACTTCACTTTCATTTAGTGTTGAGGCGCTCAGTAGGGCTGGGCACTTCGAGTATCTGAACCTAATCGAATAGTAAATTCAATTCAAATGAAAATTTTGAATCACGTTTATCTAATTTATTATTAATGAAATAAGTTTCTTATTGTGTGGGAACACTCAGCGAACAGTCTGAGTGGTGGATTCTATGTTTTCAGTATTATATGCAGCTGGTGGACTCGTCACAATAAAAAAAATCACATAAAATTGAGTCTCTTTTCAGTATTCGAGATTCGAAAAAATATTCGATTAGATTCTAAAATCTTCATGTATTCGAAAATGCCCAGAGCCGTAGTGCTCAGTTGCCAACAGCATTTCTATTTACACTACTTTTGGATTCCTACTGTGTTAATTTGAAATGCTTTTAAGTTTTCTCAGTCAATATTTCAATGCAGCAAATATTATGACTGTCTTTGCATGTTGCTGGTTACTTACAATTACAACTCTTCCATGTGCAATCTGTTATTTTAAAGGTTAGGACTTATCTGTCCAACAATACTTGTTATTTTATGAACTTGTAGATATGGCCCAGTTGATTTATCATTATTGACAGTTATATATTTAGTCTTTAGATTTTTTCCTTAGTTTCTGTGAGATGTTTTTTATTTAAAAGTTCTCAGAAATTTTATGACTATTTTTTAGGTGTTCAAACGTTTGCCACAAGAAGATTTATGTCGGTGCATGAGAGTTTGTAAAGCATTTCTTCGATGGTGTTCAAGCAGTAGTTTATGGCAAACCATTGATTTATCCGAATCTCCTGTTACTCCTGACGCATTGCGATGCATCGTACGTAGAACACCAAGTAAAATTGACCTCACAAGAAGTTATGTATCTTCCGAACAGTTATCGTGGCTTATCAAAAGGTGTCCTAGCTTACGAAACCTCGTTCTTGTATCTAATTCATGGTCTCTCACAGCGTCTCTATGCTCTGCTAACTGCCCTCCGCTTCATTCCCTAAATTTGTCGTGGGTCACTGGTTTTACCGATTCGCATCTCAAACAGTTGATCTCACCACCGACTGATGGCCGTCCTGGTCAGCAGATCACACAAACAAGATTAAGGTTTTTAAGACATTTATTCCTGACTGGAACAGATGTGACCAACGCTGGCGTGTCTCTCATCCCTTCAAAACTGCCTCATTTGCATTCAATCGATTTAAGTTATTGTAGTGTCACCGATAAAGCTATTCGCTGTCTTATTACTGCTGCCAATGATCAAACATGCATCAAATTAAACACAATTGTGGCAAAAAGCTGTCCTGACATCACACGAAATTCCCTGAAGCATATTACAGAATTTATAAACGTGGTTAGAATAGATTTTAGAGATTGTTGTCAGATTACAGAACAAGACTGCTACGATATCCTGCCAAAACTTCAAGCACAAAACATTGTGTTATCAGAGCCTGGTCTTTTTGTGTCTGAAACAGATGTTCATTAATGAGTTTTGGACCGGTATACTGGTGCCAGTGTCCGCCGTCAAGTGTTTCTCAACTTGAGAACATCAGGGACGTTGAAGTTCTCAGTTAATGAGTATACATTGCCTCTAAGAGCCTTTTCTTGGGGTAAGGTTTTTGTTATTTAATTCAATAAGTCAGGTATATTTATATGGTACAAATTTATCATGTTATTGTATGTTAATAAAGCCAGCAAGCATCCTTTAAAACACGGGTGGGAATCTAAATAGAACATTTCTGGGATATCGTTTTCATACTCCACATTTTGCCTCAATTGTGTTTCAATCATTCAGTGCTAATGAACATGAATGCTATTAATACCTATGTCATGACATCATATCACATAAATTTTTGGTCCCTGAAAATTACATCAACGAAAAATCTTCGTTAAGAGCCTTTTTAATTGATTCTTTTTTAATGTCATACTTTCAAATATCTGTGGTTGGAATTTTCTGTACACAAAATCTTCAAGGCTTTTAATGTCAGTTACTACACTGGTTTAGGTTGCGGGCATCCTGTGTTTTCTTTCCTCTTACTTATAACACATTAATACAGATTGTGAGGTTAAGGTAATGCTATGTCATCCTGTTTGTATGACTTCGAACTTGAGAATGCAAGCACTAACAACTATGAGTAGAAAGGGGTTGCTGCAATGTTGTATACACTTTTAGGACTTGGGTGAACATTTTGTGACTCCTAGTTCTGTTGGACGCTGTTAGATTGTTTTTATCTTGATATTTTGAAAAACTAAATTTTGAAATTGGCTTGTGCCAAAGTTGTGTTGACTTATCATTATGTGCTTAGTAATGTTGCTGTTTTGTTGTTTACATTTAATTTTTGTCACATCAGCATTTTGCGTTAAATGAGAAGAAATAATTCAAATGTGGGATATTTGGTTTTGGTGTTGTAAGTGTATATACACTGCCCAACATTTTTTTTAAGTTTCAATTAATTATTTTAGTTTGAAAATGGAGATCTATTGTGATTTAGTGATTTCATAATTTCAGCTTACACTAGCTTTATTTGACGTAAGTTTTTCTGTCTGTAAACTAATTCAGGATCCGATGATCTTGGGATGCGAATTATGTCATCACTTACTCTAAAAAAGGACTGATGTCATGAGAGATTCTGTAATGCATGAAGAAAGGTTTAAGAGTTGGCTACAGTGATGCTTGTCTATGAGTGTTTCGTTTAACTTTATAAAGGTAGAATGTGCTGTCTCAAATATAATTTTATTATCGTGAATATTAAGTTATTTCTTTCTCGTTCATTCATCATCAATTTTATGTTTGTTCATTTGTAGCGTTGCTTTTCACAATTCCTAAATAAAATTTGGCACCATGAGATTGTATTACTGACCTGGGACTGGGACAAACACAAAAATTATTCAAAGATGATTCTGCGAAGAATAAATCTCTTGGAAGAAGCAGTTTCTCGTTACGATGAACAAAGTTAACGTTTTTGAAAAGTTCATTCCCATTTCAAATCAAACTACGGAAAGTAGCTACAAAGTTGCAGAATGTATCGCCAAGTGCGAGGAGCGTTTTACGAGTGGTGATTTCGTTAAAGAAGCGCAGTATTTATCAATTGTTCCGAAGTTTTCTGAGGATTTGTCGAATAAAGATTACATTCTCTCTAGGAGTAAAAATCTGCCAGTGTTGGCTGACGTAAAAATGCAACATGTTGCGTTGCGGTCGGCCAATACTTCAAGTGCTGCTCTTGGTGGGAGAGTGGATATATATCAATGATATTCTTCTTTCAGCGTTCATCGCGCGATATTGTTTTGACGATGCTGTGCAGGATTAGTTGTGGTGTCTAATCCCTATGTATGTCTCTACAAAAGGAGCAAAAATACTTGAATAATTTATTAATCACTTGGAAAAAACAAACAAATTAATATTTAAACAAGAGAGCTATGGTCAAATATATGGACACGTAGAGTCATATAATTTTGATGACGTCATAGCGAAAAAAAGCAATAGCCTTCTGGAGAATTCCCTTATGCAACTACTCATCGGCAGTTTCGTTCTTTTCTGGACGGGACGAACTGTGCACCTTCCTTCATATTGCACTTTCAGAGGGCTGAGTTGCGGTAAAGTCCTTGTGAATTTTGTTGAAAGTCTGGATGGAATAAAGATTTTTCTGTCGAATCAAAGAAAATACTATCCAGAATTGAGTGACGAGAAATAGTTTCTGAATTTTTTGTTTCTTACATATTTATATCACTACACAGTCCACACATAAACAATTTCTTCGTTCGTCCTGATCAAACAGTGTTATTTTCTAGACGTGAAAATATTTTATATATATATAACTAAATTCGATAACTGTATTCAAGATGTTCAAAGTCTCACTTACCGTTATTTCAAAAAATTTCGAGTTAATTATTTTATAGTTGGCGGCTGTACAAGTGAACTGAATTGCGTTTGGCTATCGAAACTGTTAATCGTAAGAATCGTGCAAAGTTGATATTGCAATGTTGGGCATCATTGCCGGACACTTCTGGTGATCTTAACGGGAGTAGCAAAAGAATTTATTTCTGTATTCGGATCAACGTAGCCTACTCGTGCACACAAATTTTTTCGCTTTCGTTCAGCTAAAATCCCGCTAAAATAGAATTTTATTGTGAATATTTTGGGGTATATGTATATAATGAAAATACTCTAATAATTTGTCGTGATATTTCGTTAAGTACGGTTAAACAAATAACTCAATGTAGTGCAAACTATCCAAGCAATTTTACGTCAATCTGTATTGTTCTCATGTTTTCTGGGTAAAGCGACTTCGCATCGAAAGGCCCGGAGTCCACATGGACCTGAAAACTACTGTTGTAAATCTCCTATTCGGAAAGTCTACTTATTTTTTTTTTGTCTGCTCTCAATCAGATAATTTGTTAAAATCAACAGATAACTTCTACACAAATAGTCATCATCATACAGGATGCCATGCTTTCTTCCGTTCTGTTGTTTTTTTGACGTGTAACGGACGGCACAATGACTCATACATATCAAACCTGTAAACTGCATCTTCGAATGCTTCAGGTAAGTTGAGCAACAGATTTAGATAGTCGTCAGAATATTAATTAGCATTAGACAGATTTAGGATATTTCATATTTCCATGCAAGAGTCTTTTTGGTCATATGAAATATAGTTTTCTTTAAGTTTATAGCTATCAAGTCAACATATTCAAGGAATTGAGAGTATTGTAGGGAGGTCGTAATCTATGCAATCATCCAATCATCCCTCGATCCGCGATAAAAAGTTTTTTCCTGGATTAGGTTTCGAATTCATTCACATTACCAAATACTTTCACTAGTTAAAATGATTTTTTTTATTTGATTTTCCTTCGATTTAATCAAAAAACGTAAAAAGAAAAAACGATTATTGATACTCGAAGGTTAGGCTGTGAAACTGAGTTTAATTTTGATTGATATATATCTTAGTCTTTACTGTGATGCTATATTCATGTTCTCAGTGCGGTAACTAAAAACTTCATAATGGGTTGTTGCAGCAGCAAAACGGATAATACAGTCGAATACACTCTCCATATTTTGGTAAGTAACATTCATTTTCATCTAACGTCGGCTTATTTAGGACACAATTTTCTTACAACACGATCAATATGATTTTTTCATTAGCTCTTCTCTTATATTTGCAACTCTTAAGCACCTCAAATTGCAAAATTTTAAAAATGATGAAACAAAAAATAATGCATGTACAAAGATAATAATTGTCACAAGAGTTGACAATATTTGATTATTGAATGGTTTATCCATATTTATCCCGGAGATGGGAAAGCGTTCAAAAGGATTATTCGTTATTTCGGGTCACGCATTCTTGTACGGTATTCAATGTAAATATAGTTAGTTATTGGTCAATGTTAAGGAAACATTAAGAGGACGCGACGCGTCCATCCATCCCACGCGGTGATGTAGTTTGAACTACGGTATACACAATTGACTCTTTCATATGGATAATTAATTTTATCCCGTTTATCTTTCAGACCAGTGATGCATTTAAAGGCGCAGGGTCAGACAGCAGTGTTTACATTGACATGATAGGTGAACAGAATGGAATAGGCACCGGGTGGATTAAAGTTCACAACGTCCATAAGAATGATTTTGAACGAGGGAAAATGGACAAATTCAAAATCAAAGCTAAGGATATAGGATTGCCTCTTATAATACGTCTTGGTAAGTTCTAGTCCGGGTTAAAAAGATTTCATTTTTCATTCTATTCCGCCAAAATAATAGGAGGGACAGGGGAAAAATGAACAAACTCAAAATCAAAGCTAAAGATATAGGATTACCTCTTATAATATAGGCCTTGGTAAGTTCTAGCCCGGGTTAAAAAAATGTTTTTATTCCTTCAAAACAACCGCTAAAGTCGCAATATCAATAGTCTCGTTAGAGTTAAAATCGATTTATTGAAAATTGTATGATATTCGAGTAAAAATGAAAAATTAAACAGAAATTTTTCGAGTAGCCTATATTATATCTATGTGAAACATGGCAGTAATTAATTTTCGTAATATTACAGAACTCCGTCATCGTAGCAAACCAGACAAATGGGCTTGTGATGAAATAACAGTTCTGTACGGTAACACGGAAGTTATGTTTCCTGTGTATGATTGGATTGAGAACGAAATCTGGTTCACGCGAGGGAAAGGTTTTTTAATTTTATTTCGATATAGTTTAACATGGTTTATTACTTGCAAATATGCTATTTGTCTATCTTATTGTCATTTCACCATAGCAATATGGTGGTATACTGACCTATTTTTATATTATGGGTTTTATATGATTTTATTTTAATTTCTGTAATTTAGTGACTTTTTTATTCTGCATGAGTTGACTTATTGAAGTATTGTACCGTCGTGACTTTAAATTTCTGTACTTCAGTGACTTTTATGTTCAGAATGAATCGACTAATTGTAGTATTATACTATTATTGCCTACTTTTGGTTGCGTGACCTTTTCATCCGTTGCCTAGATCTGTAGATAAATTTTAGCATCCTTTCATTTTTTCCCTCTTTGTCTCCAACATTCAAGAATCATACCTCAGTACAGTGCCGTTGTAAACAGTGTAAGACGTAGCCCGTCTCAGGCTTTACAATTCAATCATGCTGTCCAGCCTGAGTCACGTTGTCAGGTAATGCCTACACGACCGCAGTTACAAACCAACTAGCTCATGACATTCTATTTATTACTACCCTTGATTACCTATTTGAATTGCTGTAGTTGTCATGGTTATCTCCAGTCGCCGTTCGAATTCATATGCTCCTAGTGATACCGGAAAACCCGGTCTCTTTAAACATATACATATGCCATAGGCGATTTATGTTATTATCTGTATGATTTAAGGTTAGAGTTTTCAAGTATTTCTGCTCAATCACTAGTACTGGTTTATCGCGTCTTCTTTCACCTTGAAATGCATGTTTTTAGTTCTTTTTAACTCATTTCGTATGTACAATGTGTATTTTCAATATGGTGAAAAAATAAATTACTGATTACTGAACACTGAATAAAGTGCTATTTCTGAACTTTTTGCAACCATGGACAGCCGTTACATTTTCAGTGTTTATGTGCCATGAATTCTATCGAGTATTAACCACGTGATAATAAAAAAAATCAAATATAAAAAAATTCGATTCAAACCTGAATACCCGGTAGAGATCATTTATTGATATATTTTTCCGATAGCGGGGGAATTTCCTAATAGGTCGCTTCTTCCTCGCATTTTATAACACGCATGCAAGGGTTTAGTATGTTCCTAGCCATGGAAGATATAATATATATAAATAAGTACACATTATTGACCACAAAAGATACTATTCTCCTTATAGTTCATTATCACTATCTTTTTTATTGATTGTGAATTTATCAGTCTTGGTAAATCTCAGTTCATGAAATTATATTGATATACTGTGAAAACTTTTGTTTTTCAGCTCTCACACATACACAAGTAAAAAGTCCAGCGGTGAAATCCATGAGACAAAGGGAAATCGAAGCAACAAAAGTTAAATTCCAGTGGATTGTTAGACCGAATATAGATGACATTGGATGGGGTTTACCCCGATATGTAGATGCAACGACATTCAAAGAATTACCAAAAATTTTCCACGCCACCGACGTTCGCCAGGATAATCTTTTTTCGCGGGGATTTGAAGCAATAGTCAATAGAGCTTTGGCGACTGTGAAAAGTAAGAATGAATCATATATATGTCATTTAGAATGCTGGTTGACGAATTGCATTGATTGCTGTGAATTGTACACACATACAGTAAATAGATTCGATTAATTGTGAACAGAAGTTAATAACACTCATCTTCATTCAGATGCATTTTCTAAAATTGACGATTTAGATGATTATTCTCGATTATACAAGCACTTACAAGAAGATCAGGATCCGGTCTTTATGAACAGGTAGGTCCTGACCACGGTTTCTGCTGCCTTATGATGAATCTGTGTCACTTGGCATTATCAACGAAGCGCATTTTGCAACTTCTGTCAAGACACCCTGATAAAAGTTGTTTTCCTTTCCTAATTGAGCTTCCAAATTCTATGACTTCTATTATCGCGCTATTCAGAAAAAGGGTGTTGGTTGAGTTGGCATTGATCCATACCAAATTATTCTCATGAAATCTTCATTCTATAGAATGACTATATTTGGACATGAAACAGATACGACAAAATATAACACCCTGGCGCGTGTTTTTGTAGTTTAATTTATCACACGTTCTTACTCATAGATGGAAAACCGATGCCGAATTTGGAAGACAACAACTTATTGGAATATCTCCAACATCAATATCAAAGTAACTTTGATTTTATTTTTCATGGGAGTTCTTTGCGTTATAGAAATCTGAACTAAAAAAAAATTTACCAAGAGGCTTTAGAATAAAATGTATTTAGAATACATATACATATATATATATATAATTTCTGTATCAAAACCAGGATAATGGAAAAATTTCACTTCCACTCACATTCCAAGTTCAGGCATTTTGTGATCTATTCAGACGAATAGAGATTTAAATATTATTTAATGTTAATTTTCTCCAGGTGTACAACACTTCCTGATTGTTGCCAGATTTCCCACTCACATGTCTACGATATTCTCAACAACGGATACTCTCTTGAACAAGAAATGCAGGTCTTACAATATAAGACTTTTGTTAGCAAAATGCAATTCTTAAGCATTAGGAATGTCAATACCCTCGTCTAATTGGTCATTAATATTCTTTTACAAATAGCATTGACGAAAGATAATATCCAATGAAAGCTCTAATTATAGAATTTCATATATTAAAATTAAATTTCTCGTTTTTAGAGGGGAAGAATCTTTATTGGAGATTACAGCGAGGTGTTTCAAGGAGTGATAAGAAACAAAAATTCCAAGGGAGATGAGTTGTATTGTCCTGATGCCATTTGTCTATATTACGCGAGTCCCGAAGAAGATTTCATCCCCATCGCTATTCAACTTGTTCCAAATGATCCTGAAACAATATTCACTCCAAAAGATTCAGCAGAAGACTGGCTTCTTGCTAAAATGTACTTCAAAGTGGCGCTTTCAAATCTACACGAGGTATTAGAAGTCCGTTTATAAACCGAATTTGGTCAAATGTTTTTATATTTTTTCATTATTATTATAAGATGGAGAAAAGCACTTTGCAAAATAGCATTTCGTACTAAACAATAAAAAAAATTATATCTGAAATTGAACTAAAACTCTGATATTTGACTTGGTTGTAATAAATATTTGTAGGGGTACTCAAAATTTACCCAATCCCTAAATTTTCAGTGGCATTACCATTTTATGCTGACGCATAATGTGATGGAACCTTTTGCGGTGTCATTATTTCGATGCTTCCCACGTTCACATCCAATCTATAAGTTGTTGCGACCACATCTTCAGACTGTTTCTATCATCAACGCACTAGCAAGGGATACGTTAATAAAGAAAGGAACTCTTGCAAACAAAGCACTTGCACTTGGTAAGTAACAGTGGATATCGATAATTGACTATATAATCGGATATTCATCGAAAACCTGAATGTCAAAATCAACACACGATTCTCTTCAATTTTGTAACAGATAACTTTTTCTTGCCTTTGTAGAAATAATTGGCATCCAATTACTTTATATATCTCCAAGAAATTTTGGTTAAATGAATATCAATACTTCCAATCTTAGTCGACGAAATGACCAGTCTGCGTGGTGTAACAGACCGTTAATTTTAAAGTTCAAGCAGTTCTTCAGATTTTTCTCCAAATATCTGTATTTTGTCATGCTTGAACTTGATCCCGTTTATTTATTTCAAGTTCAACACATTATGTCAATCAATGATTTTGCCAAAAAGTAGTTTACTTTCCAGGTAAGTACTTTTTCCAATGGCGTTTATCACACCATTAGGAGTGAATTGTTTCGTTCGATAAAGGCAACATAAAAAACCATAACTATTATCGTAATAGCACGCATAGTGAACCTATTAATGAAAACAAAAAGATATTTATTTAACATATGAATCACGTTTTATTTGTCATTTCCTACTTCTTTCGCACGCTACCGCTTACAACTATTTTAAAGTACAAAACATAACATTACTGTACACCGATATGCGGAATCCGAATTTGATTTAAATATATTTTGGTTAAAATATTAAATCGAAGTCGGTGTCATGCAAAATCGAATGTTTGCATGATTTTCCGAAATACAATTAAACACTTTTAACAGTTATTTTTTTTTTTACAAAATCAAGTAATCGCACGAGAATTCACCACACCTATCAAAATTTTCTCATGCTAACTCAAAGTGACAGCCATGCTTAAACGTTGTTTAAAGTCGAAAAAAAGTTATTACACAAATGTTTTTAAGAGTAATAAAAGTTGGATGTAACGATTATTGATTTGAAATATATAGCGAATAATTAAAAAAACTTAAAATATTTTAGAGGGAGAGGACCTTGCACGTCACACGTTCAAAGATTTTAAAATGGATGATCTTGTCATTCCCAAAGTTCTGAAAGAAAGAGGTAGGTTTCTTTAATAGTGCCCATATAGTAGTAAATACTATTATATTATTACTGAGACAATTTAGTATTATTTTCTCAATCTGTGAGCGTTAAGATTAAATTTAAAACATCATTTTGTAGTTCCCCAAACTCCAATCAGGTTTAGGTCAGGCTGATGCTGGTAAAACAACACAGGGTTGCTGTGTCGCTTGCTACCCGTGTTTTAAATGCATAGCTTATATTGAACAAATCATCAGAATTTTACATTTAAGACTAAATTGCCTCACAGGGCTTGATGACAAAGAAATTCTGCCTAAAAATTATTATAGAGATGACGCACTATCGCTGTGGCAGATAATTGAAAAATTCGTTTCGGATATCATAAAACATTTCTATGAACACGATCAGGTCAGTTATTACGTAAATAAATTAATTTTATTACTTAATTTAGCAATAGAGAAATATTAACGATCATTGAATCTTAGTTTAGCTTTGGATGAATATCTTTCAGATCTGTTAGAATGAAAACATTTAGTCTGGACATGTTGTATAAATAGATCAAATTTTTGTTTTTAATTCTATAGAAACAATAGATTTTTCTTTGAAGTTTTCTGATAAAATATTATATTCTATGCCATATTAATACGTTGCAAGATTTGCCATTATTTAATCATAGATTGTCAATATGTTTGTGACAACTTTTGTACCATAATCTAAAATTCATCGTTATTTTCAATTCAAAGCCGTTTATTTATATTTTTGGTATTATATTATTTAAGGACGTTCTTCTTGATGAAGAAATTCAAGCATTTGCAAAAGACATGGCACACGAAGGATTAGGTTGGCAAGATGGGAATACAAGAGGATTGGATTCAAAAATAGAAGATGTTGATACTTTGGTATTCAATTTGAATTTATTAATATATATATATATATAGAGAGAGAGAGATCATACAGAAAGTGAGAAATGCAATATTTGATTCGAGCAATCGCACGACAAAGTATTATCAGAATCAAAAATTTGGCTTTATTGAGCTACTTATCATCTCGTTCTCAGATTTGTTTGTGTACCAGCATCATTTACACCAGTTCAGTGCAGCATGCTACAGTCAATTTTCCTCAGTATGAAACATACAAGTTTGTACCTAATTCGCCGCTTGCCATGAGACTTCCTCCGCACAAAAGAGGAGAGGTAGGTTGATAAAATTTGCTTTTGAATGGAATCCCGAGAACAGAATTTGAAAGCTTGTGCTAAAAAATTTGAAAGCTATTTATATGCTAGTCCACTTCATCTTGCATTTTAAATCATTCCAATTCACTAACAGGCAACTATGAGTCGAATATTGAAATCACTTCCTGATGTTGACATGGCAACTATTACCATCACTATTGCCTACACACTCTCTTCATTTTCACCGGATGAGGCAAGTATCATATACTTAACTAAAATAAGTGACCCAGACTCATCAAAAGTTGAACACTGGAAATAACCATAACTACAATATGTAGTAACGAAAGAATTGTCTCTAGACAGACGCGCGATACAAGAACGTCGGAAAAGGTAGAACGGCATTAGTTGGCTTTTATTATTTGTAACATAACTCTCTATTCGCCTACTCAAATTCGTAGACAACATAACTCACTATTTATGGTCTCTACTTTGCGGCACCGCACTAAAACATCTCCCATATTTTAGAAATATAGGAATCAAATCCGTATACTGTTATCGGCACATTTGTAAGATGTTAACTACATCTCACCTAAACTTATATTTAGGTATATCTCGGAGAATATCCAATGCGACTCTTTACGGATCCTGAAGTTCTAACTTTCATCGACCATTATCAAAAAGCACTGAAATTATATTCAGATAAAGTAAAGGAAAGAAATGAATATGCTGACGAATATGCTTACGAATATTTGCTACCAGATCGTGTTCCAAATAGTATTGCTATCTAATAGCAAATTTTAAAATGAATAGAAGTCACAGAACTTATAAAACTAATTTGAAAAGGAAGTACATAACATAATATATGTAACATGCATCATAAAAATTCATACTAGTTTTATATGACACAAGTTACTCCGAATAACTACGGTAGTAAGTATTGTAAACACCTACCTGCAGAAACTATGTTATCTGGAAAGTATTTGGAATAATTTATGAAAATGTAAAATAACAGATTTTTTGAAATATTGTTTTATATTTTAGTGGAATGTCTTTGTCATGTTTTCTGACTCATACAATTTTTTGTATAGATTTTACCACTTCATGCCTAATTTAACAGTTGTGTCTGAGACTCTGAGGGGTTGCTAAGGAATTTTCTTTTTGTACATTTTCAGCAAAATATATTGGCATTAAACAATGCAATGTAAATTTTAAAAATTGATATAATTTTTATTCTCCAGTTACTTGAGATATGATAACACTTTTATTTTTTGTAAATGTATATATCTACTTGTTTTTTTATCATTATTTTGCAGAGATGAATGTTATTCGGAAATAATATACTCGGAAATGTTTATTCAATTTTGCATTCAAGAAAGTATTGAAACTACCGTCACTACAGTATGATAGTGATCCACCAGTTCCATAGAAATCCGATCCAAATATATGATAGAAAGTCCGATTTCGTAAGATACGTCCTAGATGTCTGGCAGTAGTTTAATAAGGTCCCAGTCTCTTGGCAAGAAATGACTGTATTGGCAAATCAAATGCGCTAGCTGCTTTAGGATGTACTTGCTGTTTTGATCCATACAATGCATCTTATGCAACAGCAGCATTTTTTTAGCCAACAGGTCGGTTTTACTGTAAATTAACTAACCCTGCCAGGGATCAGAGTGCCTCAAATTTATATCCCGTCAATCGGGTGAATGCAAACTTTTATTTTGATCTTGGTTAAGATTTTATTTGTAAAAAACGGCTGTTTTAGTTCTAACACCCCTAGTTCCCACATTCTCATCTCAGGGCAGTGTTCAAGTCTAGACACGCTTTTTGGATAGAACCGATTCAATCAAGTAAAGATATGGGTTTAATTGTTGCTGTCGGTGATTCAAGGCACGCACGAGGTTTTAGTGTACCACTACTAGCGTTTTAGCATTTGTAGTTATCACAGTCTGTAGTGTAGTTACAGTGTAGTTTCCAAGTGCGTCACATGTTCGATAAACAACAATATCTGTTTTTTGTGTTTTGTCGAATGATACTAGCAGTCTATCATCACAAATTATCTCGAAACTGTGGAATTCTCATTAAAAAATCTCTGACGCCATCTTGTGGCATTTCAAAGTCCAGCATATCTGAAAAAATACACTCTTTGTTTTCTTTTGTATGCCACCATTCACGTAGAGACTTCACAACCATTGATTTTCTCTCTCCATTCATAGCGTTTGTTTTTTGTTGATAAAGCATTTGGCAGAGTTTGCAAAAGCTATGCAACTCTTTTTTTCCCTTTGAAATTCGAAATCTATCTTCTGCGAGGTGGGGGATGGCGACCCATTTACGCCACTGTAAATATTTTTCATAGTCTGCATCATTCACTGAAAGCTGTATCATGTATTCGACTAAATCCGAAACTTCTTTAAAGTCGTCAACGTGAATAAAAGAGTTTTTGGGAGCCACTGCTTCAATATCTTTTTTCTCGGCTCCCCATACTATCGGAACCGCGCCAGAACGAAGTCCATTGTACCAGAAATTTTCTGTAATATAATCTTTACAGTGATAACCGTTCTCAAATGATAGGTAGAACTTATATTCTGATAATGTATCGTAGAACGATTCACTATTCGGTTCGTCTCCAATGTCTCTATCATCGAAACAGTGTCCAAACGTATCGAGATCCAATCCGGCTGCAATCATGTCTTTGGCGAGCTTCATCCGACGATGCACAGCACAGTTACTTACCTAAATCACATATAGAGTAAAATGAATCAAAGGATTAAGTTCGAAAAAGAGGATCAAATTGATAATTATTGATACAAACACTATATTGTATTACCATATTACTGAAGGAGCAAAAAACTGCAATCTGCACGTGGGTCTATGGGAAGACGCCACGAACATATTCATTCTATATACACATGTAATTCATTTCATGGAAAACTGACTTTCGATTATTATAGTTATGCACATACACATTTAGCTTAGCTTGTTCAATTCAATATTATGAGCAATTTGGAAAGTATAACGTTAAATTTCTGATTTTCAGCTGCATTGAATTGTGAAAAGTCGTTTCAGGTTTAGTACATTTTTTGATGTTGATATAACAATTGGTTTCATAATCCAGCGTGCTCCATGTTTTTGAAAATATAAAACACAAATGGATGCCACAAGAACTACATACCGCCCATGCAGCCATTTTCCTGCTTTTCTTCTTTTTCTGAAGTAATTCTTCAAGATCGAACTGCTTTTCATTTCTTAATTCTTCAAGAATAATGTTTGTACTTCCGTACGGAGAATAGATTTCCGAATCGCGTCGATAAGTCATAGTTAGATTGAAAAAATTGTCAAATTCTTTCAAATTACTTTTGTGATTTTTTTCAATTGACCACCACACATAAAGCTGCTCCGATTTTCTGTTTATGAAAAGCAATTTTTAACTGAACTTATTGTATCATCAGTTTTGATTAATTTAAGACCCTTTGCTTATTTTCATCTGTTCAAATTAATGTAAGAGCTCCAAATACTTGAAGTATGAGGTTCAATTCAGCTCTGGCCACAACAATGCCGAGCAATGCAAGTCTTACTAGGGCTCAATACCTATCATTTCATAAATTGTATTATTTGTGTATAATTGCAAACCTGTGTTTTGGCATGCTATTGAGACTGGCAGAATCAAAATGAAAGACGACAGCATCGCTCCTATTCACCAAATCTTGATCATAAGTTAATAAGCAATCGATTTCTTCCCCACACTCTTCCTCGTCAACTCGATAATCGTTTTCCATGCCCATAGGAAGATTCCATATCAATATTACTGGTATGTCGACGTGGTGATCCTTGTGATACTTCACTCTCTTTTCCTTGTAAAGGATCTAAAATATATTTACATTTATTTTATCATGAGAAAATGAGTAGGCTATATGCGCAAATTTGTGTGTATATGTTTAGATATGAGCACTTCTGGTGATATGTTGTTAAAACAAGATTCGCATAAAACACTCACTTGAACATTTTACCACATGCTGTCATAAAGTGTTTTTGCGAAGAGAGCCTATATAGCCCTGTCCTGACCATCATATTCACAAAATAAGAACCGCAACAACAACATAATAACAAAACGATTCATATGTAAATTTTGTGTCCAATAACGTGGGGATTACTGCAAGAGCAGTACTTTTCTGGTTACTTAGATTCTGTTTACTATTACATTGCTTTGTATAATGTGATTTTCAAATTGCTTAAAGAAGTTTACTTACCACGCTACGCAGCAAAATCAGGTTCACAGCCATAAACATTCCAACGGCCAACGCTGTAATCCTGTACTGCTTTCTTGTAGTCACTCCCATACTTACTGATTTGCCCCCCAAAATTATCTCTGTCAAGTTATTCGCATGTTACAATTCAATAACAGTAGCATAATATAACGATGTATACATGTTAGTTCCTGAATGGCGAAGATTCGGTATGGTATCAGACGCAAGCATTGCCCTTAGGCTATCTTAGACATAACTGCTAGAAAAGCGATAAATTGCAATCGTTATTTCTGCTTCAATGGAAATTAATTAAATAAGTCCTAATGAAGATGTTTATTCATATGTAATTAGAGATTACAGGTTGAGCACAGGTAAGCAATTTGGTAAATACCAAATGAAGATCTCATTATATTTTGTAACTATTGGACACGAAATGGACCTATGGATCGATTTGTTATTAAGTTGTTGTTGATTTCTCTTTCATTTTTTGTTGTTATTGTGAAAAAAATGGTTTTCCTTTTAACTACTGGACTTCTCATTTAATTCATTGTAATAATATCTGTGGGTTCTATGGGATTCGTTTTTTAGTATAAATTTTTGCGTGATGACGTCGGCAGAATTAAAAATTGTGGACCATTTGTAGAAAGCCCGCCACTAATGCAAAAATGTGAGAATCAAGACAAACGACGTGACAACGTTCAAGTACTGCAGATTGCGATCGCCATGTTTTGAGTAATTGCGCGCTCGCCACCTTTAGTGTAATTGAAGAATGCAATACTTGATTCATTTGCTTCTGGATTCATCATCACCCCTGGCAAATGGTCACCGTACAGTGGAATTGGTGAACTTTACTGAATAATTACGAAATAGTATTTTAAAAATACAGTCCGAAATATGATATATTCCCGTAACTTTGTTTGTTTATTTCTGGCCTCAGCTGTGACGTAATGTGATTACTCAAATGATGAGTAGCGCGACAACTCTTAATTAATCCCGTCTGGCTTACCAGTCGCTGCATGGCTGTGTTAACTTGTAGACGTTTGTTTAGGTCATATTGTTAAGTTGTGCTGCTGTTCTCAATAAACGAAGTTTAGTTGTAAGCTAGTTTCTATTCTGAGCAGATAGCAATTAAGCAACGAAACACTAGCTAGGTCTGCGCTTTTGTGAATTTTTTATATGTGTGTTTGCTGGTAAGGGGGCACTTGATATTTCCATGTTTCAAACTTTTTTAACAGTTTTGCTCGTTTTTCATTTTTAATTTATGTGTAATATGGAGTTTTAAAAATAAACTATCTATGTACCTATCTAGATATTTTTTTGAAGCGGTGAGGGTTATTTTTATTGCATAAAAACAAAATCCAAGACATGCAAATAACTGAAATTACACATGTTTCACATATTCCCGTAGCATTCTTTCACTCTCTTAACTATTACATAAAATTCCAATATTTATTATGTAAAACTAATTCGTTCTGATTAATTGCATACTTTTTTCGCTTTCTTTTACACTTTGAATGAAGTTTTGAAAAATGCCAAAGATTGTTTGAATACGCTGAAGTTTACTCCGTTATATAAAAACCCAAGCACAAATTAACATAAATTTTTTAAACATGTTATTCGAAGGGTCAAAATAATCTAAAAATGTTAGATTGTCAGTACTAAAATTTAGGTATCGATTAACTTGTGTCCGAAAATCTTGCGTGATTTGGACAATTAAAAAATGGATAAAGTATAGGTCTTCAATTGCATTTTTCACGAAATCCACGATCAAATCCATAAAAAACATTAGTTAATTAACACAATGCCTTTCAGAAAATTTTTTGCTTGAAAAGATCTCAGTTTAGTTTCAATAGTTAAATAAAAATTTATAGAAAAGTGTGACAGTCGATTAAAGACATTAGGTAAATTTATATTTTCTTTCCGAAACCGCTGTTGTTGTTGTTGAGTTGTTTTTTGGCGAGGTCGTTCTACAAAAGACTGTGCGCACCGTGTGGCGGTTGTACTATCGCGATCTGGTGTCAGTCGAAGACTTGAAGATATAGAAATGTGCGTTTGCTACTACTGTTACAAGCTGCTGATTTCGAAATTTTTGATTGACATTTTTAAATATAAATACAACAAGTCACTGCAAACAATTTAAGGAAACTTAGTACTGTATCGTCTGTATGTATTTAACATTACAATCAAAGAGCATTTTCATTTCCATTACCCTTTCGAAATACTTTGGTTGAAGTCGAATTTGGCGATTTGATATCACTTGACCACATTTGTAGAGTAGATTTTCACTAGAAAATGAAACTGAAAATAAAACACTTGGAATCTTTCCAGCTTCTACAGGTACAAATCCATATTTTCGCAGCTTGTAGAGCAGAAGAAAGGATGGCTACGGCCATGAAGTGTACGCTTCGTTCATGTATTAGCAAAATTCAAATAGCAGGAGATCTGGATGTTCCTCTTTGCAGGTCTTCTAAGTTTCTGCGATTAAAATCTTCCCAGGATACATATAACAAGGAAGTTATGCTCAAATATGTGGACACGTAGGGCAAAACTAAATATTTTATCATAACTTCCCCGAAAATCATAAACGGTAACTTACCAGCAACCGTACCGGAAGCCGAAAAACTCGGCTACACCACAAGGACAACTTGACTGAACGGGAAAATCTCAGAGACAACTCCACTACACAGGTTACCGGTGACGGTACTACAGGTACTGTCACATATGTATTACCAAATCAGGTCCCACACTCCCCCGTTCCCCATAAAGAACTTCTTATTTTTGCTAAGCACCAGATCCACCGGCAATCGATGAGCACGGGATCAGCTGATATGCGTTCGCGGAACCGTCAAAAAGTGGCAAATTTTGGTGACGTCATAGCACACAAAAAACGATTTACATAGAGCTCACAGAAATATTTGAAATAAATAAAAGTAATAACGTTCTAGAGAAAAATTCCATCCTTATCCACTGAAAATTCTAAAGCAATTGGTCCAGTAATCAGAGAGAAAAGCGACTTTTCCACTCATTTTAAAGAATAAGAACAACAACATAATAACAAAACGATCCATAGGCCCACTACGTGTCCAATATTTATTAAACGATCCATAGGTTCATTACGTATCCAATAATACTACATTAATACATCCTTTTGCAAATACGAAACAGTCTCTTAGTAGTTGAAACAAACTTTTCCTCCTAAAATTGTACGGGATTGACCCCTCCAGACGGATTGTATTATTGAGCGTATCACTCTTTTTGAGAGATGGGCCTTTTGGACTCTTCTTTGTATTTACCATATTGTGATATTATTTGTGTATTTCCCATTGTAATATTTATGATACAAATTATGTTCGCTTGTGTGCACATGCACTTATGCATCGTAAAGTCAACTACAAGTACAACACGCTATAAAAATATATTTGTACGTTATTACTTATCGATTTTAATCGGTAAGTATGTTGATAGGTATTTGTCTGTTTGTCTGTCTGTTTGTCTGTTAGATGCACGCGATATCTCACGAAAGCGAGATTGAATCTGCTCAAGATTTTGCATGTGCATTCATCATATGTCGGACCAGAATCCTATTGATTTGTGATGAATTACGTTGTATAATTAGCGAGTTATTAATTAATTAGTGATGGGACACAAGGTGTCACTATGGAGTAAGAGCGCTGTTTTGGGGATCCTCTAACTTTCGATCGATAAGTCTTCGGTCTCTGACCGATATTCTCGTCAGTTATTCCTTAGCTGTTACTTCGGTACTGTAAAAGATTTGGAGCCAGTATTACTTCGTTTCTGATTTTCGTGTTCATATATTTGAACATTGGTCTCTTGTCGTCTCTATCATGATAAATTGTCCACTAACAAAGCAAAATGCACCGGCAGAACACTCAACTAAATAGTGCTGTGAGCGTGTAAAAGAAAGCCATGAAAAAAAAAGATTGAGTACCACTGGTCTAGACTAGAGCAAATTAGTTTGTTTCAAGTGTCCCATGCTTTTATCGCTTGCCACATATGTATCCATTCTCCCATTTGTATTACTCGCACAAATGCACAAAACACATGGGGACAAATCCAATTATAAATAAGACAAGCGGAAAAAAGCTGAATCCCTAATGAACGAGAAATATGTGGATAAACACTTAATAAATCAGATGTATGTGAATAAAAAACCTAGTGATTTAAATGTATGCGGATAAAACACCTGACGATTAAAATGTACGTGGATAAAACACCTAATGTTTCAGATGTATGTGGATAAAACACATAAAGATTAATATGTATGTAGATAAAAAACCTAATGATTAGGATGTATGTGGATAAAACACCTAATGAATGAGATGTATGTGAATAAACACCTAATGATTGTGATGTAGGTTGATGAAACACCTAATCCATGAGATGTATATGAACAAAATACTTGATGGATAGAATGTATGTAGACAAAATCTTTTAGTGAATGAGATGTAAGAGAACATAACATTGGGCGAATGAGATGCACGCGGTTGATAAGGGACAAGTGAGTAACACACAACACGTGAGTAAAGTAGGACAGGTAGGTCACGGAGTGTTTGAGACATTGATATCAAGGTAGAACTCATACACATATACTGTCAATCAATTATTAATACACAGCCATTCATCACTACTTAGCTTTCTATGTCGATCTCGTAACAATGAAATTCAGTATGTCACGCTCTTTGTTCTGAAATTTTAGGAAGTGTATCCTTATTATTGGGCTTTTATGTTTTTAAAGTGACTGTTTTTCATGTTTCATTTTATTGGACACGAAATGTACGTATAAATCGTTTTGTTATTATGTTGTTGTCATTCTTGTTCATTTCCTTGGTATTAGTATTTTTCTTGTTGTTGTTGTGTCTTGCTTTTCTCACTAACTACTGGGCCAATTACTTTCAAATTGGTTAAAGATTGAAGGCAATTACTTATATTTATTTATTTCAAATATTCCTGTGGGCCCTATAGGATACGTTTTTTGATACGATACGTTTCATAGTTGGGTAATAATACCAGTTATTGCATATATTCGTATCTTTGGCTGATTGTGTATACCACGATGACAACATCCTTCTAAAATGCAATCAATAGTATCTTATCACTTAAAAAACTGCCTGTGACGTCTGATATAGCACTGGTAGTTTTCAACAAAAAAATACCAACTTACAATTTTTGAAAAATATATAGAATCAGTTAAAGAAACACAGGAACTTTTATAACATTTTCAAGAGAAGGGGGTAGGGGCTATCGCGACTGCGATCGGCTATTAATTTATCAAACGCTATGTCATAAATTAAGTTGTCTTTATTTCTTCTCGTCAAGAACTTGTTTAAAATAATTGCAGCAAAGTCCTTAGCCTACTCTATAATATATTATATATATCATAGAATAATGATAGCAAAGCTCGCCTTTACTCTTTTCAAAATTATGAAACAACTGGCTTATGATAGTAGGCTAAGTTGTTTTTATTGTTGTATATTCCACTTCCGTTGAAATCTAGTATGTAAAAAATCATGAACTAATTATTCTTACATATATATACCTTAAAATAAGATATTTCATTTGAAAAAAATAAATTTTGTTCCAGTAAAAAGTTATTATTGTTTTATTGTACCAAATAAAGTTGGCGGAGACCAGTTATTCACAAGGTCATAAGCGTTTCCGTGCGATATAAAATATTAGCATCTTCTGGCTCTGTTAATTAACATTTGAGTGACCCGAATATTATCTTGATAGCAGGCTTTTCTACAGGGACTGACATATTGGCAGGATATATAGACAAATTTAGTTTTTAAATTACATGCCACGCAGATTAATGTTGCGTTGATTTTATGACAATATAATCCCCAATGCTACGAATATCAGTACGTTTATACACGATGCTACACGCCATTAGGGAGAACGAAAATTATAGTGGAGAATAGCATAATCCTTTGTCAATTATGACTGACGTCCATCCGTTATATAGTGTTTAGATTAATCCAAAAATTACCACAAGAGTTTTAAATAAATATTATAATAGAATATAATAACTTATTGCCATGTTATAGCGGACGCAATTATCGGTAATGACGATTTGATTTTCTGGGGAAATTATAAATACCATTGTATTAATAAAAATAATTAGGCAAAATTATCTCAAATTTAGTATAAATATTGATGTCGGGACTAAAGTTACACCAATTTTTTTACCGAAGTTTCTCTTAAGTTATTCTGCCATGAGCGTTTTACGTTCGTGTTTATCGATTTTGTTGCTGGGCTGTGTCGTACAAGGTAAGCTTCTTTTGAATTCGTTTTACTTGATTAATTATTGCGAAAAGTATATTTAATAAAATGCCAAATAATAAACACATAGTATAATTATATCAAAACCTGATTAAAATTTTGTCAAGAACGAGTGTCCTCGTCAAAAAATATGTCCAAATCTCCAACAAAAGTGCTGATCGTTAGGTATGAATAATATTTGGTTACTGATGTGATGTTTTCTGATATTCAAATTCTATTCTAAATTGATTGTGATTAGAAAGTTTTTCAATGGTATCGAATATAAGCTTGTCATTTGCCTCGGGATCCGTATCAAATTCGGATACTTTGTCATTTTTTTGCATGAGTCAAAAACCATAATATTAATATTTTGCGAGAAAACTTCACGGTATTATTTATTCACCATGTGTTCCAGGCTCCAGTAATAGTAACAAAACATTATTACTTATCGATTTTAATCGGTAAGTATGTTGATAGATATTTGTCTGTCTGTCTGTATGTCTGTCTGTCTGTTAGATGCACGCGATATCGAAAGCGAGATTGAATCTGCTCCAGATTTTGCATGTGCATTCATCTTATCTCGGACCAGAAGCCTATTGATTTTGGGCGAATTATGTCGTATAATTAGCGAGTTATTAATTAATTAGTGATGGGACATAAGGTGTCACTATGGAGTAAGAGCGCTGTTTTGGGGGATCCCTTAACGTTCGATCGATAAGTCTTCGGTCTCTGACCGATATTCTCGTATATTTAAGACTAATACAGTCCAGTTATAGCTACGTATGACACGAGTGCAAAGTAGTGTTTAGTATTTGCAGTCTATTATCTTATCTTTATAATTAGTTGATTGTTATTATCTGAAATGTAATAACTACTCTTTTTTACTCGTTTAATTAATGTAAAGTTAGGTAAGCTTGAAAGTTGACCTAAGCGTACAAGGAAAGTCACGTTACTGGTTTTCTTTCTAATGTTTTAGGGCGTTTTTTAATTGCAATTTATTTTGAAATAATGTTTGGAACCCAATATTTCAGTAGCTACTAAAACACGTCACAAATTCGCGTTATTATTAACAATTTTTATTTGGCATTCAATGTACAAGCTCATCTAGTTTTAACCACGCGTCGACTTCTGAAAGTGTGTCTGCAATGTCAGACATCAAAATACAGCGACCTCGCGGAAGATGTTTCAAAATGCCGCATTATAAATTAGCAAACAAGATTTACTTCAAAGAGGTATTTACTATCATAAGAATAGGCTCCACAAATAAGTTAATTGCCTTTATTAATCGACATTTACGTCAATCGTTAATTAGTCAACATAGCAGAAAAATTAACAAATGACGGAGTTAGTAATTTAGGTTAATTGCCCATATTTATATCTATTTATGTTACAAAAATCTACCCCAAGTTAATTGAATTTAACGACTACTCAAGAAATTTTTCGTGGTCAAGCATGAAATATATATAGCACGATCTATATATATATCGCGTAATGCAAAATGTTTGTCTTTACTTAAGTACAGTTAAAACATATTGCAACATACTACATCAGATGCCATGACTTCAAAATTATAAATTACGATTAAAATTGGAATTTTTGCTGTAGTTGTTGGATTATTTCGTTTCTCGGTGTGTACATGATTCTTGACCAGCACTTGCCGTTAGCGCATAATTGTACCAACAACATTGTTTTATAAATTACAACTCATTTGGAGAAAAACACTATAATTTTTATCCGGGTGGTCTGACATATACCAACAATTGATCTAATGGATTCGCTAAGCTCGTACGACATGACTTATTAAACAGTATTAAAGTTAAAATAGTATTAATGAATTGAGTATGACACTGTACCACACTCAATTAACTTAATTAAACATAAGTAACAATTATCTGCACTTAGTAAAATACCAAATAACACAACACTAAATATAGCATTTTTCATGATAATAGCGGAAATATGCTTTGCTAACTTATTATTAAGATTTATTTGGTGTCGAACAGGTGGTCAGGTTAATAACGTTTATAACGTTTGTACTACAAATAGCTTTAGTCTCCAAGCGATGTCGAATATTTAAGCTTTAGTTTTGTTCTTTAATAATTATAGTAAACACGTCATATCCGAATTCAATTATTCTTCCATTTATGTGTTCATAAATATATTCCCCATATTTGTTCATGAAGAAAAATTTTAATTTTTCTTATTTCTTCATATACGACAGCCTGCGTTCTGATTATAGCTTTCAATAATTGAATATGATTTTTTACAGGCCATTACAAATGTCGCGAAAATGAAATATGGAAATCTTCTTTGTTTGGAGGATCTTGTCAATGTGTAGAAGGATACAAACCAAACGTTCTTGGAATATGCGAAAGTAATTTTTGTCTTTTTTCTAAGATATAAAAAAATTCAAACTGTTTTTGATGGTAAAACTAACAATTCCTTTTTCCTTATTAAAGTACATGCTTTATTTTGAATTTTAGAACCCGATCTTTGTTCCGGTAAAAACTGTCCTAAACATAGTCACTGTGAAAATGGAGTCTGTGTATGCGATCCTGGTTGTGAAATAAAACACGGAATATGTGAAGGTAAATCTTTATTTTCCCATTGGAATAGACAATTTCAAAAGTGCGGGTGCGCTTTGCCTTTGCTGAATCCTCGTAGCGATTTGTCCTTTTGATGCAATATCGAATTTATCCGAATAAGAATCTAGTGAAATATTCATTCAAAAGGACCTTGTCATCAAAGAAATCATCCAGACTATTTGATGGGTCTTATTTTACTTCGGTTGTGGAAGAAACAGTCACTAGACTGATCGAATATGCAAGTCTCAATATCTAACGTATCATGAGTTAATTTTACTTATTCAGAATTATTATTTTCCTTTTCAGAAAGTTTATCTAAGCGATTCAATAATGAAGGAAAAGAATTGATATATGGTATGATTTTGAGAATATATCGTTACCTTCGTTGAGCACAAATAAATTCATAAATAAAACCACGGGAATTTGAATTAATTTTCTTCTCGAATGAAACTACTGCTCAGTTTAGTTTAGAGTAGTCTATTACCTCAGTGTAAAACAAAATATATTTATACCATACCAAACTTACATCATGAATCAGTTTGTTTGGAAGTATGTATAAACGTAAAGCAGTTTAGTTGCAAGATGTTCGAGTGACAATATACAATATAGACTGTAACAGGTGAATACCCTTCCAGTAGATACCATATCAATCTTATATGGTGAATAATAAGGCTCCATATATTTTCAGATGCCTGTAAGGACGTTACATGTCAACTGAATGAAATTTGCATCAGACTTCCTTACTCCGATCAAGGAAAATGTGTTTGCAAACCAGGATATGTTTACAAGATTGGAGTTTGTGTCAGTAAGTCGAAATGCTATTCACAAGATTTGCATTTGATTTCTGTTACTTGTAATATAACTTTATTGATTTGTCAAATTATGATGTAATATTATAATATGAAATTTGGATTTTGTTATATTCTGACGATTATATAAACTTGAAAAAGATTCCATATCTGCTAAGCAGTTGTATATGTTCCGTTTTCATGTAAATTGGTCTAAAAATCTGATCATAAACAGAGTATCGATTATTTGATCCCAAAGTTGAACGAATTTATTAAATCGACCCCATTTTTCATATTTCACACTTTATGGGGCAATTCCATGTAAATATATTCAATTGTTTTGGTCATTACGTGTTTGAAATGTTATTGAACTCGACTAACTGTCTCCATATATTATTTTGATGTAGGAGCGATTTCAAACCCATGTGCTTACATGTCGTGTCGAGAGAATGAAGAATGTATGACTTTTGATGGAAATGCTTATTGCGTTTGTAAGTTCGGATACATGAAGACCAAAGGTGTATGCGAAAGTGAGTATTAAACGTAGTCATATATTATATTAAATGTAAATTAATCGACCTCTCTGACAAACATACAACTTAAAAGTGCATTTGATTAATAGAAATACATGGAATCTATTCAGACACGATCGTCTCAAACAAAATAGGATACAGTTTTTTGAATCAGCTTGAGAATTCTCAACCGGAACAAATATTGTCATGGATGTCATTCATGTCCAGAATTCAGTACATCCAATCATATCAGCTTTATTTTAACTAATATTGCTCAAATCGGCCGATATGAAAGTTTTTTATAAGCGGAAGTTTTTCAAAGTGTTATTAAAATATTACTACTACTTTTTACATCTTCAGGCGCATTTTAAAAACACAATTTGTTATACTTTAATCATTATAATGGGTTTATCTTTGCGCTTACTGAGATTTTATTTTTCAGAAAAAAATGTCTGCCATGACCACTCCTGTCCAGCGAATGGATATTGTGTAGTTGATAATGGGAATCCTGTTTGCAAGTGCCTAGAAGGATATTATATGTCACACAGCTCATGCAAAAGTAAGTTGTACATAAATTGATCAATTATAATCACAGCAAACCAGTTCGCAATTTAATTGATGAGATAAGATAAAAAAGGGAATATATTCTAAAGTTATATTGAATTAAACAGAAATAGTGGCAGATCCTTGTGCCTCAGTGTCCTGCAATAAACATGAAGAATGTATCGTACATAGCGGAAAAGGTTACTGCGTTTGTAAAGTTGGATACATGAAGAACGGTCATGGGGAATGTGCATGTAAGTCTGTATACTACATATTTTAAGTTTAATATTTAAAAAAAAAAATGTTAATTTTGAATTTCAAAACGTGGCAATTTATTTAGAAATCAATCTAGCGTCTCTATTTAATACTCCTTGCTCTTTCTTTCTTATGCTACATGTTGACCAGCTAGAGGTATTTTTTATTGAACTGGGCAGGACGATTATCTTCCGAATGCTCAACTCTGATCAACTGTATCAATTAAATTTAATTGTGTTTAGTGAGAAATCCTTGCGACGATAAAGTGTGCTTCGACAACAGTTACTGTATTATGGAAGACGACAAGCCGGTTTGCAAATGCACTGATGGATACAAGTTAGATGGCGGATTATGCATCAGTAAGTTTAATATATTTCCTTGTTTTGTGATTGGCTGACTATTGAGGGAGTAAAGAAAATGCTGCCATATAAATAGTAAAAAAGACTTCAGATGAATGTCTGGCAATGCGAATATTCAGATCCTGGTAGTGAACTGTCTTACTGTTCAACTAACTAATTGTTTAACACATTTTCCAATAGAAATCATCGTGTTGAGCCCTTGCGCTGCAATGAAGTGTGGAGTTCATGAAGAATGCCTAGTACATGAAAACAAGGGATATTGTGTATGTAATCCTGGATACATGAAAAACATCGATGGAATTTGTGAAAGTGAGTATAAATTAAGTAAAACATATGGTATCAATCTATGTTTTTCGATTGTGCCACAACCATTCCGCTTCTAATAATACTAATAGTATATATGTCTATATATATATTAGAAATGCCAATGGTATTTTTGTTGTTACATATTGTACTATTTCACCAAATTTTAACGATAATTATATAATTTATAGAAAAATCTCTTTGCCACGATCACAAATGTCATGAACACAGTTACTGTGTAGAGAAAAACAACAAGGCATACTGTGAATGCATGGAAGGATACGTTTATTTGGATGGCGTGTGCAAAAGTAAGAAAATTTAATTTTGATAATTTGCCATGCAATTAAATCCGTTATGTTTTACCTTGATTCCATTCAGATGATATTACAAAATGCTGTTTCATGTACAAGTATATTGATATCTAATACATATTCGTTTTTGTAATACTTCAACAGCTAAAGTAATCGTTGTCAACCCGTGCGATTTCATGAAATGTGGTCTCCACGAGGAATGTGTGACTCACGAAGGAAAGGGATATTGTGTATGCTTATATGGATACAGAAAAAATTCTAACGGAATTTGCGAAAGTAAGTTACTCGTTTTATCGGTATCTATGGCATGATTATGACATAAAGAGGTTACGCAATTTAAAATATTTAGCAATTGCCAAGAGTCACAGTCATGTGAAAGATATGTTGCTCGAAATAGATTTTATTAGATTGCATTCTGTTACTTCCAAATTATTCATTCATTCATTTCAATTTCGTGACATCTTAAGAACGCCTTGAAAGTTTTCAGATTCGTTTTGCAATATATATATAAGTCACTTTTTTACTTGTTCATTAATTTTGAACAATGGTCGTAATGCAATGCAATATACGTAACGCATGTACTTATAATTTACAGAGAAAACACCTTGTCATGATCACATTTGTCAAGAAAATAGCTACTGTATTATGGAAGGAGATAAAGCAATGTGCAAATGTTTAGATGGTTACTCAAGCTCCGGCGGTGGTTGCAAAAGTAAGCGAGACTCTTAATCTTACGGTTCCGTAAAATTATATTTAATCGATGTTATACTTTGATATATAATCACTTTGTAAATCTTTGCAATATGTTATACTTTAACAAACAAATTACTCTTCCATTCAGAAATTTTCAGCGATCCTTGCAATTTGAGAGTTTGTGGAAATTATGAAGAATGTGTCAGTCAGGAAGGAAAAGGATATTGTGTGTGTAAACCTGGATACACCAAGAACACGAATGGAATTTGTGAACGTATGCTACTACTGTTATTATCTTTCGCTCATTTTAATGCAAACGATCCAAATTATTTCATTTCATAAGCTAGAAGATGTTAATAGCAAGAAAATACTAATGCCAAGACGTTGTGGGCCTTGAAATAGATCGGTCAATATACTCGACACCAATTTTTACTGTGTGTCAATAAATTTATATTATTTTAACGTTTCAGTTCACAATTAGATTTTTATTATACACTTAAAAATCTTTGCAGTGAAACAGTATGCCGATCCCACAGTTAGGGTCTTTTGCATTTCTTAGCGATATTGCCCTGACTCTTTCCTAAGCAAACTTTCTACTTTTTTCAGTAAATAATCCATGCGAAAAGAAACAATGCCAACCGAATAGTTACTGCGTTCTACCTCAAGGTGAACCAATTTGCCAATGCATTCAAGGATACTCGCTCTCTCCATCAGGCGATTGCAAAAGTAAGTCATACTTATATATATAAATCGTTTGCTTCCGTAGTATGTGCACCAAGATGGCGCACAACCTGAACAAGGTATGTGTACCGGGTTACGATTCAGGTTGTGCGCCATCTTGATGCAAGTTCTACGGGAGCGCCCAGAATACAGTAGAAAACTTTGAAAAATACGATCACAAGCCAAGTAACCTATGAACAAATATTTCAATCGGTTTCAACCCAACTGATATTATATTCTAGATTTACCGTTTTCATTTTCCTAATCCGTGATTTTTTTTCTTTGCGCCAAAGAAATCTCCGTTGATCCATGTTTCTTGAAAAAGTGTCTACCTAATGAAGTGTGCGTTAATAGTGATGGTCAGGGAGTCTGCACTTGTAAAACTGGTTATAAGAGGAACCAGTACGGATTCTGCGAAAGTATGAGATTTATTCATTTTAACTAATAAGAATATTTCAACCACAAAATAAATAAATAACTGTTGTGAAAAGGTAAAAATGATATAGTTTGTGACTTGCATGATCATTATTATTTATCATTATCAGAAGCTACTATGATAGTTTCAAGATACTCAGTGGCTTACATATTTTTAATCCGTGATTTTTTTCGTGCCAAAGAAATCTCCACTGATCCATGTACCTTGACAAAATGTCTACCTGATGAAGTGTGCGTTAATAGTGATGGTCAAGGAGTCTGCACTTGTAAACGTGATTATAAGAGGAACCAGTATGGATTCTGCGAAAGTATGATATTGATTTCTCATTCATTTTAGCTAATAACAATATTCCAACTTGAAAATAGTTATCTATTATCTTGTACCTTTATCAGAGGCTTTTATGATAGCTCTAAGATACTTGGTGGTATTCATGTTCTTTATCGTAACCAGTCTTTATATTTCATTGTAATTATTCATGCCGCTTAAACAGTGCTCAAACTTTCAACAGAAATTGATCCTTGTATGTATACGAAATGCTTTGAAAATAGCTACTGCGTTGTCGTTGGCAAACAGGGTATTTGCCAGTGCAAAGATGGCTACAAGATGTCTGCTGATGGAATTTGCCAAAGTATGTTTTACTTCCTTTTTACATGAAGAAGCAACAGTTAGGCTGTTGCGAAACAGTTAATATTGAATATTGCATAAATTTTATGATATCATAAGGCGGATGTAAGAGACTAAAATTAGTGGTAATTTACGATAATCGAATGTAGGCATGTTGACGAATGGAGAGTGAAGCTTTGTATTAAATCGAGCGTAGATATTACGAATACTTGACATTGACCACTTAAATTAATATGGTAATTTAAATATGGTATATTACGTCATAATATATGTAAACTTTTCAGCAAATCCTTGAATTAATGATATTTCATTCGATTCGTTTTTTATAAAGGCATGAGCACAGATCCTTGTGAGACCAAAATTTGCAATTTTCGAAAGGTTTGTGTTGCATATGAGGGACGAGCCCACTGTATTTGCCAAGCTGGATATTCTGAAAACACTAATGGAAATTGCGAAGGTATGGTTGGAAAATCAACAGGAAAAATTACATATTGAGTTGCAGAATACAAGCTTTCTTACCAAATATACTATTTTATGCTTCAGCTAACAAGCATCCATGTCATGGCATCGTATGCCCATCATACAGTCACTGTGAGGTCGAGGGATCTTATGGAGTGTGCAGATGTGACAATAAATACATGGCTAAAGAGGGTCTATGCATACGTGAGTGTTATTTGAAATATGATCCTCACCAGTTGTTATATCAAATGTGGTCTCAAATCATACCGTGGTGTCTTCATATTTCTCTTATCTATACTGAATAATATGAGTATGAGAAACACTTATATGATACAATAATATTAATAAGATAATTTGAAATTTACAAGAAATGTACTGCAATATGACATTTATAACGTTGACTGAAAATGCTATTTGCAGAGTCAGAGAGTATTTAATTTAACTTTACTCTCCAACTTAATTTTTTGTCGACTACTGATTTTTTGTAACATTATAATTTTTGGACCTCCTGAAGTATGCTCACCAAGATGGCGCACAACCTGAACTCACGTTGTGTACCAGGTTAGGGTTCAGGTTATGCGACATCTTGATGCGCATAGCTCAGGAGCCCCTCATTTTTGAATATGGCCAATTCTAATGCACTATTTATCAAACAGCTACTTATCCATGCCTGGACAAACTGTGCCCAATCGGTAGTCACTGCGTGGATGGACACTGTGTTTGCAAAAGAGGGTATTCAAAGGGTCTTGGTGGCGTTTGCATAGGTTTGATATTATTTGTATCCATTGGTATTCAGCATTTTTTAAGATAATCCGCCTGTTTCCCTTTCTATCATGCACAGTAGCTGAATATTCGGTATGCATATAACGTAACTTCATGCAAATGTTCTCTAATCTTTACGATTTCAATACAAAATGATGTACGATGAACGTTTTTTTACCGTTATCTTGATTTATCTGCAGATCGTTGTTCAAACATAAGATGTGCACTTCCGAATACTCATTGTTACGATGGTCAATGCGTATGTAAGGAAGGATTCAGAATGAACCAATATGGGCAATGCGTGGGTGAGTACAAAACATCTGTGAAATATAGCACTATGCATGCTTTTTGCAATAAACAATGATGGTGCAAAACTAAACATGGCATTTTTTTACCATCAGAATTTGACCACTGCAGAAACGGACGTCAATGCTCACTAAATAGTTATTGCAACGAAGACAGAATTTGTGTTTGCAATCAGTATTATCATCGAAACATGAACGGACTTTGCATAGGTAGGATATCGTACTCTATAAATACTATTTTGGAATTAAATAAACTTTAGTCATTGACCTACTTTTTTAGTACCCGTATAAAATTTCAAACGATAAAAGATAGTGTGTTACGCACATGTATGCTGTGAGCGAAAAAAAGGAAAACTATATGTCGAGCCGAATTTTTACCTCACGCATAGCCATGATGAAATTTCGCGATCTTACCTCCTGAGTTGCTACTTTTCCCCACTTTAAACTTTTTCATTTGAATACAATTCTCAAACATGTATTTTATCAGATTTCTTTGAATAATGACCGGTGTAATCTGTTTTAAAGGTGATAACCCATGTCTCGGGTTCAAATGCGGATTCAATCAAGTTTGCAAAGTGAATGAAGTCAGCCAAAAACCACAATGCGTTTGCTCCTTGGGAACAATATATCTTCCTTTCATGAAAGGATGCATCTGGATTCATCTCTTGAGTACGTAATGCCCTTGACTGTAGTAAAGATTAAGGTCATACATTCATGCGTTAAAATTAACGATTTTTAGTTATAGCAAATCTCGTATTGAGAATGCATAGAATCAGAAATATTTCAAAAATATTTGGAAATAAACTTGTTTCTGAAAAATCAATGAATATCCTATTTGCTCAACTTAAGTTTTTAGGTTATCAAACACCGATATATTCCTCTATATTTTCATACTCTGGTGAGTGCCACATACGGATCCGAAGTAGAAAGTAATCAAGGAGAACGGACCTGCAGTTCAATACACAATATCTAAGTTCCCCTAACATAAAATGGCAATTAAAAATAAAATGATTTTATTGAATTTGTACAAATAATTATGATATGAATATTGTTTTCATTTCAAGTACCTAAAAAGAAGAAATGCGACCCCGAGTGTCCTCCAAAGTCTTATTGTTCCAAAGGGGAATGCGTGTGTAAAGCTGGATATGTGAAAGATGATTATGACCGATGTATTGGTAAGTTTATTTACGTTTTCCGAAATAAATTTGAAAGATCATTTTTTAGACGGCATTTTTGTGTGTAGTTCCTCGTTCAAGATGCGCTGCATTCATTAGTAAGATACAATCCTTAATAAAGAGTTAAAATGTTGTAAGAAAATGTTTTTGGGTCACAACTTCCATTCTGATTTTTTAAATCATAATTTGTAATCTTTGATTTTTCAGATCCCGATAGCACTCCGCCACCACGTAAGTACTTAGTAACAATATTGAGAGTATTTTTTACGTTACATTAAATTATTTCTTTCAAATTAAACATATAATAACACCATTCCGTGACTATTAAACCATAATAATTATTAAAGAGAATAACGTTTTCGTCTTTTGGATGGATGAATTATTTACGATATTAGTCAAATATTGACAACTAATGGCCAATATGATCATGTATACCTGTCATCTGAAGAGATTCACACAAATAATAACAAATTCCTACCAAAATATTAGATTTGAATTATTTTTCATTATTTGAATTCAGCAATTGATGAATGCGACTTAGAGCTGGATAATTGTGATCGCACAAACGGATACTGTGTTGATACGCCTTACTCATATTATTGCCAATGCAATGAAGGATATGTGGGCGATGGAAGAATTTGTAAAGGTATAAATATTTTCTTTTTGGGTGGAAAAATCGAATTTTTGATCAAGCTTTTCAGTTATTTTCTGCGCACAGTTCGACTGATTGTGTTTGTCTGATACGATGTTTCAATGAGGTTCGTATGTTTGCTCGTCAATTTGACATAGGATAAGGAGTTTCATTCTAGATAGCAAATAGAAGGGAATTGAATGCTTGAATCGGCATTGACAAAAAAAATTATAATTATAGAAAGCCGCTTAGTAAAATTATTCTCAATTTTCTTTAATCGATGATTTTCTAATTTTTTTTCATCTTCAGATATCAATGAATGTAATTCTGTTATTCCATCCTGTGATTCGACACAAAACTGTATCAACACTATCGGTTCGTATTATTGTGAATGCAAGGATGGATATATCCAGTATGGAGATACATGTAAACCAAAAGGTGAGTCTTCGAAAAACCTACAATCGTGGGGTTTTCAGCATTTACTCAAAAAACATGAAAATGCAGTCATGCCTGTGAAGCATATCAAAAAAGAAATATCAAATTCTATTCGAATCTGAAATTTCAAACCTTTGATGTTAATCAATACTATCCCATTAGTCGTTATATTTATTATTTAGTTATAATCCTTGTAAAGGAACTTTTGTAATAAATTGTTTTGGGGTCATAATCTCTTCTATCTTCTATCTAAATCATACTTTGATTTTCAGATCCCGATAGTACTCCGCCACCACGTAAGTGTTTAGTAACAATATTATGAGTAATTTTTACGTTACATTAAATTATATTTTTCAAGTCAAACTTCTAATAACACCATCCCTTGACTAATAAATCATAATAATTATTAAAGAGAATAACGTTATCGTCTTTTGCATTGGATGAATTATTTACGATATTAGTCAAATATCGACACTTAATGACTAAGATAATTATGTATACCTGTCAATTAAAGAGTTTCGAATAATTTCTAATTATCACGCTAATATTAACAAATTCTTACCGAAATATATGATTTGAATTATTTTCTAATATTTGAATTCAGCAATTGATGAATGCGACTTGGAAATGGATAATTGTGATCGCATAAACGGATACTGTGTTGATACGCTTTACTCATATTATTGCCAATGCAATGAAGGATATTTTGGCGATGGAAGAACTTGTGAAGGTATAAAAATTCTCTTTGTGGGTGGAAAAATTGAATTTTTAATCAAGCTTTTAAGTTTTTTTTCTGAACACAAAAAAAAACAATGACTTGTTTCGACTGATTGTGTTCGTCTGATACGATGTTTGGATAAAGTTTCAATTTGTTCGTATATGTTTGCTTATCAATTTGATATATGACAAGGAGTTTTATTCTGGATAGCAAATAAAAATGGAATCGAATGCTTGATAATGTAAATAATAATAACAGAAAGTCGCTTAGTCAATTTATTCTCAATTTGCTTCGATCGATGATTTTCTAATTTTTTTTTCATCTTCAGATATCAATGAATGTAATTCTGTTATTCCATCCTGTGATTCGACACAAAACTGTATCAACACTATCGGTTCGTTTTATTGTGAATGCAAGGATGGATATATTCCGAATGGAGATACATGTAAACCAAAAGGTGAGTCTCTGAAACTCGTGGGGTTTTCAGCATTTACTCAAAAAACATGAAAATGCAGTCATGCCTGTGGAGCATATCAAAAAAATAAATATTAAATTCTATTCGAATCTGAGATTTTAAACATTTGATGTTAATTAATGCTATCCCATTAGTCGTTATATTCATTAGTTAGTTATATAATCCCTGTAAAAGAACTGTTGTAATGACATTTTTTTTCGGTCATAAACTCTATCTCTTCTATCTTCTATCTAAATCATACTTTGTATTCTTTGATTTTCAGATCCCGATAACACTCCGCCACCACGTAAGTGTTTAGTAACAATATTAAAAGTAATTTTTACGTTACATTAATTTATATTTTTTAAGTCAAACTTATAATAACACCATTCCTTGACTAATGAACCCTAATGATTATTAATGAGAATAACGTTATCGTCTTTTGCATTGGATGAATTGTTTACGATATTAGTCAAATATCGACAACTAATGGCCAAGATAATTAATTATGTATACCTGTCAATTAAAGAGTTTCGAATAATTTCTAATTATCACGCTAATATTAACAAATTCTTACCGAAACATTAGATTTGAATTATCTTCTAATATTTGAATTCAGCAATTGATGAATGCGACTTAGAAATGGATAATTGTGATCGCATAAACGGATTCTGTGTTGATACACTTTACTCATATTATTGTCAATGCAATGAAGGATATGTAGGCGATGGAAAAATTTGTAAAGGTATAAAAAAAAATTTGTCTGTGGAAAAATTGAATTTTTGATCAAGTTTTTAAGTTATTTTCTGAGCACAGTAAAAACAGTGACTTGTTTCGACTGATTGTGTTCGTCTGATACGATGTTTGCTTATCAGTTTGATATATGACAAGGAGTTTTATTCTGGATAGCAAATAAACATGGAATCGAATGCTTGATAATAAAAATAATAATAACAGAAAGTCGCTTAGTCAATTTATTCTCAATTTGCTTTAATCGATGATGTTCTGAATTTTTTATCTTCAGATATCAATGAATGTAATTCTGTCATTCCATCCTGTGATTCGACACAAAACTGTATCAACACTATCGGTTCGTTTTATTGTGAATGTAAGGATGGATATATTCCGAATGGAGATACATGTAAACCAAAAGGTGAGTCTCTGAAACTCGGGGGGTTTTCAGCATTTACTCAAAAACATGTAAAGCCAGTTATGCCTGTGAAGCTTGGTCGGACATAGCATATCAAAAAAAGAAATATTTAATTCTATTTGAATCTGAGATTTCGAATCTTTGATGTTAATTAATGCTATCCCATTAGTTGTTATATTCACATTCATTAGAAATTACTTTATTTTATCACAGAATCCGAAGATCCATGTGATCCAAACCCATGTACGAATGGGAACTGTATTCGCTTGAGTAAAACCGAATTCAAATGTTCGTGTCCCAAATGGTACGAAGGAAATTATTGCGAAATATGTAAGTATCAACTTTTTCTGGTTTTACTTGTTTGTGATGCACTTGAATATTTGAAAATAATCAACATTGACGCTTGTTTGGCATCTTTTTGAAAAAAATTGGTGAGGATATTGGTTAACAAGAATATATACACAAATATTACATCCATACTTAACAAACAATCAACATGTTATCAATCAATTAAAAATGTCTATTATCTTATGACTTTCAAGTTTCAACACATATATCACATTCAATAAATGGAAAACTAACTTTTGACATTCACGCAATTTTAATTGAACAACTGAACTGTGTATTATTTAATTTCTTTTGATCCGGTTTGGCTTTGTGATCGCGTTATTCGAATATCGCTACATTGTATTGTTATTCCAATATCATTCCTTTCAATTTTTCTCCAATTGCAATAACTTACTATTAATTTTGCCACATTAAACAGATAATCCACCCACGGATCCATGTGACCCAAATCCATGTAATGGACATAGCTGTGTTAGTTTTAAAGGAATCTACTCGTGTAAATGCAGGAAGGGATATTTTGGAAAGCATTGTGAGAAAGGTGAGACCAAGTCATTTCATAATTGCAAAACCAAAAACTTGGAATTGCTTGGAGTCACGCGGAATGACCCAATGCTAATTCGTCTTTGGTGCATCTCTTTACATATATATACAATGCAACGTTGCTTCTAAGAATAATTCGAAGTTATTCGACTTCATTTTTCTTAAGTGTTCAACAAATTTTTTAATTCCTATTTTAGATTGAACATTTTCACCTCATTACATTACTTAGGTCAAACCCCATTAAACCCCAAACCCGAGATGGTAGGGTCATTTGTGTAGTATTTAGTATGAAACGATCTTAGTTTAGTTTCAATTGTTGAATAGTAATTATTTGCAAAGTATGACAGCCAATTAAAGTCATTGGGTAAATTTACATTTTCTTTCCAAAACTCCAAAACATCTGTTGATTTTCCTTGGGAATATATTTATTTTCTATAATACATTTATACGATGTGCGGCACGTATTTTCATATAATGTACTGAATACAAATTTATTAAAATCAAACATATCTATATTCTGTAAACAATTAAAATCACTAGGATTTCCAATACAATCCATCCAACATTCTGGTATGCAGCCAACTAATTTATAGTAGTCTCGATACTCATTTGCATTATATTCTACACCGTAACGTTCTATCTGTTGAAAATAAGAGAATAGATAATTTCTGTTCACCAAATGGTGTAATTCACAGACTCCTTGTTCTTCCCATTTTTTTTTTTTTTATAAAAAATGGCATTCTTGCATATTGGAATTTATTGTTGTACCATAGTGGTTCATTATATAGATGGATATTGGCATTACATGTTAATTCCTTGTATATGTACCAGGTACGAAGTGTATCCCTAATTGTTACAAAATGAAGATTTTTTATGAAGCGAGAGTTATATCATAAATTTCCTTTAAGTATACAATGTATTTCTATATCTCGTAAATAATAAAGTTCAATGGTTTTCCGATTACTCTCTTTCCACTCAACCATACAACCATTTCAGTTTTTTAGAAATAATGACACTTTCAACATCTACCATATCAATTCCACCTTTCATTTTCAATCAGTGTTTTACGCTTGACTCTTTCCCAATTTAAATTTCCACAAAAAACGAAATATTAAAGAATTCAGTGATTTTACAATTTTTTTGGGTATCGTAACTGGTAAAAATGTAAATTGATATGTAAAAAAGAATAGGATTAATGATTTGATTGCAAACACTTTTCCCAGAATTGTTAAATATGTTGTATGTATTCATATACTTTACAGAGGATCCACCTAACGGATGTGACCCAAATCCATGCATGAACAGCGTCAAGTGTATTCCAAAACCCTTCGGAAAGTTTCAATGCCTCTGTAAGAAAGGATATTTTGGAAAACATTGTGATAAAGGTAAGACCAAGTAACTTCATAATTTTAAAACCATAAACTGGAATTGATTGGAGTCACGCAGAATGAACCAATGCTAATTCGTCTTTGGTGCATCTCTTTACATATATATATACAATGCAACGTTCAAAGTTATTCGACTTCATTTTTCTTAATTGTGTAGCAAATCTTTTAATTCCTATTTTAGAATGAGCATTTTCACATCATTACATTACTTAGGTCAAACCCCATTAAACCCGAGATGTTAAGGTCATTTGTGTAGCATTGCAAACAATGGCTATGTTGTAAAATAACTAATTAAATATCTTGACATTGTGTTTTTGTCTAATATTCTGAATGGTGTTAATAAAACATGGAGTTTTTATATACTGGTGCAAAATGGAGAATTTAAATTTATAGCTATCACTATACAGCAGGGGTCGGCAACCTTTTGTCGCTCGCAGGTCAAAATTAGGGATTGCAAGTCATTGGCGGGCCGCACATATTTATAGAAAGTTGAAAACCGAACGGATGATACTTTTTATAATAAAAATCAAGCAGTGATACATCTCTCGAATAAAATATAGAAATATTTCCTTATTGCATTGCATCTCAAAAAATTCCATTTGAATATTTTCGGCGCCATTGAACCCTTAGCACTTAGCCTCAACTTTTCTGCGTTTTTTTGTCTAATTATAATCCAATTATAGGTTATAATATTAAACGCGTAATTGTGAATTATATACTTGTAGGTTACAATATAATTTAGTCTACACGTGTCTCACAATAAATTCTGTTACGTATAGAATATAATCATCAAAACAGCTTTTTTGTTACTATAATACAGTGAAGCATCACGGGCCGTGGGTTGCCGACCCCTGCTATACAGGTTGTCTCGAGATCTAATGATCCCGATTAAACAAATACTGTGGGCAACAATATCGTTTTTGAAATATTGCAGCATTGATGTTTGACATCTTGGTTTCAATGCATAAATTTGGTTGAATTAGTTTTTCGATTGAGGCCCAAATTTTTTTATTATTATGCTCAAAACAAATATGTTGTATGTATTTATATATTTTACAGAGGATCCACCTAACGGATGTGACCCAAATCCATGCATGAACAGCGCCGAGTGTATTCCAAAACCCTTCGGAATATTTCGATGCATCTGTAAAAAAGGATATTATGGAATGTATTGTGATAAAAGTGAGAAGTTTATTGTTGTTTTCATACTTAGTTTACACGTAATACATTCAATCATTGGTTGCTAATCTGACTCAAGAGATCTACGACTTCTGCCAATAAATTGTATTTTAACTTAGAGATCTTGTGCAGTAACAATTATGGAGACGCCAAACAATAGATAAAAGCGAACTGAATAAAATGTAAAAGTTCGTTTATAATAAAAAAATATTATCAATGCAGAAACCTCACCTGTCAATCCGTGTTATCCAAACCCATGTAAACATGGAGGGAAATGCAATTAGTGAATATACCTTATAGTATGGATTATGAGTATGCGCCTATCAAATATTTCTAAATGTCAGCGAATATCGTCGTTTTTATTCAAAGACTAAGTTGAAACGGAAAACAAATTCCAAAACTATAATTTTATTCTTCCTACAGAATACGAAACACCCAAAACACCAAAGAATCCATGCTATCCCAACCCATGCCAAAACGGAAAATGTTTGTCACCACCTGGACAAAAAGGAGGATATAAATGCATTTGTTATAAAGGGTATAGAGGGGATCACTGCGAATATAGTAAGTTAAATATATCATTTGTGTTCACAGGAAATTACGGCATAATTCGCCTGTATCGGTATATTCTTTACATTCTATTTGAGTCCATATAACTTTAAGTAAATTGCCCAATTTTTTTGTGATAATTAATGCATACTTAGCATGGATTGTGCGTATGTGGCTATGGAAAATTCCTAAACTTCAGCGAAAAAACGTGTACAACCACAAGTAGCATTCATTAAAAATAACTATCTGACCGTCAGCTGAAATTTTAATGCATTTTATTATATTAGTGTAGCATGCAACAAATGCACATTTAAATATGCATCTTGTAATTTAGTTCAGAGGTTCAGGTTAAACGTCATGTATGTAAATTGCTGCAAAACCTGTATTTAGCACTCTAATGAGCTGCGTAAATCCCAATAACATCTATAGGTATTAGCTATTTGGTCACATTCGGAGTGGAATCGTGTAGTGAAGTACAGTATTGTTGTAAAAGGAAACTGTTAATTAGAAACCGAATCCATTTTAGTTTAAAACTACCGCCAAAATTATTAATTCAAAAATTGTTATATTGGCTGTTTCTTCTGGAAATTCACTCGCATTTTTTTGAGTTACATCCTCATAACAACTTATTTAACTCTTTTGTTCAGAAAATCCAAAAACGCCCAAAACACCTAATAAATGCTACCCGAATCCGTGCCAAAACAGCGGGAAGTGCTACAAGAATATGTTTGGATATCAGTGCAGTTGTGAGAAAGGATACTACGGAAAACACTGCGAATATTGTACGTAATTAAACGGAACTAGATCAACTTTTACTTGTTCATTCGTATGCCAAATTGTAAAAATGCTGATCCCCATCTAATAATGAGCGAGGTTGGAGACTTTCGAATCCTACCTATGCAATGATATACCATCGGTGGCTTATGTCCTATGCCTACTATAAAAAAAAATTCTGTTTTTAGAATCTAAACATAAAACTTGTTAAACTACAAATTCACATAGTAAATGTATTACCCTTTTTCAGACAAACCAAAAACACCCACTCCAAAAAATAAATGCTACCCGAATCCATGCCAACACGGTGGAAAATGCTTTAAAAAGATGTTTGGATACGAATGCCGTTGCGTGAAAGGATACTGGGGCGAAAACTGCCAATACAGTAAGTAGATAAAATTGTGTGATATTCAACACTTCATTATTATCTGCAATAACCTAGTTAATAGTGTTGATATTAAAAAAAATGTTGAATCACGCTACTCTTGTAGAGTAAAATTACCATTTGTTTGCGAGCCGATTTGTTAGTTAAAAACTAAGTTAAAACGGTAAACAAATCCCAAACATTTATTTTTATTCTTCCTACAGAATACGAAACCCCCAAAACACCAAAGAATCCATGCTATCCCAACCCATGCCAAAACGGAAAATGTTTGTCACCACCTGGACAAAAAGGAGGATATAAATGCATATGCTATAAAGGTTATAAAGGGGATCACTGCGAATACAGTAAGTTGAATATCTTATTTATGTTCACAATACCTTACGGCATAATTCGCCGGTATCGGTATAGGCTTTACAATCTGTTTGAGTTCATATGACTTTAAGCAAATCACAGACCTTTGTTTTGAGGCAATTAGTGCATATCTTAGTATGGATTATGCGTGTGTGCATATCAAAAATTCCTAAATGTCAGCGAAAATCGTGTAATTAGCATCCAATAAAAATAACTATCTGACCGCCAGCTGAAATTTGAATGCATTTTATTATATTAGTGTAAGGCACGTTTAAAAATGCATTATGTAATTTAAAGAGGTTCAGACTAATGAAATCTTCATGTAAGTAAATTGCTGCGAACACTGTGTTTAGCACTCAATGAGCTGCGTAAATCTCAATAACATCCATAGTTATTAGCTATTTGGTCACATTCGGAGTGGAATCGTTTAGTGAAGTACAGTAATGTTGGTATTGTTGCAAAAGGAAACTGTTAATTAGAAACCGAATCCATTTTAGTTTAAAACTACCGCCAAAAATTATTTATTCAAAAATTGTTAAATTGGCTGTTTCTCCTGGAAATTCACTCGCATTTTTTTAGTTACATCCACATAACACCTTATTTAACTCTTTTGTTCAGAAAATCCAAAGACGCCCAAAACACCAATAACACCTAATAAATGCTACCCGAATCCTTGCCAAAACAGCGGGAAGTGCTACAAGAAAATGTTTGGATATCAGTGCAGTTGTGAGAACGGATACTACGGAAAACACTGCGAATATTGTACGTAATTAAAAGGAACTAGATCAACTTTTACTCGTTAATTTGCATGTCAAATTGTGAAAATGCTGATCCCCATCTATTAATAAGCGAGGTTGGAGACTTTCGAATCTTACCTATGCAATGATATACCATCGGTGGCTTATGTCCTATGCCTACTATAAAAAAAATTCTGTTTTTAGAATCTAAACATAAAACTTGTTAAACTACAAATCCACATAGTAAATGTATTACTTTTTTTCAGACAAACCAAAAACACCCACTCCAAAAAATAAATGCTACCCGAATCCATGCCAACACGGTGGAAAATGCTTTAAAAAAATGTTTGGATACGAATGCCGTTGCGTGAAAGGATACTGGGGCGAAAACTGCCAATACAGTAAGTAGATAAAGTTGTGTGATATTCAACACTTCATTATTTTCTGCAATAACTTAGGTCCTAGTTAATATAGTGTTGATAATAAAAATTACTCAACTCTTGCATGTATATAGCCTATTTATGCTCAAAATTACCATCTGTTTGCGAGCCGATTTGTTTTTAACATATCTTTAAAAAAGTTTCAGTCCTGTATCACACCTATAATAAATAATTTTTGTAAAATATATGTCAGATGATACACTAAAAAATGCTGAAAGTAGTGTGTTGCTCGTGTGAAATATCCCGTTAACAACTACTTGCAAACTGTATCATTTTCTAGGAAACCTAATTTTTTTTGGTATTTTCGACCATTAGGAGTCTGATATCATCTTTTCAATAAATATTCTCATGTTTTTTCAATTTTAAGTAATATCAACATTTACTTATCTTTGTTTCAGGGAAAAATAGTCCGAAAACTCCCCCAAAAAGCAAATGTTATCCAATTCTGTCTTGATCAGGCTATAATCGTTTTTATTCGATAGAAGTTTGAATATTTATGGAACGGTCTCGGTTAGTTATCACTAACCGAGTATCACTTCAATTTATTAAATGACAAATATTACGACATTCTGTCCGTTTAAACGCTACTTTCAATCAAATTTGAAGAGAGTGGATGTTTACTATTCGTAGCTTTGTCCGTCAAAAAAGTGACGGATAAACACTAAAAGAAACACTAAATATTGAAAACAAGAACAGCACGAACAACAACAATTTGACGAAACTATCTATTGATCAACTTCATATCGAACAATTGGTTGATAGATTTCTGATTTAGCTATTATACCAGTGATAACTGAATAAAAGTTTGAGTTTGAGTCAAAAAGTTAATCTTATCAATATTTTAGAAGAAACAAAACCAGATAAGTGTAATCCGAATCCATGCCAGAATGACGGAAAATGCTCCGAGTCTATGTTTGGATATACTTGTCTTTGCAAGTGGGATTATTGGGGAAAGAATTGTGAAAATGGTAGGTATAAAATGCCAAAACTATTAAACCACTCCCAATCTTCAGCATTCCCGACGCTTGCTTGATTTGGAGTTTTACCACTTCATTATTTTCTGCGATAACCTAGTTAATAGTGTTGGCATTAAAATGTGGCATTACTCTACACTAGCATATGGCTTATTTATGTTCAAGATTACCATCTGTTTGCAAAGCTGAGTTGTTTTCTTTAAAAAAGGACAGTTCAGTCATGCATATTACATCTTTAAAACATAATTTTTATAAAATATATGTCAAATGATACACTAAAGAGTACTATCATCTTCCCATCAAATTTTCTCCATATTTTTCCTAATTTTAAATAATATCAACGTTTACTTATCTTTGTTTTAGAAAAAAATCGTCCGAAAACTCCCTCAAAAAACAAATGTTATCCAAATCCATGTATGCACGACGGTGAGTGCTACGTAACTAAGTTTGGGTACAAATGCAGTTGCAAAAAAGGATATACTGGGAATAACTGTCAATATAGTAAGTATTTATCAACAAACATTCATTCTGTCATGACGAGGTTATAACCGTTTGTATTTGATAGAAGTTTGAATATTGATGGGACTGTCTCGGTTCGTTGTTATTAAATTCGCCATAACGTGGTTACCAAACGCTTACACAAAATGAAATATTTTAACTTGAGTATCACTCAATAAATGGCAATTATTACGACATTCCGCCCGTTTAACGCTACTTTCAACCAAATTTGAAGATTGTGGATGTTTACTATTCGTAGTTTTAGCTTTGTCCATCGAAAAAGTGCCCGGACAGTACTTTTGACGTAGTAGTGAATGAAATTACAGAGAATAAGTTTATTCTACAGCTTTTTTATAGGTTTTATTGGCGAAAGTGCTTGTTTGTGATTGATTCCAACATTTCTTTAGAATACAATTCATCTCCTAAACCCAAAGACCGGTGTGATCCTAACCCATGTGCAAACGGTGGAACGTGCAAGAAATCGTTTTATGGATACAAATGCGATTGTCCCAAGGGATATACTGGAAAACATTGTGAATCAAGTAAGTTTCTGATTTGACAAAATTATAAATTATTTTGAATAACGCTTAAAAATAAACATTTTGAGGAAATTATACTTCAAGAATATTCACGTATTTTTCCTACTCCTGGTATACGCACCAGACTTCATAAACAAAAAGTTACCATTTGCAATAAAAAATCTGGTATAATTTACTCGACTGGTAAAAACAGAATCGGTGTGACTGAAATACATTTTTAATGCGCCGAAGAATATCTATTAAAACAATTTGATTTATTATGAGAAAACAAAATTAAATCAAATTAAACAACAGAAAATAATGATGCAATTTTGCAGCGAGTTTATATATAAGAGTGTCATGAATCCATTGTGAATTTAATCTCCAGTATAAGGCGTGTTGAGCTTATTTTTGTTTTCTTTTTAGAATACAACAACCCATCTCCTAAACCAAAAGGACAATGTAATCCTAACCCGTGCAGAAATGGTGGAACGTGTAGATCTTCGTTGTTTGGATACAATTGCAACTGTCCCTATGGGTATTATGGAAAACGATGCGATTCGAGTAAGCTTATTTTTTAAGTTGTGTCACGAACAAACGATATCAGCCAGGGGTTAACACGTGTATTACATTATTGTCATTGCTCACTTTACCAATGTACAAGATTTAGATTAGGTAAGATTTTAATAGACAAATGGTCATCCACAAACACCACTTGCAAATTATTTGTTTTAATCTTTAAACAATAAGAAATATTTTAGGCAATACCTATCAGTATTTTTCGTTATAAAAAAAAAAACAGATAAGAATATTTAGCACTAAGAGTGCGTTGTATCTTGCTGGACCAGCGTTAATGCCAAATCTTATCGTAATTGTCACGATAAATTGATAATTATCGCCATTATCACTTATTACAAGTTGCGCTGTTGGAATAGTGGTGCGTCTAAGTACGTATGTTTAATCATCTTCCATCAGTTCGTTTGTAAGTACTGATCTTCGACTATAATTAGTGGAATACATCTCGGGGCGCTCCGCTTGATATCAAACAATATTGACTAAATGACATCTCCAATACCATTTTTTTATGAAGTCATTTAATACTCTATTGAAGTCATATATCTATGTATAAAAAGTGAAAATTAGAGTTGTAAAATCTATTTTTTTTCTCGTTTGACACTGATTGCTCTAATAAACTCTTTACTTTTGTAGAAAAGGGTGGATCTCCGAAGAGCAAGGGTTCGCCAAAAGGATCACCTAAGAAAAACTCGCCGAAAGGTTATTCACCCAAGAAAAAAACATCAAAAGGTTATTCACCCAAGAAAAAAACACCAAAAGGAGATTCACCAAAAAGTAATTCCCCAAAAGGTGGTAACAAAAAGAAGAAGGGCTCACCAAGAAGAGGTTAATTAAACTGTCGGTCTCCCAGCAATGAGATACTATTTATAACAGAAGGAACATAAACAATACATTTGTGTAATTTAATTTATAATATGTATAATCCTGAATTTATGTATGGAGCAATGCCTGCTGAATCTGTAATAGATTAACGCAAGATGCAAAAAAATGTTTTTCATTATTTCGATATACGGGTGTGGAACTGACATCAGGACTGACATCAGCAGATTTCTTAAAGCTTGTACAGTCGAGACTTCGCAAAGTGATCACGCACGATATCGCCCCTCGCGGAATTGAAAGTTTCGAATATTCGACGCGTGATAGACTCTTTATTCTCAGATAGTTTCCGTACGCGTTTTTTGACAGGTAGATTATATTAATGAGTTACGCCTCCATTCACAAGTCACGTAGTTGCACCTGGACTTACGATAAAGCCATCTTATAAGCTTTAATCCCCAATTGTAACATATACGCTTTCTATAGTTGAAACATATCCAAACTACTCACAGTTTCAAACGCATAAGACTATGCCGAATATCTGCGGCATCATTCGTCAGTAGTTTGGTTTACATTCCTAATAAAGTCCTTGTCGAGATAGAAATAAAATATTTCGGACCTTTGTACAAAGCCCCCGAAAAAAATAAAAAGCACCCCCCCACCGCTCAAAATTTAAAAAATTGGTAATTAACCGGTTGAGGTTAGGGTGAGGGAGAACCCTTACTGGATAATTACTAATCTTTTAATTTTGAGCGCTGACGGGGGTGATTCCTCACATTTTCGCATAGGGGGCGGGGGCTTTGTGCAAGAGATTCAATATTCCTGGCTGGGCTAACCTGCGCGAATCATGGCAGGTGGGGTGGTTGGTATGGGATGACTCCATGACGGACAAACTTCAATTTATAATCTGTCATGTTAGCATTGCAAGGTCATTTCTCTCATCACTTGTATTAAAACGAAATGTAGAGAGTTTAGATTGGAAGGTAATTTCGGAGTGTTTGCTTTTCATTGAAGTAGTTGCCATATTTTACCAAAACAAAATTTTTTTTTTTTCTTCATTACACCAGTGACTGCTGCACATCCCCAATAATGCTATGACAATAAAAAATAAAAAAATTCTGAGGAAACATCTAAGGTTAAAATAATTAGCTCGTCTTTATTTCCGTTTTGTCAAGTTTGATGGTAAGTATTTTTTAATAAATTCTGCTTTTGAATTCAAATGGTTGGGTAGGTTTCCGTGGATTGATTTCACTAACAAGTATAAAGATTGGGTACAAAAACCGCGCATTTTGCGTAGTTCTCTGCAACGCCGAGATAAGAGGGGGATGTGTATTCATATTGCCGGTTTCGCAATTCAAACGTGCAAATTCAGTCAAAATTTGCAATAAATTTTATCATTGTTGAGTCAGCGAATTCCAAAACTCTGTAAAATACCATAAAAATTTACTCAACCTTTTTTGTCGAATGTATTTTTATCCCCAGTAAAGCATTCAAGTGGAAAAACATCAGCAATCGGCTTTCCTGTTTGGCCGAAATTCTATATGCTCTATCCCTTGTCGATACGCGCTTTTAACCGTAAGGATTTTTGGTTTCCGCTTTTTTATCAAAACTAGCTTGCGCAGCATTTCTCAAATTTCAAATGATTCCACCCAAATATCATTTCACTAACTAGGGATGTCGTTTATTAAGGCAATATTTGTACTTCATGAAGATTATAAGATATAAACATATAAAATAACATGTGAAATACTTTGGTATGAATTTGATCACTTCATATTTTTTCATCATTGATCGATGTGTAAGCAAGTGAATCATTCTTGACAATGCAATTTATAACGTCTGATTGGTCTATAGTCCAACATTTTTTATTGATGCACATTGGTCCTAGGACACTTTTGAATCCATTTTCAGAGAATACTTATATTGCAGATTATTGAAAAGAGCTTGCACTACACTATTCTTCCAATCATAAGTTACTTTCTTTGGAATTTTCAATTTATTTGCTTTTGATCACGTACAGACAGTCTGCGCGAAAATTTTTCCTGTGTGTCTAGACTTGAAGAACTCATGATTCACGATTCTCAACAGTTTACTCATTATTGCTAGTCAAAAATAATCATCCTTGGCCCTGTTCAGATATTGAGAAAATGTAGTCGTACATCCACTCAAAATTTTGAATATCACCCCTTTTCAAGTTTCTTTGTGTCGCAATAAAGCTACAAGTTTTAAAAAGGGGACTGGTAATACATAAAAGTATTTTTGCGGCAGCTTCCACGTGCGAATCTGAAACAATAAGTTTGCAAACATGGAGCAAAGACTTGAAGTTAGATTACACATTTTCTAGTTCCCATAGCTTTCCACAAAAGTCACGAAATTTGAACCTGAGAATAACAAATGCATACTCAGAATACTGATATTGTTACATCAAGAATTCAAAGACCGAATATTTCACAATTTCGATAAAATGTGCGCAGACAAATCAAATATTTCGAAACATTTGATGATTTCACATCTAGTTCATTTATTGTATATTATTCTGAAATCTTGGAATAAGTTTCTCCAATATATTTTCCCAGGCAGCTGTAAATTAAATAAAAGCCAAATTTTTACGACCTTAGCAAATATTGCAGTCGACCTCAATTTTGTTATTTTCATTTGTATATTAGCCGTAAATGCATTGTGCGATTCCAAACAATTGTTAATGAATGAATTAATTGTGTTTACGATCCTATCGGTCGATCAAACAATAAAAAACATTAGCAACCGAGCGAAAGATCATGGGAAATCAAAGAATGACTCCAACGTGAGCGACCTAATTTAATCTATGTGTGAAATTCTGAAAGTTTGATCCAACAATAGCTTCGATGTTTTACAACTTACGTTTCCCGTCTTATGATTCTGTTATCGACGCTTGATGCTTGTCAAACCGTTTAGTACATTTTGAAAATAATTTAAAATTGTGAAAGGTTCAGAAGTTGATTTTTCAATGTGAGATGATTTTATCTAAACACGAGTAATACGTAAAAGCGTTGTACAGTATTCCAAATCAAATATATAACAAAATCAGTGATATAAACAATTTATACACTACCACGGCACATCTGTATATTCTTCAACTAATTTTGATGCAAAAACACTAAATGGTAGGAAATTCTTTCAACTTTTATACCATCAATGTCGATTCAAACGGATTTTACATTTATTTTACTTTCTATTCAGAACACAAAACATTCATTATTCATTATGGATTTACTCTGGGGAATTCACGGTTTTAAAGATTCTACGATCAACGGAAAATATCACTTAACTGTATATTTTTCTTTCAAAAAGTCCTTGAATGAATATAACGAAATCTGTTTGAAAGGCATTCTTTGCTGCAATTGAGCAAAGGTAGACATCTCTTGCACGCCATGATTAATGCAAGTCGATATTAGTAAATTTAAACCGTCAATATACTGTATTTGTAACATATATATTTCCCCGATAACGCATTTGGCGGATCGATTTTATTAATCCAACTATTAATTATTATTTAATATGGAAAAATAAAAAAACTAGTGTAGTAAGGTGCCAGGGATGTCTTCATAATGGTTTCTGCATCTAATGACTCGAACGCAGATTTTGATACAAAATAATGTATTATAGATAGATATCTTCAGGAAAGGGTGTATGATGTACATTTACTTTTTGATCACGCAAATGTTATCTGATGCTTTATATATATTTTCTGAAAATGAGTTGAGTGATGATGCATTGTCAGAATTTTGATTCATTTGTTATTCGTTGGACGTCACTATATATTGTCGAACGTCCATAGGAAGCAATTGAGCAGCGGGGAGACTCGTTGAGAAACTATTTGTCTGGAAATATTTATTTGACGCACAAAAACTGACTTTTGGCTGAATTGTATTCACTCAAAATGTTATGGTCTCTTGCAGAAATTCTTTCACCAGAGTGCCATATTTAGACACAAGCAATGTGAGGCGTATACTTTTATCTTTGATGAGGAAGACAGACCATCCGCGAAGCATTAACGACGTTCAGCCTATGTTAGACGTATCGAATCATTCCCACCGAGGATTAACGGGAGAACAAGGAGAATAAGTAGGGTGTGATTTCAAAAGAGAGGAAATTACGGCGGTCCTAAGTGATCGCCGAGGCGTAAAAGTTTTAGACAAATGTTATACCAATAAACAGCTGAGGCAGATATAAGAAAAAAACAAAAGAAAGAGAAAAAGGGCTTTCTCTTTATAGAAAGGGTCCGGGCTATCACTCCATTAGTTCGTCTTAGTTGTGTGTTGGCAAAGGTGAGGCGCCGGGTTCGTAAGGCCTCTCTGTTGCTGACGAAAGCTTTTCTTCTAATTTGCGGTATCAAAACTTTTTTCTATTGCGCCAGTCAACCAAGAAGATCTTTAACAGTAGCTGCATTCCTTTCGAGCAAGCGCATTGAGTGCAGACAGTTTCTGCCAAAACGCTTGCAGAGGCGAAGAAGCGGATATTTTGCGGGAACGTGCGCAGGGTGACCCCCACTCTGTCGACAACGTTCGATAGGATTATACATGTCTGCACAATCGGGCATGTATAGCCAAAGAATGATGGACGGACGACGCTGGCACCTAGTGCTGGCACTGATTTTTGGCGTGTTTCTTACTACCGCACATGGACAAGGTCAGTAACTTTTAATATTGAATATTTCGCAAAGTAAATGTAACTTTCGACAACCAATAATTTCGAAAATGGAAAAGTAGGAAATATTCATTCTTTTTGTCGGTATTGAAGTAGGTTTGTATTTACGAATGGTATACTACAATAAATATTAGAGTTAAAATACGTTGGATAAAAGCACAACCCTAGCCTAAAAATTATTCATCTAGTATAGTTCAATAAACGCATCCAAAAATACCTTGGCTAGTAAGAACAATATGGATAGAGCGCGACTCGAAGTTGCGTTCCATCTCTTGTTCTTATTGTATGCAAAAGCAATTATATTTTTTATAATTATATTTTTAACTCCCTCGAAAGCTTTCTGAACCACGATATCAGCCTGATTCTTATTCTTAAATTTGTGTTTTTGTGTATAACAGTGCATTTTCTGTGCAAAGTTGATCAGGGAAAAATATTGTAGTTTGTTTAATTTTGATAGTTCCAGCACATTTAACATCATGGCATACTAACAAACATTCTTTCAAACTGCTTCTTCGATCGAACTATGTGGTCTGCAGTCTTGCCCGGCGATTCACAGATCTCGTTCGTGTTATTTGTGATTTTGTCTTCTTTTTATGTTTTTTTTCTTCAAAATATCAGTATCATATTGTATATAATGTTGTACTGTACAATTTGATGTTGTACTGTTCAATAAAGTGCATTTGATATTGATATTTTGACAATGTAACCATCACTTAGCTTCCGTCATTTACCGATTATTTTATGCATAAAATTAACACTGGCTATTGCGCTTTATATGTCGTCCGTCTTGTTGTTGTCTTAAATGTTTTGGTAATGTTCTATACACAGATAATAATAACATGATCATACTATGGGTGTTCTTATTGAGAATAGTAAATTATGGTGATCATGTTTTATTATCCCTCATCCATTGCATGCGCTTTTCTTATCTCGCTAAGTAACCGATGCATAACCTCACGGAACACCGTAATTTTCGACATCAATTCCAACCATCTACCCAATGTTAGTTTAATCCAAAATATCTAGATGTCGATTCGTGGGCTATACATGAAACGCGATGCAGTTTTGGTTTCCATGTATGGTTCACGATCGATTGAGCTCGAAATAACGTCAACCGTTTGAGGAAATCTCCATATTTCATGGTCTGTTTAACTTTGCACAGAAGGCACATTTTTTCTAAAAAAAACGTTGCGATAAAGCTGACAGAAATGATCTTGCAGATACTGAGAGGTTCCGCTCGGTCGGAAGCTGAAAGAATTTCAACTATTTCCGCCGCAATTGACGGCGGTTTCGCCCAAAAGGTCAAATGCGGCGAGGATGTAGTTTGCCATTCACGTGATTGTCTGCAAAATCCTACGCCATTTTCTCATCCTTCCTTTCATCTTATATCCCGCTAAGTTCAATCACTTGTCTTCTATAGTGTAAATAATGCGTTCAATCTTCAAACAAAACAATTACGCGACGACATCTATTTTGTTTGCCTACATTTAAACACGAACTGCGATTTTGCCGGGCAAGCGTAACCACAATATTCGACCGAATAAGCGTTACGGTTTGAAGAATGCTTGGCGAAAATGAATCCTATTTAGGTACCTCAATAGAAAATGAAAAGCACTGCACCAGAAATGGCGTCACTTTCGCGAGTGGGGACGTTTTTAAACCATTTCCTTGCGAGGTGTGCGTATGTGTTAACGGCGAGCTAATCTGTGATGAGGTTCAATGCGACAAGCTGGATTGCCCCAACCCTGTTGTACCAGAAGGAAAATGTTGTCCCGTTTGCGCCGGAGGTAACTATCCGCTCAACATTATTAGCTTTTGTAATTATTGAACTTTTCATTCTACTCTTATCTTTTCTATCCTATTTTGCGCAATCGCGTGAGTGGCATATAGTCATCTAACTTTTGTTGGCTGATTCGATTTATTTCAAATAACCTTTCTTCAGTGCAATATTCAAGGTAATTTATAGTAACGTTTGTCAAAGCATTACAAATGTCCACAGTCCCCTTAAACCTCGTTTGATATTAGAATGAACGCATCTGACAATTGCTTTTTATTCTGTGTTTTTCAGGACAAAAAGTGAGTGCTCGTCAGAAACAATTCTCTTTATCCAGTATCATCTATCATCTATCTATCGTAGCGGCATATCAAGCTTTCCATCGCTGAAAATCAATTTCCACATATCGTTATAGTATTCCTGTTTTGTTGTCTAATTTAATAAGGAACAAACCACAAGTACTATCGAAAATAGGGCATAAACGAAGTGACGTTTCTACACCTACGTTATATGATTTGAAAAATGCAAACACAATCTTTTATCGGCCATGAATTTATATTAATATAACATTCGCACCTAATCAATACGGTTTTAATTAAGTTTCAAGAAAGCTAGTATATTTACATTATGGTCGTCCATTGACATTTTCTGAGTGTGAGGAACATCGTTAAAAAATGCATCTATATAGTTAATGGAATGACGTAATAATAAATAATCACTGAGTGATTTAGAAATAATTCAACAAATTTTTTCCGAAATGTTAGAAAATAGAGAACAAAAAGTGATTTTTAATTTTTTCAGGGACAAAAAGGAGAACCTGGCTCTCCGGGAGATACGACGGTAAATGCAAAAAATCATTTCATTTCATTATAACATTTAATCTCCAGAAAATGGTAGAAATAGTCAATTTAGAATGACAATTCATATGTGTTTTTCATCACGTGCTTACAATTTATTTTTCAGGGACTTGGAATACCGGGAAACCCTGGACCAAAAGTGAGTATTATCTCAAATAATTAGCTTTGTGATGTAGTCTGGTGAAAAATAAAACGGATCGTGTCCTACAGCACACAATATAACAATGTAGTACTGTTTCTGAATTTTTAGACTGCTATGAGGAATTTTTCACGAACATACGCAAATTTATAGGAATAAAATATTACTCTCCATGAGCATAAGGAATGAAGAAATTCCACTGCCAAACATAATTTTCTCGGGTCACCCGATGCCTTTTTAACCAACCAAATCTTTCTTTGTTGTCAGGGCGAGGCAGGTGACCAGGGACCAGCAGGTGAAGATGGATTACAAGGACAACAGGTATGTTATATAAGCTTTTCTATAATCTTTCAATTGTATACTGTCAAGGGTTAATTAATAGCAGTATAACTACCCACAAAATACAATACATCATATTCTGTTTGCAAAGTACTGTTATAAATCTCGTACATACATTTCGACTTGAAGACGATTGCTCTTCGGTCTTGGTGGTTGTCGCCGAATGTTTGTGTTGAGAAATCCCCTTTTGTTTTTACTTACATATTTAGGCCTGAGGTTATGAAAATCTTGTTTTATTACAGGGTGATATTGGACCAAGAGGAGCAAATGGTTCCCCCGGAAGACCAGGCCCACCAGGACCTCCCGGTCCTCCTGGACCTGCTGGAGACGGCGTGAGTATTTCGCAATGTTTGTATAGTGTAAATGCTGCATTTGGTATAACATCGGTATAAATGTAATCACATAGCGACGTGGTTTACTCATGTAACCAATGACAAAAAAAAATCTAGACAAATATCCTGAAATCATATTTGTTGAGTAAAACTTGATTAGATGAAAATAGGATAATGAAAGCTATCGACCATATTCATTGGTTCAAACATTCGATCATTGGAAACCATAGTTTGCAAAACGTTACAGAAATACAATTGTGATAGTGTGCAGCAAAGCTCTTGAATTAAATAGGATTGAAACATTACTGCCAACTAAACACTTCCCGCTCGGTCAAATATGAAGATCATTGAAATGTAAAGACAGCAACTCAAAAATATTTAATAATTGTCCTTGTTTCTATATTTTTATAGGGTGGATACCCCTCAGATGACAAGGGACCAATTAACAGAGGATCGAGAGGTGTACCGGTGAGATATTTGTGTGTTATCCACACACTATTTTATGAACACAATTGATACTCAATTGATTGTATATTGTTTGGAAAAGATAATTTGAAGACGAAATAACTTTTTCCCTGATAACAATCTTGGCTCGAATTTCATTATCTATTATATTTACAGGGCTCAATGGGACCTCGAGGACCACAAGGGCGAACTGGACCATCTGTGAGAATGAAATACTATACTATGAGTTATAATTAAACATATTTATATGAGCAATAATTATTGAATTCTATATTAACCACTGTCTTATAGCTATGAACATATATATACAAATAAAATTCGCAAAAGATCGTGTTACTGATTTCAAAATGTTTCACATAAGCATAAATAAACTCTAAATCTGCAATCAAATTTTCATTTATAATTCGCGTAAATAGCATATTCCCATCTTTTTTCAAAAAAGTTTTTTTTACTATAATTTTAGGGACCTCAAGGATTCATGGGACCCCCAGGGGAACCTGGACCAGTAGGATCAATGGTAAGTTTCAAATATTATAATTGTCTTAAGTTGAACCTTCTCATTAAAAATTTTTCGCTTATTTTTGCCTGAAAATATGTGATTAATTTTTAAAAAAAAATTAATTAAAACTCACTAACTAGCACTGCCTGAAGTACAGTGGTTATTGATATAAGTTAAAGTAACACATATACATACATTACCTAATAATTTCATTACTATAATACTTTTTGTAAATATCAAGTTATCATTTTCATAGTTATCACTGACTACAACTTTTATTCAGGGACCCCCCGGATCTCCAGGAGTCATAGGATTGCCTGGAAAAGACGGAAAAGATGTAGGTTTTTACGAATTATCTCATTGCAATTTTTTTTCTTAATGTTATCAGATTCTGATATAATTATTTATCATCATTATGGTATCTTTCATTTTAGTAAGTATATATGATATCTTTGTGTAAAAATATTCTACAGAATTTCTATAATATCAACCCACCAGACAAGAAATTAAGTACTGAAAACGTATAGACTACTATGAATTAATTATCCTAAATTTTAATTTGTATACGCTGTATATGTGTTAGTTTGAGCATATTTGAAAACATATATATATCATTTCACTACAGGGCGAAGACGGCAAACCTGGAAAGTCTGGCGCGATGGGACCGTCTGGTCAAATGGTAAGCTTTCCTGATTAATTTATGCGTTTTGTATATTTTTTCAACACTAACAAAATATTTTGTTTTAAATTTCAGGGTCCAAGAGGTGTACCCGGAAATCCCGGAATGCCAGGAGCTAAAGGTCACCCGGTAAGAAGCGTTAAATTCCATGAATTCATTGCAGGCAGCTGTCTTATTTAAGAAGGTTTTTTATTTACATTCGACTACCCCAATGTAGCGAATAAATTACATGCATATTGATTCAACGCATATTGATTCAACGCTTACACAGCAGTGCATTTGAAAAAAAAAACTATTTATGATGACTTGTTTCTAGGGTTACAACGGTCTAGATGGAGCAAAAGGAGAAAATGGCCAGGAAGGCGAAAAGGTAATATTACTGATAACTTAGTCAACGTGGAATTGATTATAATCATAGTCTGTAACAAATTATACAGTATAAATGTGTATTATGATCTTCTGATACATCCTCAAATTGAAATTTAGCGTTCTTCTGAAATAGCCTGATTTGGCTTTGAAATCACATCAAAGCGTAAAGTTGCTTTTGCAACCAACCTAAACAAATTTTTCACTGCTCAACAATGTCCCTCTATGAAACCAGCACACGCCATTTGGGAGCCTTGTATATAATGCTCTCATATTTGACAAAGCCATCTTTTGATGATTTGAAGAAAAATTTTTGTGGTTGAGACTGTCTGCTATTTTGTATTGGTAACCAAAAATAGGCGCCTTTGAATTACTGGTTTACACCATTGACGTCAATGACTCTGTCTTTATCCCGTGAACCGTGAATAGACAGATGTACTCCTTGCACGAATTTAATAACTTTTAGAGAGGTGGAGGGAAATGGGTTCAGCTGTATACACATTTTCAGTGATGTATTTAAAAAAGTTTGCATGCATAATATTACACAATTTTCTAGTCGGATAGACCCCGCCCAATAGAACTAAGTGAATTATAATGAATAGACCATTTTGGAAAAAATTGAAAATAATACTTCGCGGTCGATGACTCGACGTGAAGTCGGAAACCAATGTTACTCAGCTCTGTTCAAAATTTTGTAACCACAGATGTGCAACGATGTAACATTTTCCCCATCAACAAATAGTCGTAATATTTTGAATTTAATGGCCGTTAATTTATTTAAATAAATATTGCCGGTGCGCTTATGTTTTATATCAAATTATTTGAGGATACACTTAAATCACAGCGGTCTGTAACAAGTGTTTAAAAGAAGAAAAAATGAAAATGTCTCAAATGGAAAAACTAAAATCCGTTTCAAATCTATTTTTTGTACCTTGTACCTTACACAATTACATATCCCTTTTACACTTCATTTTTATAATAGGGAGACAGTGGTGAAACCGGAGAACAAGGAAGAGATGGTGCACTTGTGAGTATTCTATCATAGCATAATTTTATTGTGTGTTTATAATTCCTAATAGAATTTTTTTGAAATGGTTGTCGAGTTCACGCATTCAATTAGGTGTCCAAATACTTTCTGAAATTATAAGTATTTTGTTATATATATACTAATATCCGCTTATTTATATTTTAGGGACCTCGTGGCATACCAGGAGAGAGGGGACGACCCGGAGCATCAGGACCACCAGTAAGTGTGCTATTATTGTTATTGTTATGTCCCCAATTATCTGACGCAGATTTCAGGATACGTCCTCCATTGTCAGCATTGTCATTTTTTATCTAATTTTGTTTAGCGGTTTGGTTATAAAATTGTATTTTCTAAATTTACGATAAGATGATTTGTACAATTGTGATAACTCAAAGAGGTATTTTTAGTTGAGGCTTTAATAAAACGCATTTTCTATATAGCGCTATAAGATATTTAAGCTTTACTTGTACATTCCTACCAGTCATGAATCATCACATTGAGTTTTTCACCTCTTATTTTAATAAACAAATTTTTTTTAAGGGATCAGCTGGATCTGATGGCGCTGCAGGACAATCTGGACCGCCGGTATGTAAATTATTTATATTTTTTGGGTTTAATAGTGTCTGAAAATGTCATATATTTGCCAGGCACTACTAATACATATGGTATTTCTTGGACGATAATTAAGTGATTGAAGCACTTTCAAAATCATAATGCATCGGAGGTTCCAAAAAATCACGATTCTGAGTTCTCGTAATTACGGTTATCATCATACCAGCAGTAATTATCACAATGTCGTAAAAATACCAGACTCTATATCAAATCCAGATAAATGTAAGAAAATTTTTATATTGCATTTATGAATCAGGGGGCAATGGGACCGTCAGGTTCAAGAGGTTTCCCAGGAACCCCCGGAAGTAAAGGTGAAAGAGGACCCACAGGCGCAGGTGGCCCTGAAGGTCCCCAAGGACAGCGTGGAGAAAGTGGAACTCCTGGACCACCAGGTCCTTCTGGAGCAACTGTGAGTCATAATTATTTATGAAAATATATAGCATGTTCTCAAATTCAAGCATTCTTTATTTAAATAATAATAGAAAACTATGAAAAATATCAATTTTCAAACTTGTGTTACATCCGCAACATCATGACTAACTAGTCTTCTTTAAACATTTTTTTCAGGGCAATCCAGGAACCCCAGGAGGTGCAGGTGCTAAAGGATCTTCGGTACGTATAACTCAATACATGTACATTGGTGAACAGACGGAGGAAATATATAAAATATAGTAAACTGACTCTCAATCTTAATTTTCTAGGGTTCACCAGGTATCAGCGGACCACCAGGTATTCCAGGATCACAAGGACCACCTGTAAGTGCAACATTATTATACATATACATTGAAAGGTGTCGCAACGAGTTGCAAAAAAATCAGCGGTTTAGTCAATTGATCGTTCGCAATTTAAACATTATTTCTATAGACTATTTAACATAAATTTTATACATTACCTTTATGTACCCAATTATTAACTACTTTCTTAAATCGACAGGGGCCTCAAGGAAGCGTCGGGCCGGGTGGACAAAAAGGAAACCAGGTACGTTGTCCCGCTTATTTACTTTTCATAAAAATTGAAGGTGACACAAATATGTTCTGTTGTGGATTTTATTTTATTTTCTTATCTCAAGCTTGATCAGGTCAAACTAAGAGAAGGTTTTAAAACTCACTTATCGCTTATCAAATGATAATTCATATATTTCAATTCTAAAATCGGAAATAAAACTTTAAAAAGCTCACAATATTTCAATTGAAAAAACTATTTAAAACATGTAGTAATTAACAAGTGATGTGTATTCTGACTTTCTTTTTGCACTCTTCAGGGCACACCGGGCACGACAGGGTACAAAGGAGACCAGGGACCAAAAGGATCACAAGTAATATTATATGCTTTAAAATTTGAGTATTGAAATATTCGCATAATCAATTATTACTTCGTATCACTCTGTCAAAGCTAGCTTATAAAAAAAAAAACTTGAATTCAAGTAATCTTTAAAATTATATCATGGTCATCCACCTTTATCGAGTGCGATACGCATACTGATCGTTTGCGAGATATAACTTACTGTGATTTTACCGATTGATTACACATTTTAGGGATCAATGGGATCTCAAGGCATACAAGGACCACAGGGAGAAGAAGGAAAGAGGGTATGTAAATTTTGAAATATGGCTTTTAGAAGATTCTTGAAATGACAATTTTAGTCTAACACATTATTGTATAATTCAGGGTCAGCGTGGAGAGTCAGGACCTGAAGGAGCTCCCGGACCAGTTGGCGCGCGGGTGAGTGAACTATTCAATTTGAATTATGCCATGATATTAAAGCGACAATATGTCTGATTAATGAATATGACGAAGCAGACGTATTTATGTCAGATATAGCAATATATAAATATTCGTTATATTCTAACAGGGTTCACCAGGTAATCGTGGTTTCCCAGGAAGCGATGGAGCCGTTGGGCAAAAGGGTCTAAGAGGAGAGCGTGGAAAACCTGGAAATATTGGTTCAAAGGGTTCAACTGGTGATCTTGGACGTACAGGAGAACCCGGAATGCCAGGGTCGAGGGTACGTATCAATTATAGAGTTATATATTATATTGTCAAAATTAGGATGCTATGAAAAGAAATATATATTAATGAAGATTTGCGCATTTAATAAAGTGCCATGTACCACGTCAAGGCCTGGTCGAAGGTACGAAGGGCCATAAAAATAAAAATGCTGAATGAGTGAGACTGTAAATTTGGTAACTCATAAGGTGGTTATTTGTTGATAAAATGCTACTTGAGTAAATATCTCGAGGGAGCATAGTGGGAAAAAATTGAATTTTTGTTGCGGAGTCATTGCCGTTTTTAAATATTTGTTGTTATATTTAAGGGACTTTCTGGTAGACCTGGACCCGAAGGAAGAGAAGGAAAAGCCGGACCTGTCGTGAGTTTATTTTAATTCCACGGACATAGTTTTGCAGGTACTCTTGAAGTATGCGCACCAAGATGTCGCACAATCTGAACCCTAGCCTGGTACCCAACCAGAGTTCAGGTTGTGCGCCATTTTGGTGCGCATACTTCAGGAGGTCCGTTTTGCAATATAGATTCAGCTAATCAAATATGAATAATGCCGAACTACTCTTCAATACACGTTTAGAAAAGAGTATTTCTCGCTTATTACTCTCAAATCATTGCTAGTGAATCGATTTTTTGTTTGCTGTCAATAACAAAACAAACTTTTTTGCAGGGAAAACCTGGTGCTGATGGTCGTGCGGGAGCAGCCGGCCCTCCTGGTACTCGTGGTCCACCGGGACAGATGGGTTTTACTGGTCAAAAAGGAACTTCGGTAAGTTTTTATTCAGCATAACGACGTGGGTTATTTTGAAAACGTAAATACCGAACCTAAAACCGAGTAGTAATTTTATGAGCAAAAGTGATTATAAGTTACATTTCCATTAGCGCAACAGCGTAAGATATTTAAAATACTCTCAAATTGATGACATAATGACGTCAAGCTTCTTTTCTTTAGAATTAAATAATTCTGTTATATCTCACACTTTGTGTATTTGCAAATTCATTTAGGGAGAATCAGGTAAATCTGGAGAAAAGGGTGCAGGTGGACCCCCAGGTCCAAGAGGAGCTGCAGGTAAACCTGGCGAAATTGGACCACAAGGAATAGCAGGACCTCCGGTAACTTTAAATTTTCTTTATAGATAATTATAGATACATTCTACATTGGTAACTTGTGACGAATTCGAATTCAATATAATACGGTAGTGGGCTCAACCAGTGGGCCATATTGAAAATTGCTGAAGCTATTGATAAATTTAGTTAAATTGACGGTAGTAGTATTGAACAACGAACGATGCCGCTTTTTTTTTTATATAGGCTGATATTTATCATTCTAATTATTAAAGTGAAAGTCTAGTTTTGAGGAAAGACCCTTTTGTGTTTTTTGCAGTTTTTCCCTTGTATGAAAAAGTTATCAGGCCATAGAATGTCTGTGAAAATTTCAATCTCCTTGTGATTTAGTGTGCGTGTAAGTTTCATTGCTTCCAAATGGTTACTTTTAGGGAATGGTTGGAGAAAGAGGTGAACAAGGACAACCCGGTTCTCCCGGATTTCAAGGTCTTCCTGGACCGATGGGTATTTCAGGACCACCAGGAAAACCCGGTGAATCGGTAAGTAATTAAAGAAATAAAATTTTCAAACATGGAACATACTAGAGAATTTTTTTCAATAATTGAATTGCAATTTTACTATATTAAGGGAGTCCCTGGCGAAATGGGATCATCCGGACCAGCAGGTGATCGAGGACCTCAAGGATTTCCAGGGGCTAGAGGAAAAGCAGGATCAGTTGGGCAACCAGGACCAAGAGGTATTGCCGGTGTTCCAGGAGATGATGGTCTCAAGGTATATTTCAGAATATATTATTATCAATCAATTTGGATATAAAATCGGTTGTATTTCCTCATCAACCATGCTAATTCAATTTTATATTTGCAGGGTGCTACAGGAGGTGAAGGTAGCAAAGGAGAACAAGGTCCAGCCGGACAATCAGGTGTTCCCGGACCTCGAGGACCTGTTGGTATGGAAGGAGCTAAGGGTGAAATTGGAGATTCAGGTCCTCAAGGCAAGGAAGGAGAACCAGGAAGTCAGGGAGTACGTGGACCTCCAGGTCTGATAGGAGCAAATGGTGCTCCAGGACCAAGCGGACTCAAAGGGGATAACGGAGAACCTGGAGAAGCAGGGCCAGTTGGAGCTCGCGGAGAACCCGGATTAAGAGGGGATTCCGGACCGGTTGGATCTCCTGGATTCCCAGGGTCACCAGTAAGATTTCTATATTTGTAGCCAACAGTTTAACATGACAACATGAGAATAACTTCGTATTTTTATTATGCCATTCGGCGCTAGTTATGTGATAAAAGTTTTAAATCCGATTTCAGGGACCAGGTGGACAATCAGGTAAAAAGGGTGACTCTGGAGCACGAGGACAGAAGGGAGATTCAGGATCACCTGGCTCTCAAGGGCCATCTGGCGGACCAGGACCTCAAGGCGAGCCCGGAGTACAGGGTGTTAAAGGAGGCCGAGGATCACAGGGGGCACCTGGAGCTACTGGATTTCCCGGACCGACTGGAAGACCAGGAGCACCAGGATCACAGGGACCAGCTGGACAACAAGGATCGGGTGGTGAACCAGGAAAACCTGGACCAAGAGGCGCAAGGGGTGATAACGGAAAAGCTGGAGCCCGAGGACAGGATGGTAAGTATTTTAATTTAAAGTCATCAATACCAATGGTACACATAAAAAATTAATTAGTCAAATTCAAAACATTTAATTCAAATATAATTGGTATAATATACACATTAATATCTTTATAAACATGCAAAGTAGAACATTGACTTCATTAGCATGCATTTTTACAACATTGATATTACCAACTGTGATATTTTGCTCTTTCATAATGTAAAATAAAGGTTTAAATTGTACTAAATTTTGATATAATAATAATTACAAATAAAAACAACATTGTTAAAAAATAATATTTAGTAGTATACTTGATTTATTAAAATACATTCTATCATGTTAGGTCCCCCAGGACCCGCCGGAAATGAAGGACCTTCGGGAAAACCAGGACCACCAGGAGCACCGGTATGTAAATACAAAAACATCGTTAAAAATTATTATGATATTCTATGATATTTTTTTATTTATCTCATATTCCTAAACTGAATAAGATACACAGGATTGTCTAAATTAGCGTTATCGTGAATAAACGTATCGTACCATTTTAAAATAAACCACCTTTTCCTTTTACTATCCTAGGGAGAAAATGGTCCAAGTGGAGAATTTGGAAAGCCCGGGTCACAGGGTACACCAGGTCTTCCGGGTCCTCCGGGATCTCGGGGTCCAAATGGTCAACGTGGCCCTAACGGAGAATCAGGAAAACAGGGACTTCCAGGACCGGCTGGAGACAGAGGATTGCCTGGAGATGTTGGGGCGAGAGGTTTGGGCGGACCTCCAGGTGAGCGTGGACCAGAGGGTCCACCCGGATCGCCTGGCCAAAGTGGACGCGATGGTTCAAATGGTATAAAGGTAATTTTACAATTTAATTGCATTATTGATCATGACTTCAATTTTCTCATTTCTTGAAAAAAAAACTGGACTAAATTTATTACTATTCTTATTCAGGGAGATCGGGGAGCAATAGGTATTGCTGGACCTCCTGGTGGACCCGGAGTGCCTGGGCCAATGGGAGAAGCTGGTCCCGAAGGAAAGTCAGGATCGAGAGGAGATCCGGTAAGAATATCTGACTGAAAAAGACAATATTTGTTTTGTTCCCATTGGTTTTTCAGTTTGGTTAGTTCGTTAATACTGCGAAACTTACCGCATTCATTGAATACTGTGTTGTAGCAATTTGATCACAGTTCAGGTTCGGTTTTTATGAATAGAATTTATTATTCACAAAGTATCAAGAGATTTTCATTATCATTAACTGAGGCGTTTTGAATCAGAGGTAATATTGGTAAAATCTGCACGAAATACAAAACTCATTGCAATTTATTTATATTCAGGGCCCGCCTGGAACTCAAGGATCCCCTGGACCTCAAGGTGGACGTGGTAATCCCGTACGTATCTATAATTTTTGAATTTCATGTCAAATATTAGATTACAATGCGTTTGCCAAACAAGGGTACTCGGAAAATATTGCGAGGCTCATCGACGCTATTATGTTTTACTAATAAAACACTTTAAACTGTTTCAAAAATATTGAGTTTTTTTTTAAAACTTCAACTTTCATTTTCATCAGGGATCACAAGGAGCCCGTGGATTCAAAGGAAATCATGGAGATCTCGGACCAAGGGTAAATTATAATTAACTTGGATTTGTGGGAATTATTGCTTATTTTCTTTCATTGCATTTCATCGTATAAGTCATAGACATTTTTAAATTGCATAGTGCTGCAACTCATTTTGTTTACCTTTTTATTTTATTTTTTTCTCGTTTCACAGGGTCTCAAAGGTCATCGTGGTTACACTGGTATTCAAGGTTTGCCTGGTCCCCAAGGTAAGACCGGAGAAAATGGTTTATCAGGACAGTCAGGACCTCAGGGACCAAGGGTAAGTAAAACGCAATTCGAAACAAATATAGACCAACAAAAACGAACAGCACAATATATAGCTATTTCCTAATTATTCATTTCTCAGGGATCTACTGGACCTCAAGGACCTGCAGGAACAGATGGAAAATCAGGTATGCCCGGACCCAGCGGACCTCAAGGACCCCGGGGTAATACTGGAAGCGATGGAATGCCTGGTGAGCCCGGTAATCGCGGACCTCCAGGACCTCCTGGACCACCCGGAGTAAGTTTTTGTTTCCCTTTGCCCCTGTTTTGTCATAGTCAAAAGCGTAACCGCGGCATATTGTTGATGTTTATTATTTTCTTCCATGGTCATTTGAAAAGCATATGTGCTTAATTCATATTTTTGCAGTATAGTGCGATCGGGTCGTAAGTTTCACCCTATTCCAAAAATTGCAGTGTTGCAGCCTTAAGAATAGAATTTTCCGCGCCAAGAACCCTATTTACAAAACTTGGAAAACTTAATGCTCTTTTTTCACTTAACAGCCAACAGTTACTATTCCATTCCCCTATGATGGTAACAAAGGACCAGTCAATCCGTTGTATGCTCAAGATCAAGCATTTGCAGATATGGCTACTGTCAGCAGAGACAATGAGGTATTTTATGTTTTTAAACAGAGTGTATGTCTAAGAAATATTTAACTTGATATTACTTTAATGATAACTTATGACATTAGTGCGTTTAATTTTAAAACAAGGAATGAAAACAGTGCAGTAAATATGATTTTATTCAGGTTATGGTGGCGTTGAAAGAACTTCATAGTGTTGTGGACTCTATCAAGGCTCCACTCGGACTGGATAAGAAATCTCCCAGTCGAAGCTGTCTCGATCTTTATTTGACAGCACAAGAAGCCGGAATTCCAGTCAAGAGCGGTAAGCATTCATAGCAAATTAAAGCAAGTTGTATTTATATACGTTCATGGATACTTTCACAGCAAAGAGATAACACTGCTTCAAAATTAAGTTTATAAGACTAAGTTCGTCTCATTAATACATATAGGATACAAATGGATTGATCCAAACGGAGGATGCCCCGCTGATGCCATCGAAGTACACTGCGATTTCGACACCAAAGAAACTTGCGTATTTGCCAACCAACCTCGCATTGTAAACGGAACCAATGGAATGGAAGGGCTGAGAAACAACGGACAAATGGCCAACAAGAACGTGTTTTATAGTGACATGCAGTGAGTTAACATATTTGTTTGCAATTATGCTGTTTATTTTTAAATAATTTTTGCTGTTACCTACAAGTTCACAGCACAACGTAAAGATTTCCATTATAAATATCTCAATCTCTCTTATAAATTCTTAATCAGGCTTATCCCGTGAAACGACCGTCATTTAAAATATTTATCTTCTCTTAATGTTTTTCTTTATTTAAACAAATTACCAGAATCTAATATCAGGTTGCACATGCAATTTTAGCTGCTAGTATCTCATTGTTAATTAAAATGATAGATGATATCTTGCTACATTGCCTTGATCATCCGTGGACGTTATTAAAACGTAAATATTGACTGTTTTCTTTATTTCAGTGGCCGACGAATGAATTATGATCCTAAAGTTGAAAACACAGTGAAAAGTGCCGATTACAACAGTCAGCTCACTTTCTTGAGGCTTCTCAGTTCAACAGCTAGACAGGTAAAGTTATGAATCCTTCGTCTAAATAGCCATGAGCAATATAAAATAGAATGCTGTGCTCCCTCGGTTCACATGAAGTTTTTCGATGAATTTATGCTGCTAGACAAATGATACAAGCGAAGAGTATTTTCATTTTTCTTCACTACTTTAAAACGCTGAATTTCGACTCATTCCAGTTTTTCAATTTTAATTATATTATAGAGGGTGACCTTCTGGTGTAAAAACATGGTGGCTGTCAACGATTTTGATAGCAACTCAAAAGACCATGCGTTGAAGTTGAAGGGAGTCGGTGATACCATTGTCAGTGATTATACTACAATAATGGACGAATGTTCGGTAAGTGAAGTTTTGGTATTTTTGGAAACCTCATTCGTGTCAAATTATTAATTAAATTAATATAATGTTTTTCAGACTAAACCCAGTAGTATCGGAAAGACTGTCATCGAGTACATGACTCCAAGAGTCGCTCACATGCCACTTGTTGACATAGCTCCATTCGTCACTGGTCGAGTCGATGAAGAATTTGGAGTTGAGTTTGGACCAGCTTGCTTTAAGTAAGCACGCAACGAGTCGATTCAAGTTTAAGACAATCATATTACTATAATCACATTATACATCCTGACGGACGACGGAACGGACAAAACGACTACGAACTTGTTTAAAGCAAAATGATTTTTGAAAGATGACGACTTTATAGCGATGAGTATTTTATAAGCTTATTGTAATTTTTATACGACGATGACGACCCTTTTTGTAATGTTTTCTTTTTTCATTTACTCTTGTTTTTATTCGTTGGCCTTATTCAATATAACGGCCATGGCCATGCTACTATTACTTTGCCAACCGTTGCCATTTTATCAGCATATAACCGACGTATTACTCTTTCACCTATGGCTTTTTGTTTTGCTTGCCCTCGTTATACTTTGTGACTATTGCCTTTTATTGTACCTTACATCGATTTTGTCGCTTTTATACTTTTGTCATTTACTCTTTTTTATTATTTTTCATCGTATTATTATCTATATATTCATACATATTGCATGCTACAAAACTTGCTCCAATGGTGCCATGATAGCGATTTGATGAACGTTAATTTTTAAAATCAGCATACTTAGTTCGTGGAAACAAATTAAGTGCAACATCGGCGGAATAATTTCATACGAGTCAGTCGCAGGGCTACCAATGTAATATTTTATTATTGTTTGTTCTATTTTGTTACTTGTGTTGTCATGTATTATGTCTTACTCAATGTCACAGTTGAATTATTGTTGCTTGTTTGCGTTTATGTGTACAGACCACTAACCCTAACATTTGTCCCAAATGTGAATTGTTCGGGACCATCTACCGCCGTCAGTATTAGCTTGAGCAGAGTACTTGCATTCCAAGTACTCGTGTTTGCGCCCTTCCATATTTAGTATCTGGTATTTATACAACTAGACCTGCAACTGATCTCGTGCCAAATTATTAGCGAGCAAAATGACAGCTTTGTTAACCAGCACTAACATTGATGCCATTTTCTCGCCTCGACTACCTTTAATATATTCCGTCGTTCTTCTGCTACTTTTTGTTTTCCATGAGCATAATCTTAATATTTTGTTAAGCGATCATGTACCACTTTCTGCCAACGCATCGCAAAGTGGTCGGAAATTGACTTGTGCGATTTTTATTATTTTTATGTTTCTGCATCATGTATTTTATATTCTTTTTTATTCTTCTGCTGCAAAATAAAATGTATCGCCTCGTGCGTTACGAAAAACTTGTCTAACTTTCATTGGCCGAGAATTTTGGTGATTACAGTTTTGTAAGAATAGCTCGTCCGATTTTTCGTCGGATAACAACACCAATTATGCAGTTCCAAACTGTAAAGCTGAATATAGCACGCTACGGGTTGCATCCAAGCTAACTATACTGGATAGATACAACAGTGTTACAGTGTATTTCATTATTCTTTATTCCTTATGCTGCACATGAAAAAAATCTACATTCGGATCATTTGTATCGTTAGCGTCTATTCCTTTCTGTTTTTCGAACTGAACCCGGTATCAAGGGCCTACAAATGAGCCCTGGATACCTCCGCATGATATGGTGAAGTTGTTCAATTTAATTTGTCATATCTTCAAATTAGTTTGTGAAGTTGAATTGTCTTCTGGCAATATGTAAAAAGGGTCGACTATTCACTTCTGGAGTCATCCAACCTGAAATTTTCATACAATGTTCTCTGGGTCTTCTTAAATTCAAATCAAATGTGTTCATTTTGCTCAAGACAGAATACAAGAAAATGTTTGGAAATATCATCCAATGATATTCCTGCTGCAGGATCGGCATTGAAGCAATTTTGTGAAAATATGATCAATTAGGGTCGATGATGTGTTTGACACTCTGGTTAGTTGCGAAATTGAAACGAAAAATTTGACTGAAGCATGTGCATGTCATTTGTCCGCAGCAAATTGATATTAATATCCCCCAGAATATAATAATGGCAATTTTTACGATTTAGCAAACACATCATCTCATCCTTGAAATTCCGAGTTATTTTGTTTTCGGTGCCCATACACTGATCCTAATATTACAGATATATATATATAAATATATGTCCGATTTTTTTTTGTTTCAACTTCAGCCGAATACTTTCATACAAACTTTCTTGGCCAGGGAAGTTGAAAAATGTTGCACTTCTCATTATTAAGGATATAGAATCCGACATCACCAGCTCTGGTCAAAGAGTTAATATTCACAAAATTGTAGTGTGGAAGCTGAATATTCTGAGTAGAAACGTTAGTGAGCTATGTCTCAGATATCGCAGTTACAGATTGGATTTACATAACTTATAAAGTGAATGACTATTCTTCTACAGAGACTTGACATTCATGTGGATTAAGAAAAAACGCTTTGATGTTAACATCTCCAACTGTCATATTTATATTCAGATACATTTCTATCAGAAAACACATTATTTTTTTTATTGAATAAATAAGACGATAGCGAATACCCAGTTGGATCATATCACTTCAATACTTTTGCCTTGTGAGTTTTGCGAACCAATATATCGTCATTATTTGTAGTTGTAGTCACTAGATTTAACAAACTTCTTTCAATAAAGCGCTCCTGTGTGTTATAACATTAAATTTTGTCGCGAATATTCACATCGAAAAATTTGACCATGATTATTTGGGGATTAATAGATTTTTCAGATATCTTTAATCTATGAGAATTGTCAATGAATGGTGTCTTAACTTATACACCAGCCATTTTAGTAATATCCTTCACAATCATCCTAGTATTTTTATTCCGAACAACAAGATAGCTATGAATTTAAAGAAGATTTATCCCGTCCATCTTATCTTTTGATTGTCTGTGTTGTTGTTCATTCTTTGGGAAATCAAAAACATTTTGATGCAGAAGATTTATTTCAGACTGGTAGTCATTCATTAGTTTTTGGAATTTATTTAGCTTGTCTGAAATACAGACGGAAACAACTAGGCCAAATATGTCGACTCTAGCAAGCCCGGAGAGAATATAACAGATTTCTAATAATGCAAACCAAGGCTGCCAGGAGATAGTTTCACAGATTCCTAATAACTCATCCAAGGCTGCCATGCTGATATCACTCTAAATGTTGAGACCAAAAGAACATAATTCTTGTCAATATTGGGGCTACAGTAACATGATGTTGGTAATAATTGTTTCAATGTTACATTGTCTATTGGTAAGCCTTCTAATGTGGCTAGTTTCCAAGCACATGATATAATGTTGACATCTTTCTACACAAATCAGATTCTGAAGCTTAAACACTAAAATCAAAATTATAAAAACTTCAACAGGACCCACAAAATTACGATTTTTTTGAGTAGTGTATATGATCTACTCTACTACATCTAATTGGGATTCAGACAAATTTTTCGCGCTCATGGAGGCACTTCGCGTTCTCAAAACCTTGTGTAAATACGGTAATAAAACATTAGTTCATGCAATATACCGTTTTTTTAGATTCGTGAATTGCAAGTCAATTTCTTGATAATAGCTCTCAAAACCTTGTGTAGAGAATAAAACATTAGTCCATGCAATATACAGTATCTTATTACTTATCGATCTCGATCGGTAAGTATGATGATAGGTATTTGTCTGGTTGGACACTTTCGTAAGTTACGCAATATCTCACGAAAGCGAGGTTGAATCTGCTCCAAATGCTAGTGCATTCATCATATCTCGGACCAGCCTATTGATTCTGGATGAATTATCTCGTATAATTAGCGAGTTATTAATTAATTAGTGATGGAAACACGCGGTGTCGCTATTGAGTCAGAGCGAAGGATACACGCCGCTAGATCGATAAGTCGGCATTCTCCGATCGCTACCTCGTTATTAGATTTGTGAATTAGAAGTAAATTTCCCCATGTGCGGTTTCAGACGGCTTTTTCGGTATTAAATTAGCCTAAGTCATTTGTGTTGACGACGAAACGCCAAGCAATTCAATTCCAAATTGCAACTCAAACTGTAAACTGAGTTTCCCAGAAATTCATGATTTCCTGTTTCAAATGTATCGTTTTGTAAGGCATATTTCTGTACTTTCGATCTTGAGAAAATATTGTGTTTTCTGTGTCTTGTGTGAATCTGACAATTTATAAATTCTTCATTCAAACTTGTCTATGAGTGAAAGTAAAATATACAATACAATAATTCAATGAATATTTATATAATACAATATTTACAATACTTTGTTTTGAACCATTCTTCTTCAATTTTATTCGGGGGTGATTCCAACGATGAAGATAATCATTGAACATCTCCTTCGGAACATATTTTCCGCAATCTTTCATTTCGTGATTCTCAGAATCAGATAAACGGCATGTTTGCGTTTGTCCTCAATATTTTACTAGTACAGTATATCTTTTGATGGAAAATTGTTGCAAAATTTTTTTATTCAGGAAAAATCTTCTGTTACCTCTTTTTAGACCCTTTTCATCAACAAATACAGCTACTGATACATACAACTTAAGTGATGATGACTCTATTTCTTGGCCTTTCTTGACGAAGTTTACATTTGTAAATAATAAAGCTTGTATTATAGGGAGAGAGAGAGAGTGAGTATTTTCTCTACTGCGTGTTCGGCTCGCGCGTTATTGGATTTAGACACGCTTATTTGAGCACAACTCCGATCTGAACTCCTCAGAAGTCAATGAAGCACACAATGTATTGAATGCCAATTGTTATATTGTAAAGATGCACAATTCAATTAATCCAAATAACAGATAACAAATTACACTTAAACCCTTAATACAGTATGTGTGATGAAACCAAATTCCTAACTAACGAAGAACGGCAAAGACAAGCAACACTGAGCGAGATAAAATATATCATAAAGGAAATGAGAGCAACAGCCGTGTTTTAGGCGAATAACATGCACTATTAACAATACGGTGAAAATATTGAAACATACAGTAACTATCCTTATGTACTCGCTACAAGAATTCCCCCCGACAATAAAAAAGATAGTTTGCTAACTTTTAAATTTTGTAAGACTAGCTAATAACGATTCCTGATTAAATAATATGTCGTCAAATTTGCCATGTGAGAATATAATATGATGCATGCTGGCCGGGCGATTTCAGCAATTGACCAAATAACGAGCGATTTCAGCAATTGACCAAATAAACTTTCTTATGCGCCAGAATCTTGATTCTGCTTAGCATAGGCCATCCTTTCGATAGGCGAATGCAATTTTCGCGTCCCGTAGTTGAACGTAATAGTTGATTTGTAGAATGATGTCGACATTAAGATATCGTTCGTTGAAAGCATTCCTCGAAGCTTTGAAAACTTGGCAAACTCTCGGAATTTTCAATCTGTGAAGATTGCCCGACGAGTTGTAATGTAGCAAACGTTCGGTAGCGTTGAATTTCGGAAAGTCGCGCGCTCTACAAACTTTCGCATCTCCAAAGTTCCAAACAAATGTGAACGCGCCTTTACGAACGACAGAATCCTGAGTTCGGTTCGCATTGGCTGAGGTCAGCTAGAGGAGAATGCAGTTTTCGTGTCATGTGATTGAGGAAGGAAGGACCCTTTTCCGCGGGTCACAAATATTTGTATTCGACTTGGTTTCCAATGAAGCTGCAATAGATGATTGGGTCGACTTGAGAGAATAAAGTAGATGTTCGTTCGTTCGCCAGACAATAGATTGTATAAAAACTATAAATACTGCTGCTTGTTGTAAAAAATCGACTTGCGTACTTCATATGCTCAGCGAAATTGATTTGGTATAATGGCAATGTTAATTTTCTGCGTAGCTTGCTTTGTCGATGTCGGTAAACACATTTGAAAATCCAGTAATAATATGAAGTTGTCCTGCTAATTTTGAATTTTTTTGAGGCGGCTTGATCTGCTCAAGTGCGTATTTTCTGATCCGGTTGACACACAAAACATTTAATTTTAATATATATATATATATAGGTTGATAATGCGACACAAATTCAAAGAATTTGGGCGTTAATGTTTGTGAAAAAAAAGTCCTGTATATATACACGAATTGTTGAATTCCGGCGTTGAAGCTTGAAAAATAAAAATACACGAGCGTGAACTCGGACATCAAAGTTGAAGAGGAGTTAGTCCTGTCTGGTCGTAGGAGGTCCTGGTCCAGATTCCTCGTTTTGTGGCAAAAATCTGCATTGTTTTGCTTTTTTCGACTGCTTATTTAATTGACATACCGCCTGAGACTGAAGATTGATTTTTTGCTTGATTCCTGAAATGTTGATGTATTGTCCA